TCATCGTATCCTTACTAGACTTGGACGGCCCCTTTTTCAACAATATCTCTGAAGATAACTACTACAAGTTTCAAAGCTGCATGTCAGCTGTGGGTGTCGGTAGGGTTTTATGGGTAACACAAGGGGCCCAGATTAAATGCGCAGATCCTCGATACAGTTTGATCCTGGGTCTAGCCCGAACGCTTAGATCGGAGCTGCATATGGATTTTTCGACCTTGGAGGTGGATACATTCGATACAGCCGCAGCTAACTCCCTTTGCGACGTATTGGAGAAGATCCAGCGTCTCCGGGAGAAAAGCCGTGTTGATCCAGAGTATGAGTTTGTCCTCCAAGGTGGTATAGTTCACGTTGGTAGATTCTACTGGACACCGCTGGAAGAGGAAATTACTTCAACCAATACACCAACTTTAGTGAGGGCCTTGGATATTGGGACATACGGTCTCCTAGATTCGATGTCATGGGTTGAAAGAGAGGAACCAATGCCCGAGGAGAATGAAATTGGAGTGGATATAAAGTATATTGGGTTGAATTTTAAGGTATGTACTCTTATGTTTAGTTAATTGGAAATGCTGACAGAAATATCAGGATATCATGATATCACTGGGGGCCATGGGCGATAAAAGCCAACTTGGAATTGAGGGCGCAGGAGTCATCTCCAAAATTGGACCGGGGGTCACAAACTTGCATCTTGGGCAGAAGGTGCTTGTCGGGGGTTCGGGAATCCTTCGTACGTATAAAATAGTTCCAGCTCATCGCTGTGTTCCAATCCCCGAGGAACTGTCTTTGGAAGATGCCTCTACAATGTCAACCGTATATGCTACGGTGATACATTCTCTAGTACACCTCGGAAACGTTCGAAAAGACCAGGTAAAGCCGATATTCATTTGTACCACTGAGTTTCATCGTTTTTAGCTAATGGCGGAAAATTAAACAGTCGGTGTTAATCCATTCCGCTTGCGGTGGTGTTGGTTTAGCAGCCATCCAGCTCTGTCGATCTATCGGCGCTGAGGTAACTATGGGCAGCCCTCCATCAAAATGAAGGTATCGCTAACCATACTAGATCTACGTCACTGTTGGCAACGAACAGAAACGGAATTATCTGATAGATAACTACCAAATCCCTGAAACTCATATATTCGATTCACGAAGCACCTCGTTCCTCCCCGGTATTATGCGACAAACAAACGGTAGGGGGGTTGATCTTGTTTTAAACTCTTTATCCGGAGAACTTCTACATGCCTCGTGGAAATGCGTTGCGGAGCTTGGTCGAATGATCGAGCTAGGGAAGCGAGATCTCATGGGCCACTCTCTATTGAACATGGACGGATTTTTATGCAACAGATCATATTTCGGAGTTGACTTGGCTCAGCTCAGTGAGTCAAATGAAGAAGCTGTTCGGAAGTATGTTATATTCAGGATACGGAAGGGAGCATTCACTAACAGCACATAGGCTATTCCTTGAGGTTATCGAATTTTATAAACAAGGCAAGATCCTGCCTATTCGACCGATAACGGTTTTTGAAGCCGCTGAGGTTGTTCAAGCATTCAAGCATATGCAGACTGGTAGACATATGGGCAAAATTCTGATAAAAATGCCTGATGACCCGACACAACTACCTCTTACCAAGAGCCGTCAAACCCTTCGCCTATCTTCCGATGGTGCTTATCTACTGGTTGGCGGACTTGGCGGGCTTGGTCGTGCTATCACAACATGGATGATTGAAAAGGGGGCCCGACACTTCATTTTCTTGTCCCGGTCAGCCGGAGAATCTGATTCGGACAAAAACTTCCTAGACGAACTAGCCGTTCAGAACTGTACGGCTACCATGGTCGTGGGGAGTGTAGTGAACTTAGACGATGTGAAGCGAGCAGCCACTGTTTGTTCGAGGCCAATTCTCGGTGTTATTCACATGGCGATGGTTTTGAGGGTAAGTAATGCCTTATAAACACATTTCCTTATGTAAGAAACTAATTCGTAGCTTTACAGGACCAAGCATTTGAGAAGATGACATATGATAACTGGAACACCACACTTGCTCCTAAGGTGGAGGGAACATGGAACTTACACAACGTCTTCAAGGATATCCCTCTTGACTTTTTCCTTCTTTTTAGTTCGGTGGCTGCCCTCGGAGGCAACACAGGTCAAGCCAACTATACCGCAGCAAATACCTTCCTGGACAACTTTGTTTCTTACCGCCGATCCATGAATCTACCTGCCTGGACAATCAATATAGGGCTCATGCGCGATATCGGCTACGTTAGCCAGAATATCAAGCTTGTGAACCCGAAACTTGCAAATGTGATAGAAGAACTGGAGGAAGGCAATCTCCTTGATGCCTTGCATATAGCAGTCGCAAAGTCAAAAGGCTCAGGCTCAGGACAACTCGTCGTCGGACTAGGAACATTGAATGGCCAACCATTGTGGTGGTCGGATGCCCGATTTATGGTCTACAAAAATCTAAGCACGCTGGACAAAATCGTCGATGTTCTTACTGGAGAAGACCTCAGGGAATTAATCGAGGAGGTTAAGAAAGACCCAGGCATCCTAGACACACAAGAAACTGCAGACAGAATATCGAAAGAGCTAAGATTATTAATTGGTTCACGCGTGGGTCATGATGAAGATGCGGACATAACTGAGATTGATAATATGGCCATCGACTCCCTAATGACAATTGAGATCAGAAGTTGGTTCCGTCGGAATCTAGCACTTGATGTCCCGTTGATTGAGATTTCGAATGCACAGACTGTCGGAGGCCTCACCAGGACTACCCTGAATGCCCTACGGGCCAAGTACCAATCACAACCCGTGGAAGACACCCAAGAAGAGAGTGACGCACCCTCGGATGCCTCGACCGAGCATAAGACTTGGGAGGCCGATAGGACGTTAGGAAGCAAGGTACAACCACATCCAGGGCCAACAGTTGATTGGCACCATGAGACCGAAGGTCGAGTATTCATGAGTGGAGCCACAGGTTTTGTGGGCGCGTTCCTGCTTGCATCGCTTCTTGACCAGCCATACGTCAAGGCCGTTGCTTGTCTCGTTCGAGCAGGAGATGAATCTACCGGAAGAGCGCGCATCAGAGAAGCTCTTAAAAAATATGGGATACGACGAGAACTTGGCGAGAAAGTACTAATTGTTCCAGGGGATCTGACCAGCCCGACCCTAGGACTTGAACAGAAACACTTCGATGCCCTCTCAGAATGGGCAAGTGTTGTCTTCCATTTAGGTGCGCGTTTGAACTACCTGGAGCCTTATTCAGCCCAACGCGAGACCAATGTTCTTGGGACATACAACATGCTCCGGTTCGCAAACAACAGAAGGTCTGTGAGTTTCCATTATAGCTCGACTATTGCCGCATATGGCTTGGACGCATTTACTGGTGAACGATGTGTCCGAGAGGATGAAAGGCCGACTGTGGTGGATCTCAATGATACTCAAGCCCAGATTGGATACACACAAAGCAAGGCTATTGCGGAAACAATCTTATGGGACGCTATGTCAAACGGAGTTCCTATTTCTATCTATCACATCGGCGTGGTTTTAGGCCATAGTGTTAGCGGTATCGGCAACAAGCACGATGCCGTCCACCGAATGATGACGAGTTGCATCCAGGTCGGCAGCTATCCTCTTGTACCCAAACAACGGAATCAGTTTATTCCAGTTGACTATGTGGTTTCATGTCTTCTGACGATCTCTGCTTCCAACGACAATTTGGGCCAGGCATACAACGTTGTTCAGCCAGACCAGAATGCGGTGATTGACATTCCGGCGACGTTTGACATGCTAAGTCAAAACTGCCCCTTTCCACTACGACCTATTCCCTACGAGGACTGGATTGATTCGGTTACAAAGTTCAAGTCGGCAGGTATGACTGTGTTTTTGCCATCAATGGAAGAACGAGACCGTGACCGTGCCGCATTCTGGTGGGACGTCCAGACCAGCACCTCTACTTATGGGACAGACAATTTACGCCGAGCACTTTCAGATTCTCCAGAAATCCTGGAGCTCTTGCCTATGGATAAGCTGATTAGGCTATGGTCCGTCCAATGGCTGAAGGGGGCTAGCATCATTGATACCTTTGCTCCGTGTATGCGCCAGATGCAAGTCAGCTGGCCAAATGGGGGACCGCCTCAAGTTGCGGATGCGGAGCGAGAACCAGATTATGGTATACCTGCGGAATATATATAGGGAGAATTTTGTATTGTGATCAGTGTATAATACCCCATTGATGTATACACCTCGCTATGATCTTGTCAGTATCCATAGCCTTATCTAGTGAATGCGTGAGTGTTGATGGCTTCCAAACATTTTGTGGTGACTAAGCTTGCACATGATCAGTGTCACAAGAGATGCAGGTCTGGTGACTTTTTTACAGTGACTAAGCAAATCCATTTCCTAATCTAGTAATTTACCGTTTAGTCAGCATATGACCAAGTATAATACCGTATTCTTGTCAGCTGGCCAATCATTGTGCAGTATATGGTATGAGCTAGTATCGGAGTCCGTATTAATGAATATCCCGAAACAATGACTAAGCTGAACAAACTAATGCAAACACTGTAAACACTGTATTACATAATATCACCATATCACATGACCTACCTTTTTATCCCCAAATTGGGTTCATGAACAACTTGAAAAGCAGCCAAAAGATGGATATATAGAACTTCATATGGATTGATATATGGCAGTGTATATATATAGGTAATAATGGTAACGCTTGCTCCATATGTCTGCAGGATCTGTAGAACAAAAAAAGAAAAGTAGCCTCCGATAGCGCTCCCTCATCCATCGGGCGGGCTAAGATCCAACGCCCCGATATGCTTGCTCAACAAATCATAAAAGCTCCCACTGCGTCCCCCTTCTACTTCAACTCTCTCTCTCCTCCTTGCTCGGTGCTTGATATATTCATCTTGCAATCAGTTCAGCTCTTTTAATTTAATTCTACTCCTTACCATCAATTAAACCATCTCCAAGCTTATCAAGCTCCCCCACCATGTCTACTCGCCCACCAGTTTACATTGTATCCGCAGCTCGAACCCCAGTGGGCTCGTTCCTTGGGTAAGCAATTGCCCTTATACACCTAACATGCACTTCTAATGCTAGAGAATGGAATATATATGATACCTTTACTGACTTGGTGGATATACAGCTCCCTATCGACTCTCACTGCCCCTCAGTTAGGAGCTCACGCGATAAAGGGTATATAACTTGCTGCCTAACGACTAGGTATCGCCCAATGCTAATTAGGATATATAGCTGCCGTCGAACGGACCCAGGGAATAAAGCCAGAGGATGTAGAGGAAGTCTTCTTCGGCAACGTTCTCTCCGCAAAGTAATATATCCTTCCCCTATGTAGTGACCCTGGCTAACATCTCCGAACCCGTTGATAGTGTTGGCCAAAACCCCGCCAGACAATGCGCATTGGGCGCTGGGCTCTCTGAATCTACCATCTGCACCACCATAAACAAGGTGTGCGCCTCTGGTCTTAAGGCCGTTATCTTAGGTGCTCAAACCATCATGACTGGTAACGCCGATATCATTGTTGCGGGCGGAGCAGAGTCTATGTCGAATACCCCCCATTACCTCCCCAACATGCGCACTGGTGCTAAATATGGTCACCAATCCCTCACGGACGGTATTATGAAGGACGGTCTATCGGACGCCTACGGAAAGAAGGAGCTTATGGGTCTACAGGGAGAAGAGTGTGCCCAGGACCACGGATTCAGCCGTGAGCAGCAGGACGAATATGCCATCCGCACATACCAGCGTGCCCAAGCTGCACAGAACTCGGGTGCTCTCAGCGCGGAGATTGCACCAATTGAGATTCCAGGTTTCCGCGGCAAGCCTGGTGTGGTTGTTGACAAGGACGAGGAGCCCAAGAATGTAATACATAACCCGACCCAGCACGCCCTTGTTGCCGAATACGTGCAATGCTAACAAGAAATCTAGCTCAACCCTGATAAGCTCCGAGCCATTAAGCCCGCCTTCATCCCCAACGGTGGAACAATCACAGCTCCCAACTCCTCTCCTCTCAACGACGGTGCAGCTGCTCTCGTCCTCGTCTCCGAAGCTAAATTGAAAGAGCTAAACCTCAAGCCCCTGGCCAAGATCCTCGGATGGGGTGACGCAGCCAAGGCACCCAGCAAATTCACCACCGCCCCATCCCTCGCTATCCCCAAGGCTCTTAAGCACGCTGGCGTTGAGCAAAGTGCTATTGACGCCTTTGAGATTAACGAGGCATTCAGTGTCGTTGCGTTGGCGAACATGAAGATTCTCAACCTTTCCGAGGACAAGGTTAACATTCACGGCGGCGCTGTGGCGTTGGGACACCCACTTGGAGCAAGCGGTGCGCGTATCCTGACCACTCTTTTGGGTGTGTTGCGTGAAAAGAAGGGAAAGCTTGGATGCGTGGGTATCTGCAACGGTGGTGGCGGTGCTAGTGCTATGGTCATTGAATCCTTGCAGTAGATATTTCCCGTCGGACATTCGCTATTACTGAATGTTGTTAAGCGGACCAATGGATGATGTTAATGACCTTTAAAAGCCGGGTTTCTATCTTGATTAACAAATGATTTCGGGAAATTAGCTCCAAGAAAGATATATATGGTAGTTTGAACATGGATAGAAATACACTATATTCCAGAAAATAAAGGGAGTAAAATGATTAAAATAGAGCGATCCAGAAATATGTGGCCTATGCAAAGGCCCCTACTAATGCCATCAGTAACGCACCAGCAGCAACAGCAAGGCAGGCTTCAAGCCTATTTCTTCCTTGCAAAATGTCGTAACTCCTATCACTCAAGAAGTCTTCAGCTAACAACTCCACTAATCCCGCAAACAATAAAAGTCCGCTGCTGAATGCGTTTGTTAAGCCAACCATGAGTAGTCCCGTAGTGCTCGCTGGGTCGTACAAATTGTGTACACCCAACCCGATAGCCTGGCCGATGGGCGTAGTGGCTCCATACGCCAACGCCATAAGCCAGGGTTTAGGCGATGACGGTGGGAATAAGGCTGGTATTAGGGCTGCTATACGCGCACCGAGGGCAAAGCCTTCAAAAGTCTGATGGAACGATATGGCGACTAGAAGCACGAGGAAGTTTGCTCCTGAGGCCACGGAGAGAGCCATACCGATGAATATACTGTGGAATAGAATGCCGGCTTCGAGAAGTAGACACTGCAGCAGCTGTTTTTGGGCGGTTTGCTGGCTTATGTTGGTGTCGTGGTGGTGTGATGCGGTATCGTGGTGGCCATGGCCATGACCTCGTCGTCGAGTTGGGTGCAATATATCAGATGCATTATCCTCAGGTTGTGGGTCGAGTTCTTCAAGATCCAGATCTAAATCTTCGTCATCACTTAACTGACTGGCGTCTGCGTCTTCTCTGCGGTGGTTGCCCCCTCCGCCCTGTGGTATGAGCGGACTCGCTCCCTCTACCAGATTCTCCGTCGAAGGGCTTATCATTAACCCATTCGCTGGGTGCGGATTTCGCCGTAATTTCCCCAACGGTAGCGATGTGCCTCGCTCCAGTTCTCCGCCGTTTGCATGAACATGGCCAGCATGCTCATCGTAGCCGTGTTCATGACCTAGCTTGTCTATAAGAGTATCGTACTCCGACCCATGAACGTGGCCCGCCCCCTTCATAGCAAAGAACATTTCTATACATACAACCATCATGACGGCGACCATGGCGACCAATCCCGCGAACGCCGGGTATCCTTTGTTCCAAAATCGCGGTAGACATGGGCTTGTTAGAGATATGAATGCGGTAGGCAGGAGATGTACGAAGGCGGTGGCTATCAGCACGCCTGTTCCAAAATGGCGAGATAAGAAGAGGAATCGACGCGGTATGGGTAGGCGAGGGAATCGGCGGGCTATTATAGGAAATGAACATGCTGGTTCGGACGTTAGTACTAGGCATAGCCATAGATAGATGGGGCAGTCATTCACGTACCAAATGTGCTAAGACCTAATATGAGGAACAAGGCAAAGACGTGAATCGGTGTGTTATACGTGTTTCCTGCAATTTTGGATCCGCATGTTCGTCGAAGGAATTCCTCCTTCAACTTATCGATCGGTACAGCATCCAGCCCTGGAGCAGCGGGACCGTCTAATGAATCGAACCGCACGTCAGCAATGTGAAGATAGGAGAACTGAGCGGAAGATAGACAAACCTTCTGCCATCGCCGGTTATTAATAGCTCCCTTCTTTGACCAACAGTCTAAGCGTGTACCCTGTCTGCCTGCCTGCAGTTCTCCGTGCAATGATCAATTCAGCATGTAACCATCCGTCTCATGCGAGTGTCCGTGTATCCATAACCCGGCGAACGATAAAGCAGTACTATAACAGTTGCTCTCGCTTATCTAGCTTTGTATATCGCTTTTCTTGCCGTCGCCGTCCGCGTCTTTCTGAGGAGATGTAAAGGGGTTCTTCGGTCGATAGCTCGTGGCTCGTCGCAAATAATTTGGACTGATTGCGCAAACAGCAACAGCTGAGCAAGGAGCACGGTATAGTATCGGAAGAGCAGGAGTCTGTATCCGATATCTCCCAATTGATATAGACGACTCAAGTGAAAGTAATCTGAATGTCGCGGATGGTGTATTGTTGGTTTTATGTCTGACCGGTGTCGTGTGTCAAGTTTCCTGGAAGTCACGGGATGTCACGGATTAAGGTGAAAGAGAACCACTGGTACTCCTGGATGAGCGCGGAAGTCAGGAAAGATGATAAAATAGTTGGATATCATGCAATGATCTGGCCTGGACGTTGTTGGCGGTTAAAAAGGAGCGAGGCCATGTCTTGGGTTAGTAGCAGGGATATATTAATCTATTCCGCCAAGATACATACTTACACGCAGCCCCTGCGTTTGAAAGAATAATCTACTCGATGATAGAATATATATCTAGTGTACAAGTTACAGAGATGCAAGTTTATATAAGACACAATCTGATCATTGGAAGAGTAGATAAAAATGCAAACAAAAGACAAAGAAAGGGGTTTCGTCAGCCAGCTATCCGGATTCCGCTTATCCTCCTTAAAGAACATGAAGAGGTGAAAAGGGGGAAAAAGGTAAAAAATCATATCATGAATTTAAAATGAAGTAAAGAGGTTAAAGACGTCAAATATCGCCAGGGAGCCCGATTCTTTTAACGCCATGGTGAGAGATATATGTATATATCGGAGGAGAAGGTATCCTTCTAGAAAGAGTAAAAGGGTGTATTTGCAATTCAACGAGCTCGGATATCAAGTACAAAGTAAGAAAGTAAAAAAAGGCAAGCGACAAAACGACCATGGCATTTATAAGGGATGGCCCTGTATGGCTGCTATCTAAGAGCCGAGAGGGAAGGTGTTGCTCCTCTCTGCGTCAGCGCACATCTCCTTGACGAGATCGGCATCGAGAGTGGTGGGGAAGTCCTTCATGTCCTTGAGGATCTTGACGTGGAGGGAGCTGGAGGCAGCGTTGAAGACAACGGCGGCGGTGACGGTCTTCTCTGGGCGCTCGAAGTAGTAGCTGGATCCACCGGAGACGTTTCCGTGGAGGGTAGACTTGCAGCGCTTGTCACCTGGGGCGAGGACTTCGAGGACGTCGAATTCACCGCATCCGGAGGCCCAGCAGGAGCAGTCCTTGTTCATTGGGTATTGGGAAACACGGGGAATTTGAGCGTTGAGGATCCAGAAAGCAGGCATGTCGACGGGGCTGTAGATGGACTCGGCCTTGGCACCGGTGAGAGGCATGTCGAGCTGGGCGAGGAAGATCTTGTTGGCACCATCGAAACCGTCTATAATCGCTGTTAGTCTTTACTCTTTATACATGGAGACTTTATTTTATAATAATATGGGATGGTGCACTTACGGTAGGCAACGGCACCAGGGCGGGAGTAACCGCAGCTGTTACCCTCACACTTCTTGTCGGTCATGATGACGATTTCCTTGCCATCAGGAATCATCTTGTCCTTGGGGACGGATGGGGAGGTACCCATTCCGAAGAGGTTCTCAGCAGCGTAGGAGAGAGCACAGCCGAATCCCTGAATGACACCCTCGGCCCAGGCACCCTCGTTGTTCAAGAAGGTGATACCATCAGCCTCACCAGCATCGGCATCGTAGTAGGCAACACGGCCCCACTGGCCTGGTCCAACATTGACGGGAGCAGAGCTGGATGGCTTAGGCTTCTTGTTGTCCTTGGGGGCGCCATAGCTCTTGACATGTGGTCCAGAGGCTGGAGCACCTGGAGCAGGGGTGGGAGCAGCACCACCGCCGTAGTTGTTGGCCCACGTGACGACCTTGCCGTCAATGGTGGCGGTAACAACATCTCCAACGGCACGCTTCTCGTGGAATCTCTGGTGAGAGTGGCCGTGACGACGCTCGTGGATGGTGGGCTTGAGGTCGCGCTTTGGCTTGTCGGAGCCAAGGTTGTAGACGGCGAGCTTGTGGAGGTTCATGGGACCACGGAAGTGGAGGGAGACCTGTCTTCCATCAGTTTTGTCCTCTGCCTTCTATCATGGAGAAACTCACCTCCTCGTCAAGGGGAGCGAGAGGACCGCTGTACTGCTTTGGCGAGGAGCCGCAGGACATGGAGCCGTCGTCCATGTTGGTGATCATGTTGTAGGAGCCGGAGAAGTCGAAGTTGGTGTACTTGATAGAGTCGACTGGGTCACAGTACCAGTTGCCGCCATCGTTGGCGCATCCCGCAGTGACGGTTGGGATGGCGACTGCGAGCGCAGCTCCGAGGACAAGAGAGTATTGCATCGTGCTGTTCCTGTTAGCCTGATGATCCTGAAGTGATGATCTTGATATCGTGATCTTGATGAGATGGTCGTGATGCTGAGATGCTGTGATGCTGTGATGCGAGCTGGGATGCGACGACTTACGTAGATATGAGTGAGCAGAAAGGGGCAGCTAAAGAGCGAAGAGAGACAGTGTCTTGAAGGAGTGGATAAGGAGTTGTATAGACAACAGCCTTGAAACAGGAATTTAATGAACGTGAGGTCGAAGTTGTTACTGTCCAGGGGGAAAGGGAAGAAAGAAGAGAGGAAGAAACGGAGGAGCAAGATAGAAATACTTCCCTGTTGGGCGCGGAACCCGAAAAGGAGGAAATTAACTTACGGTATTACCACTGACATACCGGTTACCGTACAGGGATAACTGCCCGCCCCGCTGCCCCGCCTCGCCACATAGCCACAGGTAATAGGGGTAGACAACATAAGAATAATCAAGAATGATAAAGAATAAATACTAACACTAACAATAACAATGATAATAACAATAATAGTAATTATTATAATAATAAAAGAATAAGAATAAAGAATAAGATGCTCGTAAGGATGAACGTCCGGAGTAAAGCGGCATGGCAAGCCAGGGACGGCCGCTGATTGGCCCTGGGACAAAGACTTTGCGTGGCCGCTCTATCCTTAAAGCGGCCTTAGTGCCAGGAACAAGGTTTTTCTGACAGGGACAAAGCTTGGCGCGTATCAGGGCGGTATGAGGCACGGCCATACCATACCTTACCCCAAACATACAGACAAGGCGCATACGCATAAAAAGGAGTCGACGAGGCCAGGGAGGATGCGGTTTCAGGCTCAGCCGTGCTATATTAAGTCGGCGGCTACACTGGTGATGTTGGGTGGACGACGACGGAGAAGGGAGAAGAGGTCAACGGTCGTGGCTGCGTCTCGTCCATGGTTCGGCAGGGAGCTACGGAGTAACCGCTGGCCCATGGATGCCCTGGAGTTCTCTCAACCAGAGAAGTCTCGCGATGGAGTGTGGAGGGATGGATCCTCTCGGTTGGCCAGGCCTGATCACCCCGGCATGAAACTCGGAGTGCTTACGAGTTCGTGTATCGGATCTACGGAGTACGGTCTTGAGGCTGATCGTGGAAGTCGAACGGCGGCTATGACATCGCACGAAGTTTGGATCTCGTCTGCCATGATGTAGAAGAACACAGAGTACGGAGTAGAAGAGTATAGAGTATTTATAGAGAAAAGAAGGTAAGTTCTTATGTACAGAACTGCACTGCCCGTCATGTGACTACTACAACGGGAAAGCTCTCGCGATGTCAGACATCACCAACATCTACGGCGAGAGACCTTTATACAGACATACCTGAAGACCTATACCATGGCGAGCCTACGTCGGTCTCCGTACTTTTACCTCACCTGTCCTCTCTGCCAGCAAGACGTCGATATCACACAGCCTGCCTTCTACCGAGTCTTCCCCCTGTACGATGTCTACTTCCCCTGGCTGGAGGAGGCACCCCAGTGCAAAGAAGGCCTGGTGTTCGTGCAGGGCATCTTGTTCCATACCCTTCGCTTCGAGGAAGTGGAATATAGCCGCCGAGGAGTACTGATGCACAGGAGATGTCTTGGCTTCGTGCAACGTCTGCCGGAAGGGAAGCTCCGTCGCCTACTAGACGTCATAGAACCGACGTTCCTATGCGACTCCACGGGGCTGGAGAGTGAGAATGGCGCATTTTATTACCCTCGGAGTGAGCTGGAAAAGGGACAGTCTGGAGATGTCGACCTCGCCAGACTGCCGGTTGAGATCAGGAACATGATATCCGGATATGACGTTGGCCGACTTGAGTTTCTCGTCAGGTTGGCCGGTCAGCTTGCAAAGCCGCATATCGAGCCACTGACCATCCCGGACACCAGGTTCGATATTGCTATCGTAGAGATACCGGGGACCATCATGCGGATACATCTTATCGACCTTGGAGGCCGGTCGTATATCTGCTGTGTATCCGACCCTGCCAGCGGTGATACTCGACAATTGTATAGGGACTATGAATTTGGAGAAAGCAGGTATCTGGCCATCAAGACAGATGGCATCGGCGTTGTGGACATGGCACTCGACGAGAGCAATGGTCGGCCCAACTGGATCTTCAACCACTCCACCCGTCCATTTGGCAAGGAGATATCGCGGGTTAGAGACGCGGACCTCCACAAGCTGCGGGTCATCAGTGATGTATAACATTTGATTCCACGTTTATACCACCACCCATTAACCCACTAACCTCTCATATAGTCGATGAAATGCCGAGCCATACTCGCTACAAATCGCGGTGGCGTCGAACCGTACTTCGACGCAGCGGCAAAGCCACCCGGAAACTCGTGGATCGACTCTAGTCTGAGAGTAGGCTCACGGCCTTCCAAGCATACTAATCCATCAACCTACTTCGCTCAAGCAAGATACATATCCTTTGAACAGGCAAAGTCTATCACTTTCTACGTTAACCTGGTTCGTCTTGGAATCACGGAAATATACGTGAATGATACCGAAAACCACAGAGGGTATACTGTCCAGTTTCCAGAACGGCCCCCAACGCGCATGAAGGTTTCTGTCTGTCGGTTGAGCCAGGGCCAACAACATCCTTTTATCCAGGTATGCTTTTGACCTTTTTCCCTGAGGGATAATGTGTTGGCCGCACTAACGCGTACAGTTTGACATCGACGGGCAATGGATGCCTTCTCTTCCGCAGAGTGGTATCATTATTCAACAGGTGGTAGTGGACAAGGTCATCGGCGTCTGGTTGGGCGAGACTTTCCCTCTTGACCCCATACACATCGGCGTGGTACGACATGAATCGGCGCCGAGTCTTCCTCCTGGCGAACAGACGATGAGGGTCCCCGATCTGTCAACGTTTACCAGCAGATGGTAGTCAATCGGAGATAGAACAACCGGTAAGGGAAAAGTTAAAGGTAGCCCTGTGGTTAACTTTGCTATATAATTTATAATTTCATAACAGTGCAGAGACCGATTCTTTCACATCTCCCAGACAATATCGTTAATCCGCCAAGCCATAGTTCTATCTAAGTTTTTGAACGGGGGCGTCGGACCGATTGCGAGAATTTCGGCGTGGATCGTGAGGCTCCACGACACAAAGATCGACCCACATCCCAGATGCGATGAATATGGGGAGGATGTGGAAGAAAAAATCAGCCCTGGGCTGCCTAATTTCGCGGTTTACGTGTATATACATACGGAAACGAGTAACGATATTACGATGATTCATGGAAGATCTAATTCGCCCATCAAAAAACAGGAACACGTCTGCTGGCACCACGCTGCGTGGGCAAATAATATTGAAGCAACTCCTGGCTTGCTTCGTTCATCAGTACAGTACAGTATATTTTCAGTCATCACTTGAGCAGCACCATGCCTCCTCGTTCGGGACTCTCATCACTTATCCGCTTAGCACCTCCTTCCTCCCATTCTTCTTCCTCAAGTAATTCCCACTCTGCGTTGGCCATTTCGCCGAGTAAGGTGGATTTTAGCTTATCCGCAATCTTGACGGGAGACGGTAGCTTCCATGTTTTCATAAATTCCACTCCCTCCACGGAACCAAGGAACGAATGTGCAGATCCATGCGAATAGTGGCCGAGGATAGGAAGGGATCGTGAACGTCGTAGGTTGTTCCGCGGATTCGCGTTGGTGTTGGCGTTGGCGTTGGCACTGGCGTTGGCACTGGCGTTGGCGCTGGCGTTCGTATTGGTAATAATATCGCCATTGCCGTTTTCTGGAAGATCTTTGTCTTGTCCGCGGGAAGGGCTTGGACTCTGTTGATTTTCGCGGTTCGACAATGCTTTAAGGAATGCCGGCGGGGCTACGAGAAGTTGCCATAGATTTCTCCCAATGTCACATACATCTTCCCACGACTCTGAGCCCAGATGAAGGCCCTGTGTTCTGCATAGCCATGATATGTCCCATGCTAAGAGGGACACTCCTTCGATAAACAGCGCATAGCTGGTGGGATCCTCCTTGGCAAGCTTTGGGAGGGAGCGGTCAATGAAGAGCGGTCTAGGGCGGGGCCCTGCGTTGGCCTCCGCGCTGCGTGGGATGAGTGAATGGCCGGAAATTGAATGCGATGGGGATAGGTTGGGTGAAGAGTCATGGCGGCGTGGCATGTAGGATGCTGATGGAGTGAATATGGCGGGTAAGGGGTGTCCGCGGTGAGGTACTACGATCTCTGCAGGTAGCCTAAGAGCTAGATAATGCGACACCAGGACGAGCATTCGGGAGATATGACTTAAAGACGTGGTTATTTGCGCGGGGCTAACATCTACATTCACGCCGGAAATGTCAGATTTGTATACTTGGATGAAGAAAGGGTTAGGACACCGCAGTTACTCACTATTCATATGTCGAAGATCAACGATGCTGATGCCTCCGATAGCAAAGGAGTTTGTCAGGTCGCCTTTTCTCCGCCTCGTTCTTTGACGCAAGCCAAACAATGTTGCCGCTTCACGACATAAAAATACCCGAGACTCCACAGCCTTGACGTGGAGGTTATTCCATTGCTTCTCCGTAGCCTTGATACTGCTTTGAACAGTTCCTAGCGACGTAGCCCGCCGACTAGACACCTCGTAGTTAGCCGACTCGGCATCAGACCGCCGTTGGGCAAGGGCAGCTCGTCTTCGAGCAATCTCCTTCTTCCCATCTTCGATTTCCTTTTCCAAAGTAGAGATATGGGATAATATATCCTCTGTTCTCCCAGCCGACTGCGCAATAGCGGTACGTTTGGTCTGGAACAATAACCTCGAGGGTTCAGGCTCGGGTTCAGCCTGTTTGGCTTCGTCAGATAACCGCAAGCCGTCACCACTCAATATATCGGCGTTTTCTTGTGTATTTTTCGTTATCAATTCTTCGATTTGCGCACCAGCCGTATCCTTCTCCAACAGAACTCCCGCATGTTCGAAGCGGAGGCCGTATAGCTGGTTACGAGCGCATGTTGGGCAGTAAAACCCTAGCCATGGGTTAGGCGGTTGGGAGCATACGTGGCAGGCCATGTCAGGTTATTCTCAGCAGCTTCGTTGTAGGGCCACGGTCTCTCCAATCCAAGCCGGTCGTATCTATTCGCCGAACACCAAGGAGCAGCGTTGAAGGGCCACTGAATATGTATTGGGTCATGACTTAGAGCCGGAAGAAATAGTTCTCTAGTTAGCGTATTCCCTGGAAGTATCTCATCATAATACAAGCCGGGATCTCAGGGCAAACTTGAAGGAAGAAATTGTCATTTGTTGCCTCCGTGATAGCTCGACGAATCGATGCATGACCTGCGATGATGTCACCTGATCCAGGCAGGCGACGGTTGCCGAAATGGTCGAAGTTTGCCGTGTTTGCACTCTATCTGGATATATCAACTTGAACGACAATAGAACGACAGACTACTACTTGATAGCAGTCGATTGACCACTTGTTCTATTTGAAAGACAGCCAGTAGGCTCGGTTTACCCTACCGCGATGAACTCCGATACGGAGACGGAAGAGCGAAGTGTTACTCCTGTCCCCGGCTCTTCTCTCGACCCGGACTCTCCTCTTATGGACTCTCCCATTTACCCAAGAAGCCAGAGGATAGATAGGACCCCAAAAGAAAGGGAAGAGCCATTCGATTCACCTATACTCAGGCTCATAGCCGAGCCTAGAGTGGAATCTAGGGCAGAATCCAGGGTAATACCCAGGGCAGCATCCAGCACAGAGCCCATTGAAACGCCCATTGCAGAGTCCAGGGTAGAATTCAGGGTAGAATCTAGAGCAGAACCTAGAGTAGAGCCTAGGGCAGAATCCAGGACTGAGTCTCGAATCGAGCGAAAGAAATCACCCATGCCGGCCCCCAAGCCCAAAGACGTCCAACATGAATTCTCCAACCTAGCCCATGAACTAGAAGGCTGCACCTGGGAACAGCTCCAGCAGCGATTCATAGAAGAAATGGACGAACGGTCCAAGGCGGAAAATAACCTGCAAAAAGAGACCGCCGATCTCCTTGAAGTTCGTTTCACCTCTGGCCATCAACGTCTCCATGTCAGAATTTGAATTTTAACCTACTCTTTTGCTTGCTGCATAGGTGTTTATGGCTTGGTCACAAACTACTACCTTCCGTGATGAGGACCGGGCATACAAGAGGTTTGTTATAGATCTCCTACTTTCCTGCCACGAAGCTGCAGTAAACTAACCTTGGATAAACAAGGTTTAAAACCCGAATGGATCATGTCCAAAAGTCAGAAGAGACCCTAGAGGAAAAGAAGACACACTGTATGAAAACTCCCACCACTATGCAACGCTATCATTACTAACACGAGGTATAGATGCGAATGTTGTTAAGGCCTTTGAGAGTGCTCTAGCACTTCTTCGAACGGAGTAACCTTTGTTAGTATTGCTACCAACAAACGCCATTAATGATTTGAGGAAGGATCTGTGGATTTAATGTATATTTATGACAAATTCCCTGGGATTATGAAGATGATGCTGCCCTATTAGTTATGACTGGCCCCCAGAGCCCGATGTGTAATAATACTAATATTTCTCCATCTCCTGTCCCCCCATTTCCCCTCCAGTTTCCCCCCCATTACCCCTTTCCCTTGCCACCATACCCTATTGACCTAATTTGAAGTATTTCATAAAGCAAGGCTGCAATTTTTACAGGGATCTCAACGATCATCGTGATAGCCATCATCGCGGGTACGTCTACTGGCGGAGGATGGATGTGGAGTGCCTGCTCGGCCCATAATATCTTCCCAGGTAGCCCCGAACCTCCTACCGGTGGAAGCTAACAATCCTTCTTCCTCGGCTTCCTCGGCGTCTTCATCCAGCTGCTGCTCGTCGAGTCTGGGAGTTCGGAAGAGCGTGGTGATAAAAACAATAAGGGAAAACCCTATATAAGCAGAAGATTAGTAATTTCTCCGTAAACTAAGCAGGATATCCCTTACCTAGGAAAACAAATTGTGCCCAGAAGTTCACCAGACCGAAAAATGGGAAGTTCAGCGTAATTCGATTTAAGAAGACGCTAACGACACTGGGTGTGCAAACGTCCTTGGCCGAGTGGTTTTCTGTAAGTTCCGAACAAGGCTTAACATCTTGAGGCCGATTTTCACAACTTATTGCACTTTCTCCGGCTCCAGAGGGAATATCACAGAACGTTTGTGGTCCATATGTCGCATACTGTGGAGCCACCATCATAGATATCGAGAAGTTAAGGGCTAGGATGATTAGAGCAAGCATCACGGTGGCGAGTAGCAGAGCCTGGGGCGTTGTATGTCCTTTCCTGATGCCGAATATTCTAACCCATAGGAATCTTATGCCGACAGTGGCAATTCCAACAACAGCGCTGCTGAAGAAGTGTAGCACCAATATCGTAAAGAGGACGTAGTCAATAGGGAAAACCTTCGCAGACTGTAGAAGCGCCCAGTTGATAGGGTTGAATACATTAACTTTCGCGAGAATATAGCCACACTTGTGCTTGCAAATGGAGTTTGTTGCTTTGTCGATTCCAGTAAGGAGCATGGAAATCCATATCACGATGGAAAGCAGCAGTAACAATAGGCCACCGAGAAGCTTGATTGGGCGGAATACGGCTTCTATTTTGTGCCATATTTTCACGAGATAGCCCCTTCCATCACCTGCATTTGACTCTGCCAAACGTTGCCGGCGTCGTAACGATCGTTCCTCACGCACAAGGGAGTCAAGCTCCCGCCTGTCCTTCGATGACAAGTGGTCGAGGTTGCCACCGCAGCGGCCTTCAAGCTGGCGCTGACGCTCGATATTCCCCTCTAACCTAGATGCTGTTGTGGCATACAGTGATGGGCTGGAAACGGAGGGGGCGGATTTAATAAACGAGACGGGGAAGAGTGCAAGCCCAATCGATGTATAGAATACGTAAACAACGATACCGATCATTGTCAGCAGGCCCAGAGCAAAAGTCAGAGCTCTTTCACCATCTGAAAAATAGCACAAAGAATGTCAGAATTAGCATGTGTGTCAATAAAATATATGATACTGCCGCGGAAAAGAACTCTAAGCATCACGTACTATTTTCTGTGAGAAGATGTTTGAAATAGTCAAGGTCAAGCCCGGCTCCACCCTTATTCCTGGCAACCGGCACGAAAAACCCAACCAGGAAGAGAATGATCGTCACTATAAGGAACGCAGCCGTATATCGAAAGGCGCCCCAGAACCTCTTTCCGAAGGCATGCCAGTCCTGGTGTTCGACGAGCTCATCATATTCCTCGTACCAGAAATACGTGAACGGAATGACCAGAAGGCAGAGAATGGTATCAAGTGAGTAGAGGGAGTAATACACAATCGTGAGAGAATGTACAATACTGGCGACAGTATCTGGCGTCGCCCAGTCCTTCCTCTGGCCCAATTTCCGCGAATTGGTGGATGATATCAAGGCAATGTCAACTGGCAGAAGTAACACCGTGGCTAGGAGAGCCGACACGGTGAGAATGCATATCGCTGAGACGAATCCTGAGCGCTCTCTCGGAGCTTGGTAAACGTAGACAAATATCGAAGCTATCGCGATTAGCACTACAACCACGACAGCATACACGATCCATATGAGGGTGGACTGGAGTAGACCCATATTGCAGGAATCAACAGACGAGGCTGTTTACATAACACTAATGGAGGACAGGGCTAGCAAACGACTAGCAAAGAACTATCCGCTGGCATTCATCGTGTTCGTGAAGGCGTCGTTGAGATCTTGATGTTTGTTTCACAGCTCCAGCCAAGCTTTTGTCGTCATAACAAGAAGCCTTGGCGGGCCGTTGGTCACGTGGTCCAGCTCTCGCGAGAACCGCCAACGTCAGAACAAACAACAAACGCGAGCCTTGACTATGGAACTGATATCTAATTCTACCTACACACGGGCTACTGAGGTCTATCTAACATTTGATGATTGAGCTTGGACCTTATACATCTATACAAAAAATTTCGGCTCTCTTTTTCGTTGGTGCAAATTCAGGAACTCAATATATATTTCTGTTAAATTGATTCCGCCTTCTATATACCCTTCATCATGAAAAAGAACGGGTCTGTCATCACGCAAATCTCAGACAGGGTACACTACGTGACCTGAACCCATGCCAGAGATGAGAATGATGATTAGTTACATGTTTAAAATTCCCTGGACTCCAACCCCTCTCCTATCACCAACCTTCAGCTACTTTCCGTTTAAATGCATCAAAAATCAAATTAATCATATGTTTCCCCTTTACCATGAGTGTGAGGGCCGAACTAGATACTCAACTGCTCTGGGTTCCAATTCCGACGGGTTTCTGGGGATCAGGCCTGCAAGTTCGGTTTGGCAGCAGGCTGCGGAATTAATAATACCGGATAGTGTTGAAGCTGATGCTCGTATACCCAATTTTCTTTCCCTGGCTGCTAGCTTCGAACTTTAGCACCCCATCCAGCGCCCCAAAAATGACTTTCAGTTCGTACTCGAGGTGGTACGCTAGCACGCCCCTGATATACTTGGATGGAAATCTATTCAATTCGGCGTTGGAAAAGTCCATCTCGATAACTCCGACAAGATAACTATCTGCGCTACTGTTAACTTATACCAACGCCCAAGATATCAGATAGAGACGAACCTGGGCCAATCCGCTCCGGAGCATCCATCAGGTCACAGGCATATAGGGATATGGACGTCTCGGGTCGTTGATACCAATAGTGCATCGTTCGAATGAAGGATTTACATGTATAGTTCTCTTCATATCTCTCACCCTTTCCGGTTATATTTATTAGGGAATGCCTTCAAATAACCGTGTGTGAACCCTTGACTTACCTTTGAGATCATCCAATTCATAATTCCTGAAACCATCTTAACTCCCGTGAAATCATCAATATAAGAATTAGACTCAGCATCTATGCCTTTTCGGAACGGGATGGACCATTGGAAGCCGTAGTGTCGACGGCATTTCTTTGTTGTGGACCGGAGCCCTTCAAGTCCACGAAGAGCGGCTCCTTGAACGATTGCCGCTTGTCTGCATAGTTTAGTAAGTACGTTTCCATGATTCCATATTAATTCTTTAATTGGACAAAACGTACGGTTTGTCAGGAACAAGGATACTGATGCCCATAGGTTCGAAGGATTTCTGGAATTCCTCACGAAGGTACTCCGAGTCGCCAAACCCGCCGACGAGGATGATCCTCTAATTTTGTTAGCCAAAGAACTAGCGGGGGAGAGAAAGATAAATATCGAATATGCGTGTGAGTATAAACATAGGTAACGTACGTTAATGTATCTTGCCACTTCCTGTGCTTCCTGGATCTGTTGTTGTACTAAGGCGAGAATCTGTTTCACTACAGGGTCGAAAATCAAGAGGAGATCATCCCTACAGCGGATATTAGAGAGCTTATTGCTTTGAACAACCTTCTGGGTGCTTCTCATACCTGGTTAATAATACCAGTTGCTCGTCGCTATCGAAATGGTTGCTATTTGCGTCAGGAGCATTCATGTTGAGAGGGATTTCGAAATCCATCGGCCCGTTGGATAATCTAAAGTCCCTCTTAATGACCTCGAATTTATTCATAAAGTCGCTACCGGGCCGCTTTCGCTTCATCGGTAGCCTTTCGAATACCTTGCCAAACCGGTCCGACATTAGTCGATAGAATTCGCGGTCTATCGCGGTCGACCCGCATTTACCTCCTGAGGTTGCTTATAGTCAGATGAAACTCTCATAAGGTTATTCTTTTGATGATAGCTTACCGGTGCCCGTGCACAATTCTTCAAATGCCAGAGTAGGGTGTATTTTAAGGATGAGGTAGGTAGTTAGGTCCTGATATACCTATGAGAACCGATCTTTTGGCTGAGAAACCGTCACTACCAATGTTTACTTACCACAGTACCACCTCCACAGTCACAAACCAATACACCATCACCAGGCTACATAGTCCATGGTTAGCTAACAATATTTAACACCTGGACAGAAAACTCACTTTGACCAGCCTGCCGATTTCTTTTGTGGTGTACTTCTTCAGTGAGGCAATAGCTGCTGCCTCTGGCTCGTTGATCAAATATATCTCATCGTTTGGCCGGGTGGTACTGCTGCCAAACCCTGCCCGTCGAGCAGCATCGATCGTAGCATTCTGCGCCTGGTCTGACCAAATTGCAGGCACTGTGAACCAGAACTCCAACGGGGTGGCTCGCAGTGTGTCTTCTGTGATTTGTTTGGCGATTCTGCGGATGATATGAACGTAAACCTCAGACAAATAATCACTTACAACATCAGTTGCCATCTTCCCTTCCGGTAAGTGAAGAATGCCGGCTTCGGAGGTTTTTTCAAGCAGCGGGTCATCGTATTTCGAAAGCGCGGTATTTTGATCCAGAAGCAATTTTGTCCACGAGCATGCAGTCATACCCGGCTCAACTTCATACCCCCATTTCCGGGTGCAGGTGCCTTTGTTATCATCAGGATATGCAATGCGAGACGGCGCTTTCACCACCGCAGTGGTGTCTCTGAAGGTTCCGGGCCAGATGTCGATGACTGTAATATCATCGAGACCCTTTCCTTTTGAACTGACGAAGCTAGCTCCTTTAACCTGCTATATTAGCTACCATCTCAACAATGCAATGGGAAGGGGAGAGAACCGGTGAACGTAGTTCCATAATCCACGCCCACGATGATCTTGTTACTCGAGTTCAAACCCAGTGACCTGAACTTGTTCAGGAAGAGTCTTTTTTCGAAATCAGATGCCATGGTATCGCGATACTCTTGTGGTTCAGGGCACTGTTCCTATCTAAACTTGCTGCTTTGCTGTGGTTTCCTTGATGTATATTAGTCTCCCTTATTTGCCGCAGGCATGAAGGGGAAACTATATTTCACCAGTATCCTTGGAGAGCATTGAATTACTCTTCCGCCCTGTGCTATAAATGGCCATTATGCTGAGTCCAACTGCCTAAAATGGTTGACCCCCTTCATCTCTGTGTTTTATCCCTTGATGACGTGAAGCACGGCGCTTAGCCTGCATGCATAAATATCATCTAGGTAAGAATGATCATTCTGAAATCACAGTTTTAATCCGCCATCCCTCCTGCTAACCTGATCAAAACCAGCTACAGAAAATCATCGGATGACACTCTAGGTGAGACCTAAGTCGCGGGCCGTGGTTACTACTACGAAATGGTAGGTTATATGAACCACTACACCAAACTGGCCTGTTATTTATATCTGTTTACTCATGATACCCCAATTACAGAAACAATCTCCCCTTGATGTTAGAGATAAGAAACGGAGAAAAAAGCCTCGTGGCCGTTTAGGATTTGTTGTCCGACCCTCAACAAATAACCTATCCAGTGGTGGTCGTATGAAAGTGCGTATTTCTGAACTTTTCGACTGTCAAAGATTTCTGGGGAAATACTAACTAAATATAAAATATAACAGCAGCTTTATAAATTGATCATGGGGTCCGAGACGCCGCAAAGTCCGTCACATACCTATGTTGAACGCGCAGATAACAAAGCAGACGATCAATCCTGCCCAGAAGATCCGCCACGAAAACAAGATGATGCAGGGCCAGCTATTGACGCCCATATGCACCGTTTGGAAGATGATCTATGCCAGTACAGGATGCCTGCCCGTCGGAACGAGGTGGAATGTTGCCAGGAACTGCAAATGCGTGATGAGAATATCAAGCGCTTGAATGATACTGTCGCTAAGCTAAGGGAGGAAAATCAAGAGCTCAGATCCTTGGTCGTTGGCGCGCAGGAAAGTGCCCTCGAATCCATGCTAAGAAAGACTGGCTGGTCTCCAAAGGAGGATTCCCTGATACAGGAAGATCTCTCTAAGCTGGAGACGGCGCTGCGGAAGTGGGCGAGAGACCATAGTGTCTCAGCCCTGGCAGATCTAGACCATTTTTCACGAAGCGACAAAAACCTGATCCTAGGGCAACTGGACGGATACTGTATTTGGAGTGAGTGGCAGACACTGATTGAGAAATTACCCATCCCACGAAACAAAATTCCGGCAGTTCTCCTCCAGTCATTATTGGCAAGGGATATCTTTGAATGGGCCTTTGCTGATCCATTCTTTGCTTTTGCGGAAATTGAGGGAGCACCTGCTCTGCCAAAGCCAAATGAATGGGGCAATCTTTACAGGACATTAGTCGAGGGTGAGGCATTGATATCCATCGAAACATATATTCTATTAGATGCTAACCAGAACGCCTACTACCAAGTCCACGATGCTGAAGCGCATATTTGGCGCTCGCAAACACTTCGAATTCTGTCTACAGTTGCGAATCCAGGCACAGAGTTTCGAATTGCAAAGCGTATTCGCCAGCTGGCGGATCGAAAGGCAGCCAGTTTTCTCATCAGTCCAGCAACGCAGCTGCTCCAGCGTGTTTCATCTCCCGGGAGACAAAGTCAGCGCAGTCAAGAGCTACTTGTGTTGTATCGTACGGCAGCAGAGCTGGCCCTGTCGCTGTGGACACAGCGGACATTCATGAAACCCTACAGCCTGCGAGGTTTACCAATGTTCCATATATCCGAACCTATGATGGTGGCGCATCGTCTGCATCGCCTTGAAGAAGACGATATACGATTGGATGGGAATGATGTACTTTTGTGCGTTCAGCCAGCAATCTTGGCTTTTGGCAACGAGGACGCTGAAAACTACGACTGCTACAAGGTTTGGACCCCGGCTACAGTTGTAGTTGATGAGAGATCCTAGCTAGAAATGAGCCAGCATGCATTTTCGTTATGTGGTTTAGTGAATCAGGACGAATGATCTACTAGTAAAGTGGCTATAGTTGGGGAAGTATCCAGCTGCGGAGCTACCAGGACCCCAGCTGCGTTCTGTCATGTTGTATGTGCGCTATGTTTGGGTTCTGGGGCATGAACTGCAGTTTAGCCGCCATGAACTGTTATCTAGGAACTGTGTGGCACAGTTACTGTTCCCTGGTTATTTCTCGGTTCCGAGTTGCTCGTTAGCGCTGTTCCCTCTATACACAATAATCAATGCAGGTACCAGGATGTCTGTACCTTGGTGTTTGGCCAACCTATTCATAGTCCCAGCAATATGAATGAAGTGTGCCATCCCATGGTTGTTCTTTGCCGCCGGGGCTACTGCAGTAGCTGACGTCCAATGATGGACGGATGATGGCTCAAGGTGACAGATAGGGATATTTAACTAGCCCACAACGCTTAACTGCGACCTTGAGAACCAAACAATCATTACTATCATCGATTGGACTTCATACCACAGCAGCATTTAATGAGTTTATAGTAGGGACGCTTGCTATTCTCATCTTGGTTTTGCAATAACAACATATCGGCAGATTTATACAGCTTTACATGGTTCATTTTTGTAAACGAATCCACCTATGGCCCTAACAGCTTTGAAACCAGCTGCAAATGTTCCCCCCCTAGAGAACGTCTTACTGTTTTCCTACCCTATCATCGATAGCCAACGATGACATTATTAAACACATGATGAAACTAAGCTGGCGCTTGTATAAATAGAACACTCCATTGCTAATCGCACACAGCCTCCGCTAAAACTCCCAAGACATGTCGGACAGCTCCGTCTAAGAACCCGGGGCGCCTATAACACAATGCTGAGCTTTAAAAAAATCCTTGGGCTTTGTCCAGTCTAACCCGTCATCTTTAGTGCATACTAGGGGCTGCACAATCTCCAGTTTGCTTTCTGCTAATATTCACCCCCCCCCCCCCCCCCCCCCTTTTTTTTTTTGCTTTGGTCTATTCTACATCGTTAGTCCCTTCTAGGTCGAGATCCTCTTCTCTTCCCCCATCGTTCAGAAACATTGGTATCATCTATGATATGGCAGAGCGGGCGCATGCTGCAGGTGTCTAGACAGCTTTGAATGAAGACATCAAGTTTGGGATAGCAAGCCTCTGCTGCGAGTGAGATTCGAAGGGCGGCAGGCAATGTGAATATATATTGGAGAAACAAGGGAGAGATAATATTGAATACCTCAACTTTTAAACCGCTGGTAGGCATGGGTTAAAGTGCAGCAGCTTGTAACAGCTCTGATGCCTTTTCCACAAGCACCATTGGAACGCATATTTCCCAGTCGTATGAGGCGGGACAGCTCATGTCAGGAACCGTGGATGTAGATGAAAAGAAGGTAGAGTTCACAGGATATCTACATCACGAACCCTATCAGCGCCGTAGGCCAGACAGAAGGTAATACCATGTTCTTCTAGTTCCTGAGTAACAGCGAGGATATCATCGGTGCTGTGCCCACCATTTGACGCATCTTCGTTGGTGTAAATAGACTGGGTGTCTGAGCAGGACTCATCAGTTTCGTTCCTGCTTTCCTGCTCCGCCTGCGAAGTGTGGTCCAGAGAAGGATAGGGATGGAGCTTTAGCCAGCTCATGATTGCGCTCACAGAAACGAACAAAAGGAGTTGAGCTGAAGAAAATGGTGGAAATGCGGAAAGGGTTGCAAAACATATATGGTAAAGTATGAATAATAACGTAGATGGGCAAGTAGAGGTTAGTCCAAGACCGGCCAGATAGGTATGGGTTAGAACGCAGGAAAAATGGCTGCAATCTTTCCAGCAGACAAATGCCATCTCTACCACTCTCCTAGTAGAGAGCGGCCTAGACAGGCTACGGTCATCCTTAGTAGTTGGGTTATTTAATATTCAACTCCCAAAATACCCATGATATCCAATGGTGTGTTGAATATTAAATAACGCTTACGATAAATATTACGGAATTGGAACTTTCCTGTCAAAACAAAGTACCGCCGACTTGAGAAGAGAAATTTTAGCAACACAAAACTCTTGACCACCGTTGATAGAGCAGGCAAAAGGCCTTCAAAACCAAGTAGGTGTACCATGTCTACAAATGAATATTTTTAGCATGAAATAAGGCTAAACTTAGCTACGCATCAACAGGTTCTTCGGTATCTTGCAGTTGAGGTCGCATCAGTTACGTTGAAGCCGTGAAAAGTCTGGCTGGCTTCGAGGAACAAAAAAAAATATAACTCGATAACTAACCGTATAGTTAATGAATTGAACTGCTTGTCGCAAAGATGATTAGGCCAGCTCACCTATTAACCACGAGTTTCTTCTACCCAACTGGTAACACCCCAGCAGTGTGTCTTACGCGCTCCCTTCCCCCAGGCCAGGATGTTTCCTTACTTCTGCTTGGATGCGGGGATGTCCGCAACGTTCTCTTCACTGCATACGCAGATCTAGGGTCTGGTAGGTTTGATATATGTCCCACATAAGCTGTACTTGGGAAATGACACCTTGGTACTAACTTGTTGGCGATTGTTAGGAAATCGAAAAGTGGATGTAACTTGCTGCGATATTGAAACAGAAATTATAGGTATGGTGTCGTTAAGAATATTCCCTTGAGATACCTTGTTACTGATTTGGCAATAGCCCGCAACGTTCTGTTCTACACTCTCATCCTCGATGACCTAGAGAATGAGAATGTCAAGAACATCTGGAATCTCTACAATGGGGTCCTGGTTAGCACAGCCGCCCTCACGCTGCTGCGAGATCAAGCAAAAAAGCTAATAGGAAACACAAAAGCGGCTACGAACTGGAACGATGGCAAGTATGGCAAAATACTTCGATTCTGCAGCCATTCAACTTTTTCACAAGTAATGCATTTATGGGAATTTTATGCTTTGGACCCCTCCAACAAACAGGCGTTCGAAAAGCAGCAGAGGAAGCTTAAGCAGGGAATAGAAAAGGCAAAAGAGATGCAGAAAAAATTAATAGGAGAATCTAGGGTCATCACTGGTCTTCGCTCTGCAGCGCCCTGCAGTACTTCCGATGCTGGGGAATGTTCTAAAATCTATGAGCAATTCTGGGAAGAGGGAGTGGTTCTACGGGATGCACGGTCAGTCGATAAGGCACAACATATGAATCCGATGTTTGGAACCCTAAATGAACGCCTTGTCCTTCACTATGGTACTCAACCGCTGCTCGGCTACCACCTTGCAACCGCATACGCGCCAACCACTACGGAATCTCCATTGAAATATGATTCAGTAGATTTAGCAGACAACCCCGAAGCTGCGAAGGCAGCTTTTGCTCAGTTTTGCGCCTATACGAAGGCATTTCGCGCCTGTTCTACACTGTGGACAATTCGTTTTGTAAATGCCGACGCCCTGGCGTTTTGTCATACGCTTCAAAGCCTTGAATATCATGATGAGACGACCGGTCCAGGGTGGTATCGTGATAACTGGCACTACGAACCTTTTGTTTTAGACCCACAAGAATATCCTAGTCAAGGAAGCAGAGCCCCAACCTTCTTTGATGTGATTGATACTTCGAATTTGGTGGATCACCTTGGATCTTTGAACCTGCTAGTCGCCACATGTCCCCTGTTGAAGCGAATACCTACATCAGCAGTTTATACAGAATTACTGGTTCGACGACGTGAAAATACTGATCAATACGTTAAATCGCTACTCTCTGGGGATTTAATGACTATTGGTCTGCTGTTTAAGCTCACTCCAATTCAGTACTGGACTGGCGCGGCAATATCATCAGATTTCACTGAAAGGACGCTTGATATTAGCAGTACGACGGGAGGCCAGTCCCGCTATATCATCCAATGGTCAAGAATTGTCACTGAGCCTATAATTTTTGAGCCTAAGCAACTGTCTAATTTGATGTATCGGATGTATCTAGACATGTTCAAGGATGAGGACCCCATCTATATCTCGAAAATGAAAGCACGAGATTCCTTGTGGGATCAATATGCAAGCTACACAAGAGCTGGCCTATGTTCCATCCTGCGTTTAATGCAGAAATCAAGTCTAACGGACTGGAACTCCTTCGTTAGACAATATTGCGACTTAATAACCGAGGACACGCATCTTAATATGGGTTCACTTTATCTCCAGGAGTTTTACTTGCATCTCTATCTCTCAGGCTTACTCACAATGCCGACCTTTGAGCCTGGTATGAACGGTATGGTGTCAACACATCTACCACGGAGCCCCTTTCGACATTGGGCCAATATTCCTCCAGTATTGTGTATCAGCATGGTTATTCCCCATCACAAGCTCACCTTATTCCAGAACGCGCCGACGCAGAAATATGGAACGCCAGTTTCCCAGATTGTGTTGAAATCTGAATTTGGACTGAGTTATTTTCCAGATATACAGCTAAGTTTTGGAGAAGTACAGGTGTCGGGTACGAAATTTTCAGAAAACTATGCCCTTGAAGTTAGCGTTGACGACAGAGGATGGGATGGTAATTCTCCCCTAATTGTTTCTGCAATGATTCCTACATCCTTGGCTCTTCTACTTCCAGACCTGTCAACCGAAGTTCTTTTTGCGCTCAAGATCACTCCCGTGACTTTAATGCTCATAAAGGAGCTCGGGATGGAGCTGAAGATTCACGGATCCTCATTAGTCGGCGATGATGTTTTCATAACTCGGTATCGACCGAATATGAAGAATCATTTGTTTATTGGCCCCTCGAAACCGAACCCAACAGAGAGCAAAGGCGCATTGTTAAGGCCCCGGGGATCCGCAGGAGCGGATGGAGCTGAATTGAAATTTCATGTACTGCTTGATTCTGAACAATCAAAGGCTGTATCTCTCACCACCCGGGTGGACATAACATCACCGCGTTGCCAGGAGGTCTTACGACAAGGTGCTGAGGTTCGCGTGGAACAAATTTCCCCATACGAAATCAGCATTGAATTTCAAGGGGAGGCATTTTATGAAAATATTCGCCTTCCTCTTCCTGTCTTGGTGACAAATACTAAAACCAGGATCGCAAGAAAGTCATCTTATGTTGAGTTTATAGCGCCGATAGCTTCACCAATGTCCCTGGTACAACGCTCTGATAATGTATATCCGGTTGGAATTTATGAAAACACCCCAATACTGCAAAATTTGGACTATACTGCACTTGACAAGTTACCCATTCTTGATGTGAAGAACAAATCGAAGCTAGGATGGCTATGCCCGGTTTTGTCAGACATGTTTTCTGCTCGAGAACGAATGGAGCGTGAAAAATACAGGTCATCTACTACTAATTGCCCAGACACACGGGTCAATTTTAAGGATTCGCTTTATGCGTTATTCGGGTACTTCAGTGGCGTCGAGAAAGAGTCCCATGCTATTTTTGGCCTAAATAACAGTGCAAATGGTGGAATTAATGTATTAATATTTATTTCGTGTCTACGACTTGATATCTCGAACCAGAGCGTGGTCCTTGACGGTGCGGTGTTTCCACTGACGACGAATCTTGTTCCGAAGATAGAGCTATCCCTTAGGGATTTAACCACCCGTGGCATGCAGGGAATCCACGTTGATGATGACGAACTCCTACTCTGGAAACATGTGCTACCTGCATATGTGGAGCGGTGCCGAACTTGGGAGCATTTGCCGTCGTGCGAGTATAGAGCTTCTGGCAACATACCGCTCTCGGTCGAATTCGGTCAGCCGCTTCTTTGCTTATGCGGCCAAGGCAAATTCTTCAGCGACTACAAGATTAGGGGGTTCCCAGAATGGAAAGATATCAAAAAATACGCAGTCCGCGTTGCCATATCGCCATGCAACTTTGTTCCGTTCGTGGAGAAGGCTTTCACACCAGATTTGACCGTTATCGAGAAAACCACACAAGGTCTTTCTCAGATGATGAAGGCTTTAGGCATAAAGGAGGGTTCGTGTTCAAGTTGCGGAGGGGCAGGATCTGAAAAAGGGGCAAAGTTACTCAAATGCAGCGGCTGTAAGGTTGCAGAATATTGCTCGAAGGAATGCCAAAAGGTGGATTGGCAAACGAAACATAAGGCAGCTTGTAAAAAGCTCAGCCAATTGAACTGAACTGGGAAAGCTAAGGGTAGTGCAGACTTTGGTTTGAGATCCCCGGTTTGTTTGATAGAGCTACCTCCTCGATCAATACCCCCAATTTTCCTCCCCTCTACCCACCTACTAACTCCATGTCAAATATTTGAACGAGAAACCAATATCCTAGGGTGGCAGAATCAAAGTCTTACACATTTCCAGCACGTACGGAGTACTTGTAAGGAATAGTTTCTTATAAACAGGTCTTACAAGTATAGATAGCAGCCTCGGGGTCACACGGATTTGCAGGAGGAAAACAAAACATCAATACTAATATCTCCATCTGGATCTATATTTCATTGACCCAAGTAAACACCTAGACGCTAACAAGACTAGTCTCCGGTACCGATATCCGATATCCGGCCAGATGTCTATCACCTCTAGTGTTTCGGCCTAACGACACTCAAACGTCCCAGGCCCCGTACATACTCCACAACGCCATGCTAATGCTTAGACATCAATAATAATTAGGCCACTGGCTGTCATCCCCCGCTGCATGATGGCAAGTAGAGCTAAGGTGCCGGGTAGATTAATAGATTAATCGGGAAGGTCAGTGTTGAGTTCATTTGGAAGAATTCCAGGACCTCAAATCAACGGCGGTATGACTCGTGCACGCTATTAAGAGCAAACCACATCCAAAGTATCCCGTTATAGATATATTAATTATGGAAAACCACATGACATCACAGTTGCCAGGGTCTTCGTGCTTAACTAGTTATTTCATCAGCCGCGGATAGCGTTTCAATAGTGAGAACAGACGTTGCAAGTCCATCGCTTAATATGTGGTGGTGTCTTGTGTGTTTGAAGTCCGGTCGTAGGCTAGAGCGCCATCCCTGAGCTCTTCAGCGATGGCACCGGCCGCCGTTATTGATTTAGGTGTAACAGGCCAATGCAGGTTCAGAGGCGCCCGCCTCATCACCACCCTGCCCTTGCTCAGGTACCCGAGGGCGAAACTGAAAGGTTTCTCGACGATGACCCGCGGAACAGGAAACATATCCTCCGCGCTCCATAGGTACTCCATTGCTCCATAGGTACTCCATCATGCTCCATGCGACTCCCATAGGGGGTTCAGTTCCATCGAATATATCGCTAAACAATGGTGAAATATATCAATTGGAGCTACCGGGCGATAACACTGAAGATGGACTTAATCTATCCGATGTGGACTCTCTCTATAAGCGAGAAGCAGATAAGCTCGATCTGAGAAGGATAGCTGAAACGACCATACGAGAACATCGTCATGGTTCCTGAATCGCGTCATTTGAGCACTGGAGTCTTCATAGTGGATCTGGATCTGATCTGGTGATAGCTAACCCCGTAGTACTGTCGTGTGGCCGGTTGTTTGTGTTTCTTGGATATGTGAAGATTTCTTGCTGGAGAGTTGGTTGTTGGCGATGCCCAAAATAGGCGGTGAGCACGTGAAATGCCCTTTTGTCGACGACTTCAACTTCAACTTCGACGACATCGACGACATCCTCTATAAACACCCGTCAAAAGACCCATCGGCCAAGTCAAGCATCGGAAGAAACATGGAAGTCGCCTTGTATGGAGTCCAAGATTTACACAGCCGTCCACTCAGACGCAGATATCGCCGGGCCAACTGAGTGGTGGAGCATCATCCCGCGTGGTGGGAAGAGAGACCAGTTTCCCCAGCATGAATGGAACCTTGGGATACGGGAGTCGCAAAGCCGATTGCAGGGTGCCCTGTTGACGGGACCCCGTCGCGGAGATGCTTTTTCTCGTCGCTCTGCCGGCGCGGCCACCGCATGAGATATCTTCGTCGCCTGGTTGGTGGCTGAGACACTGGAGTACAGATCTATAACTCCTGCAGCACCATGAAAAAAAGTCAAAACCGCCTCTCTTTAATGCTGCTACTTGGGCACAGCATGCACCTGCGCAAACACACCGCTCCTGCTGGTTCGTTGGGCATCGCTGCTAGGGACATATGCCGTCGGACAGTTGCAGGCCACTCACGGGCAATCGACAGGCACTGAGCTTCTCTAGTGCTCCTATATGCATGTACAATTATACATGCAGCGTCGTATACGGGCGCGCGCCGCTCTACGCAGCCGTAGGTTTGCGCACAGAGTCAGCGAAACGTGGACGAATTGTACGAGAAAAGCGACGCTGTCACTTTCACTCGGAGATGCAACAAGGCCAAACCATCCTAGTCCCTTGCATAATCCTGAGCTAAAGGAATGACACGCTTCATGGGGCACGGCTGCCCCCGCTTCTTCTGAAAGCAACAGGTTGTTCAGGAGTTAGTGTAGCCGGCCCAGGGGTTTCAGGCCTGGCTCTCCTCCTCCCAGTGGCAGGGTGTCGCCAAAATAGCTACCCTTCCCTGTCCTGGCCTGGCCGGGGCAACAACCTGGTCCCTCTGCTCTTGTTTCTCGACTTTCCCTCTCTCTCTCTCTCTTTCTCTCCTCCGATCCTCGTCCTCTTTTGAGGTTCATCTTCTCCCTTGTTTTCTCCCCTTCCTCGCTTTCCCAAATCTGCGCTTCTTTTTTTTCAGCTGTTTTCCTTTAGCCCTTCCTTTCTGCTTTATACATGCCGGTTACCATGCGACGCTCTGGATGAGGGAAGGCAGGGCGACGACCCTAACCCCCCGCATGCAGTCATCTTTCGGTCCTTCCTTTCCGTATCTAGTACTCACGCGAACCGAGCGAGCGGCCTTTATCCAGTGATCTCGCAGCCCAACGATTCCAGCACTCTGATAGACCGTCATTCGTCCTTTCAAAGCAGCAGCTCCTTCAGCCTCGTCAGACATTACCTACCCCTCGATTCGTATTCCATTACCATCTTGGCCTGATTGGTTGTCCGATTTCGCCATTTCACGCGGAAGCACTGCTTAATAGTCTACTCTTTTCTTTTGCTCCTCATCTCTCATCCACACACCCCCAAAAAAGTTTTGCGGCCCAGTTGATCAAAAGAAAGAAAGACCTGATATTATCATTTATCGCGGGTCTTCTGGTTGCTCCGGCCCTTGCCTATATACAAAATCGACCATGATACCCGTCCATATAAGTGAATAATCTTCAGTTCTCAAAGGCGCTGAGCGGGCATTATAAAGAACAGAGTTTTGTCGGCACTGATTATCTGTGTGGCGTCCAAATCTACGCTCTGTCCAAGCAGGTGACCCGTCACAGAAACTGGGCCATCACCCTCTCGCAAAAATGACAGTGCGGAACCATTTACGCAAAGAAGGGCATCGAGGCCCAATGTCACCGCTGTTTCCTCGCCATGAGTTGAAGATATCAGGTCCTCTTCCACACCCTCTCCCTGCTTCCTACGACGCCGAACCTCCAATCACGCCGAACCTTCTGTCCTTCAACACCCCATTCCTCAGTTCACCTCGCCATTCTCGCCATTATCCACATACACCAACTCAATCCAGTCCATCCGAAGTTTCGCGACGAACGACATACCATCCCATCCCGTCCCCAGGGGCGACGCCTGCTCACGCCCACCAGGTCTCTATCTCGAGCAATGTATCCAACGCATCCATCATGCATCGTCGACGAGGGAGCACCCTCAAAACGGTCATGCGGAAAATATTCGGCCGCAAGTCGCGAGATGAACTAGACGAACTCAAGTCTCCGCAAGAAATTCCCGAAGGTTGTCAAACCGAGTCTCCAGGGGTTCCTAGCTTGCATGACGAAGACGAGGATATCGTGATCCCAACGACCATCCGTCTTCACAGATCTTCGTCTCTCCCAAGCCTGAAAACGAGCCCTAAAGTTAGTGTTGATGATCGTAGAGCATCTGTGGTTGACCTAGGCACTCCTCCTCAACCATGGGTCTCCTCGGAGCTCTTGGACGTCCGAGTGCATCGACGGCGGGCGACGCTGCCTAGTGTTGCCCTTTCGGTAACCGATACACTAGATCTTACCTCCAAGCTCGATGTAGCTGGAGTGTATGACAGAAAAAGCTCAATCACCACTGGACACGGCAGCAGCCTCGATGCCCTCGCAATAAAAGCCGATAATCGGTATAAACGGCGGTCACGAAGCGCGTGTGGTTTGCGAGACACTGCTAAGGCTCATCGCATGTCTCCAATACAATGGCGGCGAAGAAGTGATGAAATTAGATTTTGGAGAGCCAGCACCCTCAACGACTTTACCGAAGCTCGACCTGACACTAGGGCTGCAACCTCGACAACAATACATGCTGACATTGAAGAAAAGGACACGGAAGGAAGTGAAGAGGCCGTTGAAACCCCCATCGAAAGGGTCGAAACCAACGAACCAGCACCAACAGATGGAGATGGATTTGATTTTAAAAATTTAATGGAAACAATGCAGACCGGGAATGATCTCAACTTGGCGCAACGGGTGGGAACTCTTGAGGTGAAACTAATGGACTTGGAGTTAGCTATTGCAAAACTACAAAATCAACACGCGCAAGCGGGTATAACGAAAAAGAAGACCACAGCCTCGCCAGTCCGAGGCAGGACTATAGACCCTATCGATGACTCGGGGCAGTTCATTAGTTCATTCATATCCACTCCTAGCATCACTCCCCCACAAGGATCTCCCGCCGAAGTGGAGGCAGCGCAATACAGCAGTCCTATTACGTTGTGTAACCATTCTTCAATGGAGTATATCTCACAGTCACGCCGCCCTCCATCGCCATATCGTTCAGATTCAGGTTTCCAGGGGATATCCGTCGAGCAATATAGCGCCCTGACGACGCTAATGCGCCGAGAACAGTGCGCCAGAAAACTCCTCGAAGGCCAAATTCTTTCGATGCAACAGGAGATTCGACGTCTTCAGGGCGGCGAGTCATGGGGCCCGGTGCCTGGAAGCACCTTTTTGCGATCTTCAAGCCCCGACTCACAGATGATGTCAAGCCCATACCCTCATGAATCACCAAGGCAAGGATCATCGGTCCCATGGAAGCACCCGCGCTATCCCTCGCCCTCTCGAAATGATAGTTATTCATCTGATGGCTATCACCACAACTCCGACCCGAGAAGCTACCACACCTACCACCGATCCCGAAATGATTATTCTATAACTCACAACAACCATATTCCAGGGATGATATAGTAACGACCACACAATATATGTCCTCCACCTGCATATGATTCTACCTTGTCTTATCCATATTCCACTTTTGCATGTCGATATTTGTTCCTCCACTCGAGCCTAACTTTTACATGTATTACTTACATATTACCTCCTCTCCTTTGTTCTATTATATCCACTTACCACTTCCCTTTATTTTGTTCTTGTCGATTTAGATACCCAATACCAATTTGCTCATATATTTATTCACTTTGTTAGCCGTATTTCGCCGATATTGAACAACCCATTAAGAGATCCCTATCTATCTTTTCCATTCTTTCTTTGGCTAGAATTACTAGATAAACCGGGCTAGCTATAGGGTAAATTTAGTTATATACCTTACTTTTTCAGCGCTGCTTATGACAATATTACTTAAAAAGCAGAGGGTCGTGAATCTTTTGTAGTGTAGGCGCCTTGTAGCCCATACCAGTTTCAACCCGTCCTAACGTTTTGAACACAGAGAAAACGCAGCCTTGGGGTTTAGGGATACACCACCTCATAATGACATCTAATCATGTCTTAAAGCGCAATTTATTCTCTTTTCGACCGGGCTTGGCTCAAGTTCCCCGAGCCGCCCCTGATACAATACCCCAGGAGCAGGCCGTTGACGAAGAAGCTTGCCCAGGTTGTAACTCCAAGAGTCCTCACCCAGCCAAGCCCGGTGAAGTAACTGCAAACTACCAGGTCCCGGTAAAGATAAGCCAGGGGACTCACTCGACAGTATGGATAGGGATATTGGAGGGTACGTACTTGGCTATTACACGTTGAGAGACAGAGCTACTGGCTAACAATCCATCCTGGTTCAGATACAAATGGCAGTTTGAACGCTTTCTAACGCTCAAGATAATCGCGGCCATTATAATGCCAAAGTCAAACTGTACAATATGGTAAACTTGATTATTAGATGTTATTGTGGCAGTCTTGATATCTAAATGCCTAGGAGCAAGTTTGTAGATTCAAACGGATATTTTGTTTATCTAAAGTCAAACAAACCATGCAAACATCAACAACTCCCACGAAGCCGCATCCATCGACATCTTCACCAACAGCTCTCTCAATGCGATAGCAGATGCCTCAGTTAACTTGAATACTCCCGGCCTCATGAGTTCTCAACTTACTCCGGCTGCCGCCCCCGGGCCGGCCGTTTCGAGCAAGGCTAGAACGCAAGGCCAATTCCACCCCCCTATCGAGATACTCTCCAACTCAACGGCGCAAGCATACTCACATCTCCATCCGGTTCTGATAGCATCTATCTTTGGCCTCCGGTTTGACGCCCTGGTTTTTGATCCAGTTACTACTCTATCGACCCTTTTGCCGGTATTTGCGGCGCTACAGATAATATACGTGATCGTATGTTTACCTGCTGCGGGCGCAACGCTTGGTACCTCGAATAAGTCACGTCCTTCCAGCAAGATAGGGGCGGGACACAAGCGCAAAGATGCAGAACAGTCAATTGGGTCCAAGGTCGTCGTAAGTGACTCTTCTTGATATCTACAGCCTCAGGTTCGGTGCGAATGCGACCAGTGCTAGCTACCACAACATGTTTTGCTAACTTATTCGTTATCCTTACAGCCAGCAATTCTCTCCCTGAGTCTTCCTTTGATACTAGGCACCCCAGCTCTTGCGATCCTGCTTGTACTATTCGGTGCTCCTTTTACAACCCATTTATCACATACCGTTCTGTGTGCGGCGCATATGTCTATCCTCGCAGGAACGGGTCTGGTATATGTTCACGGGACCGATGGGTCATTTTGGCGTGAGATATTTAGTATATCGAAAGCCGTGGATACTGTGTGGGGAGCAACTATTGGTATGGCATTGGGTGCATGGCTAGGTGCCGTGCCCATTCCATTGGATTGGTGAGTCCTTTATTCCTGCGCCATCTCCACTGGGAGGCGATATTGTCATCGATGATATCAATACCGAATATGAGCTAATATACATGGTTCATTAGGGATCGTCCATGGCAATCCTACCCAATTACGATTATTACTGGTGCCTGTGCCGGGTATGTACTTGGATGCTGGGCAGGGAGAATACCGTTCATATATGGAAGTAGGATACAGTTTAGCTCTGAAGAAGTTGTGGAGGAGGTAAAGCCCGAGAAGAAGGATCTATAGCGATGATGGTAGGATTCTTCTACAAGAATCTGAAGTAGATGGAGATGAGGCGATATTCATCTTTACACGCTCCCCTATCTTCTTTAAGCCTATTATTTTAATGCCTTTCATACCTAGTATTCACTGTGAGCATATAATTAATTGTTAATATTTATAGAGAGACGGAGTGGTCAAACTCTACAGATCTCTCTACTGGTCTACCACGTATATTTCCCGAATATCTTCCCATCACACTCCAGCAAACATATCTCTAGCGGCTAGGACTGAATATGGGGCCTATTTATCTAAGCATTCTTTAAGATGGCATCAACAATCTTTCCAACAGCCCATATCTTCTCTTCCTCGTGCTTTCGACCAACCAGCTGCATGCCGACAGGGGTCTTGTCGAAGAGTTCAGGGTCGTCTACTCATTACCCTATGTTAGTGTAAATGTTATATGATAACAGCCTTAGCTTCAATGAGGAACAAATATTGGAATCCTTACAAAGCTCCCAATTTTCCTTATCAGCGTCACTTATTGGCTTGAAGTCAGGATCCGCCCTGTCAATATTCTTATCAGCTCTCGTAACAGGAAGCACGGAAACGCTGTAATCCGTAACGTTCATGACTTCGGTATAAGCTAGAGATATTTAGAGTCAGTAGACTGTATTGGCGGGCGATTATATGTTGATATATACCTGTATGGGTATATTTCGTAGGAATAACCGCCGCCCATGGAGCCACTGGCATGATAACGGCATCAACTATTTGTCCTATTACACAGAAATCATGCCTGTGTTAGTATTTCGGAGAAAAGTAGAGCCAAGATGAGTATGTTGAGTGCATTAATTACCGTCTTCTTCAGCCGTCGAGTTCCAGTAATCAGCGTATGCAGCAGAGTAGTCGATTCCCTGTAGGATGAGATCCTGGTACTCCAACAATGGCTGTGGCTTCCTGGAGCGTGCAATTTCCTTTATTTGAGGAATTGGAGGTTCTCCGGATAAGTGCAGCTGCTTATTGACATCGTGGGCGCCATCAGCTGCGACAAATGCCAGCTAAAATCCAAGTCATCAGTGAACGTTTCACCCACTAGATTTGTGAAGATAAACGAAAAGGTCTTACATGAATTTTAATGCCAGTACTATGCGCAGGAGGGTTCCAGGGGATGACCTTGTGTCCAGCCTTTTTAATCGCATCCTCAATGACATGAAGACCTCGGGTGACAGGAGGATGAGGAGTTATGATGTTATCTGTATAAAGGATACCGAACTTGAGTGGCCTTTGATCGCTCTTCGCCGACCCATCGGGTCCAGCTCTGGCCATCGTTGCTGCCGCAACTTCTTCCCTCCAGGGGATGCTGATAACATCAGGGTCCCTGAGCCAGGGCTGGGTAGAGAGCATAGACTTCATCATCAAGTGTATAGCATCAGGCGAAGTCGACAGAACCCCAATGGAGGATGCATATGTGTTTTGTCCAGGGTTCTATTTACTAAGTTAACTTATGATGGAAAAGTAACGAGGATTTGACGAAAAAATCCACGGCATTAAAACTTACAGTGTTGGCAACTTGCCTGTATGGCAAGCGATTATGACTCGGCTTCAAGCTATAGACACCACAAAACGCTGCAGGTGCCCGAACGGACCCTCCTACATAACGGTGAAGGTCAGTTTACTGGGGGGTTCCCAGTAGAAAACGAATAAAGGTATGGTGTGGTGCTGCCAAACCAAGATCAGTCCCAAAGCCGACAGAGCTGCCTCCAAGGGCCAGCATTACTCCTTCTCCTAGTATAGTACATTGATTAGCATTCGAATTTTGGTCCGAGAATATGAGACTCACCTCCTGAAGAGCCGCCGCATGATAAATTGTTATTCCATGGGTTTAGGACACGGCCAATGATATTATTTTCAGTTTCTCCAATCTAGAGAGACAAGAGTTAACCCTGACCAGGCCAACCACCATTATATAGAGCATAAAGCAGTGGAAAGGCGCACCAGCAGAGTTTGCGGAACACTCGTCTAGAAGAATATGCCTATTAGCAATACTACTGATAAAAATATACCAGTATTCGTATGCGCGCATACCTTGCAGTATAGAACAGCACCAAGTGAGAGGAGATCTGTCACGAGCTGGCTGTCAACATTATGCACGTTATCCGAACTTTTTTCTCCCTCGTAAGAGTCGATCCAGCCAACATAACCCATAGTCGTGTCATAGCCTTTAACATGAAACTGATCCTTGAGGCTGACAGGTAGGCCATGCAGAGGGCCAATTGGTTCTCCGTTCTTTTCCAGATAGCTATCTAAGTATCTTGCTCTTTCGAGAGCTTGATCAAAGAACACTTCATGTAGACAGGCAGTCTGATATATAATTAGCTCAAGCAGTGGAAAACGTATCTGACTTATATGGAATATGCATCTCATATAACTGTCAAAAGTTTTCTTACCATCTGATGGGCAATCGCGGCAGCCTTGCAGTAAGCTTGGGTAACCTGTAAAGCAGAGTACTCTTTATTTTTGATCTTTTCCACGATGGCCGTGCTCTCTTCGCCGGTAATCTTCTTCTCCTCGTCTGTGAGAAAGCCTTGGAAATAATCACCAGCAATTTGTCTCTGAGACTTCGCATCTTTGATTTGCTCCTCGGTGAGGCGCCATTCCTCTGCGATCTTCGCTAGCGTGATGGCTCTTTTGGCAGCTGCCATATCCTCCCATACTTGAGGTTCGTCGTCCATTGTATCTCGAGCTTGTAGCCAGATCGAATTTTCAAGCAGTCTGCAAGTGGAATCAGCCTGGTCTTGAGATAGGTGGTCACTGATCGACTGTCAAGTGATGAAGATCAACTATCCATCGTGCTTATTTGGCCATGACGCGAGCTCTAGAGACAAGATGGTGGGATGACAGCCCTTGGCAGAGGAGACAAGCATATACCCTTGCATCCGTCGTAGTACGCGCTATCCATTCTGCTTTCAGATACGCGGCATGTCCTTCGGTCTGCGGTTCACGCAGGGGATGGGCGTATGAAGAGTGGATTATTGGGTTCCGAAGAGACGTCATTCTCGTGTCATTGATGCATCGGCAAAGGGCAGTTATCCTGCGTATCAAGGCGACAATCTTATCTGCTAGCAGCTGGCGACCTTCTCAACATTACTATGGGGTAATCCATCGTGTTGTGTACGCCGTTTGTGTTCTTGAGAGGGACACGATGTGTAACGGGTTTCAATTTAACGAAAGGACTGTTAAGGATGCATAACCAGTAAATGAACTGCATGATAGCTAATATAATACCCTGGATTAGGCCTTGGGCTAGAATATGCAGGATACACCTCGGGGAACGCTTTCCGACGTGTGTACCTTAAATATCTGAGAGAAGATATCCTCTGGACGACAAGTGAACATTTATGAAAGAACCCAACATCATCAGGGTTCCGTAAAAAACATAATAGACGGAGTATTCATTTGAGGACGTAGTTGTAAGATCTGCGAGATTCTCTGACGATGGAGACTGGACTATATATTTATAAGGAGGTGGGATAAAGTTGAAAAAATAGGCGCCTATTGAATAGTTGCTATAGTTCAGAACCAACTCCCTTTGAATATATACCATACGGAATTTAGCAGCCTTCGTCACGGCTTCCTTTAATATCATATTTACCCCGAGGCGGCGGATGGCCATCCGGGAAATCCATATCTACATGCAAGGTATCTCCAAAGGTCCTCAGATTTCATAAAATTTCGTACTTAACATTCCGACAATTTTATTTGGCCATGTCAACAACGCATCGAATACAGTCGCCAGCCTTCATCTCCTCGAAGGCAGTGTTGATCTTCGGCAGAGTCTCGCGATGAGTGATGAATTCGTCTACCTTCAATTTACCCGCGAGATAATCATCGACAAGGCCGGGAAGTTGCGTGCGGCCTTTGATTCCTCCGAATGCGCACCCTTTCCATACACGACCAGTGACGAGCTGGAATGCTGTTGATTGAGTAGGTGTGTTAGCAAACGATATCTGAGCTGTGCTTAGAAAGGGGCGGATGTCTTACGTCTGGTAGAGATCTCCTGGCCGGCGGCTGCAACGCCGATGATAATGCTTTGACCCCATCCCTTATGGCAGGCCTCAAGGGCAGCTCGCATGACGCCGACGTTACCGGTACAGTCGAAGGTGTAGTCACACCCACCATCCGTGGTTTCGATGAGGTATTCTTGAATCGACTTGCCTCCCAGTTTGGATGGGTTGACGAACTCCGTGGCACCGAATTTACGTGCCCACTCCTCCTTAGAATCATTCACATCCACGACGATGATTCGGCCAGCTTTATTCTGGATAGCGCCCTGGATTACGGAAAGACCAACGCATCCGGCACCAAATACAGCGACGTTTGAGCCCTCTTCCACCTTAGCGGTAACAGTTGCGGCTCCATAGCCGGTGGTGATACCGCATCCGAGGAGACAGGCTCTGTCCAGTCCAATCTTGTCCGTGATGGCAACCACGGATATATCGGCCACGACAGTATATTGGGAGAAAGTGGAGGTTCCCATGAAATGCAGCAGATCCTTCCCGCGAGCCCTAAAACGGGTGGTTCCATCAGGCATAACACCGCGGCCCTGGGTAGCTCGAATCTTCCCGCAAAGGTTCGTCTTTCCAGACTTGCAGAATTTACATTCTCGGCATTCCGGCGTGCTATAAATTGGATATGGTCAGATCTTCCTTCACACGGAACTGCGGCATGTACGCAGCCAGGGACCTAACTGAATGTGCCCATACTATAATGCAACAACCCTATCACCGGGTTTCACGGAAGTGACACCCTCTCCAACTGACTCGACGATACCGGCACCCTCGTGTCCAAGAACAATGGGGAAAGCGCCCTCTGGGTCTTTGCCGGAAAGAGTGTATGCATCTTGAACCCGCCGTCAGCTTGCCCAACTCCGTGTCATTGTCTCTTAGGAGTCCGATTATCCCGCCCATCTACCCCAGGGTAACGCACCGGTATGGCAAACTCCAGTATACAGAATCTCGATTCGAACCTCGTGCGCCTTTGGAGGATCTACCTCAATCTCTTCAATGGATAGGTCCTTTCCGGCCTCCCAAGCAACGGCGGCCTAGAGACGCAAGAATGCTTTAGTTGTATATCCTCATAGCTCCCAGTGCGCTCATATCGCGAGTGACTAATAGTTGTCCTCCAATATCCGGTCCCGATGGCCTCAAATAATGCTTTATATCGGGGATTTCGAGTTCGCTGCCGCGGTGCTTACTTGACATTTAATGGTCTGCCATTCAACGATTAGCAACATTAATAGATAAAACAACAAGAGACCGAATAGTAGAAGCTGCTACCTACCTTTCCAACAGTGCTAGCCATGTTGTTCAGGATCCTTTGGTTCCGGGAAGAGCAAGTATCAATATTGGATTGTAACCCCGGCGAAATGCGGATGGTTCCTTTTCCCGCACGAGAAGAGGGAACGTAACAGAGGGACTTACCTTTTAACCGCTCTGGAAATAGCTATTCACAGACACAGGCGATGATTAAATTGCTGGTTAGATAGCGGAACACTCAGTCTGACTTGTTCTTCTCGGCTTGTTTATTTATATGAGGGGCATGCGAAGTGGGGAGTTTACCTCATATCTCGCCTCCAACGGCGCCGCCCGGGAAGCTGGGGAAACAATCAACCGCCGAATATTGTCTTGTCTTTGTATTATCATTCGGCTAGCAGCTACACATGTCGCCTGATATAGTTCGGTATATTCTTTTCTCTGCTTGCTATTCGGTATTCCGCATACGTTGTTTAATGGAGGAATAGTGGCAGTCGAACCATGGTATGTCAAGCGCCTACACCTTCGCTAGACAAAGGACAAGCCGACAAGTTTACCTTTGTCAATGGGAGATCGAAAGTAGACTCGGCGCAAGAGGCCTGGATCGGGCAAGCTCGGAGAACCGTCATTGTTGCGCCTCGCTACTGTCCCTATCCGTCGTCCGGTCAAGCCAAGTTTCATCATTTCGGAAGTGTAGAGAAGGGTCAATTGAGGCTGTGTTTCCGGACTAGACCTGGCCATGATAGTCGGATAAGTTGGCTGCAATGTAATATAGGGATGGTCAAGCTGATGGACTGGTGGAAGTAAGCTTTCTAGTGCCATTAATGCCGTTCTGGTATGTCATTGTAGGAAGGCCAAAGAGATGCAATATAGTACAGGAAACGGGCTGTCGTCGCCTTGTCGGACAGCACGCATCGATCATAATAAACAATAGCAGTGAGAGATAAGAGAAATATATAATAACATCCGTCAATATCTTCTCAGAGCTCCAATATCCAAACAAACCAAGAAGAGGCCAATCTGAAGACGGCAGCGGTTTAGAAAGCCGACGTTTCTAGACCACCGCTTATCAACAATTCGGCCATGTCCTAATCCCTCCTTTTATTATTCTTTTTCCGTAAAAACGTAGTTGCATGTGTGTATAGATAGCCGGAAAGCGAGGTGATCGGAAATGCGACGTCAAATGGGAAGAAACCGCCGGTTATTAGAGAGAAAGGGAGACGGGAATCGCGGAATTATGGAATATCGTTCCAATTCGTTTAGCTAGATCCAGGTAGCTTGCCTGACTGAGCCATGGCAGCGTTCTGCTCCTGGAAGCGGAGGGAGACTCGCTCGGAGGCCTTGACGAACTTGTCGAAGCAGCGGTTGGTGCAGCCGATCTCCCTTGGGGTCATAGACTTGGTTGTGAAATCAAAGATGCAGTCCTCGAAGCAGCGCTGGACGACGTTTGAGTATGCCTGTTTACATACGATTATAGGTCAGTATTCCGTTGTAGCGATCAATGCCGAAAAGAGGGAAGAAAAGATGTCGAATGGACTGAGACGGGTATCTTCCACGTACGTTCATAACCTCCTTCATCTGCTTTTGCTCCATGCGTTTGGCAAGCACCTGCTGCTCATTCTGGGTGAGGCTGTTGAAAGGTTAGCGAAGCCATCGTTAGCCCAGCTTTCGACGTGATTTTTTCACATAAACGGGGGACGGGTTCAATGAAAGCAACATACGAGTCCATGATGGTTTATATGTGAATTGCACTGTGAGATCGTTGAAGATGGCGATGTTTAGCTGGTTCGAGTTTGCTTTTCTCAAGCTCTTCAACTTTTTGGTTTCTGAGAAAGCGTTTAGCGTCGCCCGATCGGGAAAAGCGTCATCGGCGCTTTACTCCGTATAAATTTATCACTCTCCAAACATCATCTATAAGAACTGCACAATCTATGCTACTTTGATCGTTTGGACTTTCCAAGGCCCTCCATTAGCCAGGGATCGAACAAGAGTTCTCCTGCAGTCGGCCTCTCCTCTGGCAGCCAGCGCAATATCCTACGAAGAAAATCCAGAAACCCTTGTTTGTTTTCGCCTTCTATGCCTTCCGAGAGCTTGTCGAGAGAGATGTCGGGAATAGGCGCAAGGCCTCTCCATTGGCCTAAGATGTTCGTTAACACCGAAAGAAAAAGGATTTTGGAAGATAAAAAAGAAGCTGGAGTAGGTGGAGAGATGCGAGTTACATACCGTTCTCGTCCCAATATATATGACTGACCTCACTGCGCTCCAAAAATTCTTTTGGAGGCGGTCCCATAATTGCAATCATCTCCGCCAGGTGAAGTCTATCATCTAACAGTTTCTCCTCGTTCCTGGCGTTGAAGAGGGTACGACCTTTAACAAGGTCCCAAAACTAAGAATGAGAAATAGATACCACGTCAGCTCGGTCCACAAAACGTAATGGGAATAGTCCCCCAAAATAATGAGTTTCCACTCACTACCATGGCAACGCTTCAAATATCAACCCAGATGTCCCAGTACATCCTGAGGATTACCTCTGGAGCCCTATAGACATCCGGCATAATGTCTTCTCCTTTACGAGCCTCATCCCGAAGCCGGGCTTCACCAAAGTCAGTGATAATGGGTAGACGCCCTGTGAGGGGGACACGTCGGCTTGCATAAATGATACGATCATCTAGCACTTTACGAGGTGCCGGTTGGTGCTCTACCTCAGCTTCCTCAAATACGGAGAAGACCGAAGGTTTATCAACCCCAAGAAGCAAGTTCTTAGATTGAAGGTCTGGCATTATCAGCTGTTAGCCAGTTCCACACCCGAAGGGGTTCAAAGGGGAAACGCACCAGTGTGTATGACGTCCACACGGTGCAGAAAATCCAAACCTGCCAGAATTTGACGTAGAGGAGGCTTCAGTAATTCTAGAGTAAAGTTCTAGTAGGCCTCAGGTCAAGCATTTGTTCCAAGCTTAATCCCAATGGTTGCTGAACGAGGCAGACATGAGAACCGTGAGGTCCATCAACTTTAAAGGAGTCGTATAGCTCTCGGTAGAAGGCTTTCCCAGGATGATCAATTTTGGATTGTGACGCCTTTATATGGTCATAAATTTTGATCTCATGGCTTGGTTCCACGGAGGAAATGCACAGCTTTAGTATGACATGCCGAGAGTCCCTAAATGCAAAGTAAGCCTCACGCTGTGCTAAATAGGTGGTTCGTGGTATATTTAACGATAATATCATAGGAATACGAACTGGAAATCACGCGCAAGCCACACAGTTGAGAAACCTCCATATCCTACTTTCCCAACAATCTGATATCTATCTTTGAATACCTGTCCAATGCGAGCAGGATAGTACTTTTCCGGGCGGTATGTTGGAAGTGTCTCCTCCTCAATCTTCTCCGCAGCATCAACTAACTCAAACCCGGATGTAGGGAAGGTAAGAGGACCTGTTGATTGAGATGATATCGTCCGACGAGTAATGAGTGATGGCGTCAAGACATGAAATGAACTGCGTATAGCGCATTTCGATCTGAAGGAAGCAAGGTACAGAGGAGAACTGGGAATATGGAGTTTCATCTATGCAAACGGTGTTTCTCCTAATCCAATACGGAATAAGCTGAACAATGTGCTTGGTGAACTCCTATGGCTTTGAAGTATTCTATATACACTAGTTGCATCAACAAGGGGTTCCCATTGGACACTAGGCCATTTAGCCATCTTGTCCCTTGTCCAACTTTTTAACTAAGTAGCATGGACTTAACTAACTACTTTGCAAGTCTAGGATTCCGTCCTTTGCATCGTCCACCTCACGAGAGCTCTTCTAATGTTGGGGTTATATTGTATGCAGTACATATTACGTACCCTAATACAATCTACATAACCAGCCCCCTGTTCTCCAGCGCATTTCGCATGAGAGAAGCGCATGGGTGATTGATACTATGCTTAAGACGGTCTCCGACGACAGGCTGGAGGGGCGAGGCGATAACTACGATGAGTTTCTTGATGTCAATCGCCTCTGAGGCTACCTCTAAATCCCATCTGAATACAATACCCAGTACTAGCAGCAACGATGGTGCTCGAAATGGAGTGGGCTATCTATGAAGGCGACATAGAGCGTGTCAAATTGCTGGCCAAGGACAAGACAGCGAGGGAGGAGCTTGTCGCTGATAGAGACGAAATGGATCATTGGATGCCACCGCTTCCACTGGCGATTTTATGGGGCAAGATAGAAACTGTCAGAATTCTGCTCGAGGCTGGTGCTGATCTAGCTGCAACCGACGAAACCGGCAAAGGCACGGCGATGGAAACGGCGGTATTTATGAACAGCCACGAGATTTTTCAACTCCTATTGGATTGGAACTAGCAACATTCAGAAGACCCAAATTCACTTATTGATACGGGTGCATGAATAGTTTCTGCAGCGGAATCGTGGCTCGTTAGTATGCTGGAAGCCATCTTCAGCTGCCAGGTGGCTCCAATTCCACAGTCCGCCCTCAATGAGGCCTTATTTGCGGCCACAGACCCATGTTAGGGGAGAGATATACCTGAGAGTTAGGAAGAGGTTACAGACGTCGACATTGAGAGGCAGATGACTACTATACGAATGCTCCTGGATGCAGGCGCAGCACTTAATGAGCGGAACAGCAAACACGCCATGCGTGATTTCGTGAAACTTCGGGCCCCGTTACTCCAGGTCCTGCAGTACGAGAAGTTAGGCGCCTCAGTAAAGCTATTGCTTGAAAGGGGGGCTGATCCCAATATTAAGGATGCGGCATCTGGCGTCCCCTTACATTATGCTGCTGCACGCCTGAGTTTAAAGCTCATTCACCTCCTGGTTCAATATGGCGCCAATTTTAAGGCCCGTGGGATGAGCAATTTGACTCCGCTCCGTATCGCTGCTTCCCATGGCCACATTGATGTGGCAGAGTACCTTCTTGAACATGGTGCAAATCCGTCGGCAAAGGCTAGGTTTAACGAAACACCTTTGCATCTAGCATGTGAGAGTGGATGTGTTGAAATTGTGAGACTATTTGTTGATAAGTACAATGCTGATATTCAAGCAAGGAATTTAATGCGATGGAGCCCCCTTATCTTTGCAATGAATGAAGCAGTGCCTCTAGGTAGCCGCAAAGAAATTATCGAGTTTTTGCTATCCAGGGGCGCTGATATCCATGACACCACGACTCACGGTTGGACTGTTCTTCATCGGTCTATCGTGTCCGACGATCCATTACTGGTTGAATTTAACCTTCAAAGGGGTGGGAAAGACCAAATCGAAGCCAAAGCTTTCAGCGGCCGTCGAAAGTCCCATTTTACGCCTGACTTTCTATTGAATAATATCGACACCCCTCCGAAGTTCCCAAACCAACTAGGGCTGTGGGATCGTCCTGTATCCGATCAAACTCCTCTCCACTGGGCAGCGGAACGATGTGTCAAGGAAATAATACAACTACTTCTAGACCACGGAGCGGATATCAATGCGCAGGACGGCTTAGGAAGAACACCCTTGATGCGATGCATTCAAACTATGGACGAGTCGCGTTGCCTTGAGCGAGACGTTATTTGTGATGCGGTTAGTGTCCTGTTTGATCGCATGCCTGACTTGGATATCAAAGATAAGGAAGGAAAGACAGCAAAGGACTGGGCATCGAGTCTAGGCTGGGAATTTGACTGGGTAACTCGCGAGGGGCTATACGTAAATACACCGCCGCTTAAAGATCAAGATGACCCGTCTGGGCGACGCTCACTACCTCACCAATGGGGGTACAGATCCTGGGGTAATAACGCTTTCATGATAATGAAGATGTTTCGGCAACTATCTTGAGTCGATGAAGCATTATTGTCCGTTAAAGGGTCCGAATTCCATGACTATACATCCTCGCAAATAAACGTTGCAACTATACTATTTTCTAAAAGTCTAGTAACTGTAGTATATTTCCGTAGCCTTTTAATACATTTTCCAAAGCCGATTTGTGACCACAGAGCTGAACGCCATGCAAGCTCTTTGAAACAGGTTTTAAGAGCAGGTCAACTGGTGCTAGACCTAGGAAGCTATAACATCTCCTATCAATTGCATTGAGGTGTCTGGACCGGAATCAGAAGACTAATTGACAATATTCAGAGCCCACCACTATTGATATTGCAGTGTTATGATGACAACCTGTTGAATCGTTGCCAGACAAGGAGTGTAGAGGGATGTGGACTCAACTGTCGCGAAAGCTATTCTTCGGCTATGAGTATGAACAGTTTAATGAGATCTATATTCTACATGACAGCGGCAGGGAACAGAGATCGTTTGGCTTTACAAACATTTCCGCAGCCGCGAGGAGATATCATTATGGCAACTGTCAAAACTGCATCCTCGGGAATACCAACTTCGATCCTCTCCATCGGTCCAGAAACCTAACTCTGCTCTCAATTCTGGCTGGGCCTTCACCAATCCACCGGAATGCCAGTAACTAGCGGGAAGTATCAGCTGGTTCAGGGGAAAGTTGGATATCCAGAATATCAATGAGGTGAATGCTGAACGGAAACGGTCTCTCTACGAACCAGTCTCAGGGATCTGACGGCCGATGACGCGGATCTTGCTGCTGCGACCGAGACCAGACTACAACGGCTGCTGGAAGAGGTAAATGCTCGATGAGAGAGCTCTGGCTGGAGATGTTACTATTAAAAGAGGATTGCGATTTGGTCTGAAATATCGGCAAAAAGAGCTTCCCATCCTTTGGGTTCGGATCATGGTCAGATTGGAAACGACTGGAGAAGCAGGAGGCCATCTGGCATCTCTTGGGACTATATATTTTACTTTCAACAATCCCTACGGCCATTCTCGTCGAAATACCACGATCTGGATGGAGACGTTCAGCCTCTTGACTAAAGCGAGGCTGCGCTCCAGCTGTATATATCGCAGATTCACTTCTGGACTGACCCAGCTTGCATTGAAGATCTTAGCAGTTAACTACTTCCGACTTGCCATCTCATCTGGACCGGAATCAATCCGTGTATCCCGGCTGGAGCCAACAAGCAACCTCTCGCTCCTAGCTACCGGCCCCTATTTTATCTTCATCAGAGGAACAGGCCCGAGAACAAAGGGGAAGGTCTTGCTGGAAAGACGAAAAAGCCGACGGGATTTCAACGGGTACTTTAAATACTTAAGTATACGCAGCCTTGGGTTCTACAGGGGCCTCTGCAGGCTGGAGTTGATATACTCCGTAGCGTGAGCCTGCACCCTGGAAGGGTTTGTTTCAGTTTTCATCCATATCAGATCCTCGCAGCATCGCCTGTGAGCCATCACGAGGTATTCTGACATCACCGGAGTAGAGTGAATAGGAGTAGTAGACTGACTGAAGATGTACATCTAGGTATACTTGCGGATATAGAATGTCTCTCGCTTGGTGGAACGAGCTAGATGATCGAAGGTTCGTCTAGAAAACGGCTAGATAAAGCTTTCTTCGTGCTCCTTTCGTCCTTAATACTACTCCGTACAGTCCAGCGAGTTATGATATGTTCAGGCCGTACACAACACGCGATACAACCAGTTGGGTTCCTTCGCTGTATCCCCCATCTCCGACGCTGGGATCAGACAGTTAGTCCGAGGCCTATATACTCACATATTATCGTCACTCGCAGCCGGGTTTAATCCCCTCGTATCCTTGGCTGCCGCTCAGATGCACCAATATATGGGCCTCTCGTGTTTTCATCCCGCTAAGATTCCCCCAGACGAGCTTCCCCAGTGCAACGCTACACCCTAGGCAGTTCTATTCTCGCCTCCACGAACGCAAGGTCATACATCTTGGTTCGTAGGTACATACACCGTCATGTCCATGCCTAAAAAAGTCCCCCCCTTCCACGGTTCCAGCTCCCATATATGTCGTAGTACGGAGTACATATTTGCCTCGCAATCGAGGCTATAACTCCAGATCGACTGGCGACTGGTGGACGTGATGGACGGGAGAACCGAATCTCCCCCCTCGGTCCTCCGCACACCCTGTAGTGAAGGTTACCTGGCGGGCCTGATCTGGGAGTCTGGGACTGAGTGTGATCGGGCGCGCGTTGCACCCTTGCTAGGTGTCATGCACAGCCGTGCCAGGGGTAAGATGGGGGATCATTATCCATGAGTAAATCTATCCAGCCAGCGGCTGAGCGGGATTCCGAAGGAAGGGTTCCCCTTCTTATCAATATTCGGGCCAATTGTTTGCTGCATTTTGCATGTGTAGAAGCTGCGCGGGTTCCTATCCTCTCTCTCATCGTCGGCGAGAGAGAATAACTACCTCAGGCGCCTTCCTTCACTCTCGAGGATGCAGTGATTGGCGATTTGGCCGTTTAAAAATATTGGGGGTTATGATCGAGTCTGCCTAACATGGTGGATCTTGGGCGTCCAACGGCTGAAGTCCCCAGCAGGGGATATCAGCTCTGGGTAACAGACGTCGTGGTCGTCATTGTGGCTGGCATCTTTGTCGCTATCCGTCTGGTTTCAAGATTTCTGCGAAGTGGGATCCAAATCGACGATTGGACTATACTCGCGGCTCTGGTGCGTTGTTCATTTTGATCCATCCTGATCCCATGCTCCGATAATGTTTTGCTAAACCCCAGCTATAGATACTGTCAGTCCTCTTCTCAACAGCTCAGAATATCGGTATGTTGTTTGACTGTTCCTGGCTTGATCGTCTGGTTACCTGACACCCCTATTCTTCCAGCTGTCGAGCATGGATATGGCAGACATGACTGGGACGTTTCTGACGATATGGAAAAGCAGTCCCTCAAGGTAAGGATGTTCACACTCACCCGTTGAAAGAGTTGCTAACCGTATGTTCACAGTGGATTCTGGTCGCCCAAGTCTTATACAAGCTGGTGATCTGTCTGGCCAAAGTGTCAATCCTCTTTCTATACCTGAGGATATTCTACGTCCATCAATACTTCAGGCGGATATGCATCTGCCTCATCGTATTCACCATATGTTCAGGGATAGCATTTATTCCACCAACTATCTGGCAATGCTCGCCCGTCAGCGCTTACTGGGACCGAAGCATCCCGCATAAGTGCTTGAGCAGTTTCCCCAACTGGCTATCCTATGCGATAATCAATATCACGACAGACGTGATACTCCTCGTCCTCCCTATCCAGCAGATTCTCCGTCTTCAATTGACGAAGCGCGACAAATTCGCTTTGATATTGGTGTTCCTACTTGGTTCATTGTGAGTTGACGCCCGACACTCGCTCGATGCCCGCTCGACAGACGCAGAATGATATTAACGAGATCCAGCGTATGCATCACTAGCATCTACCGAGTGACTCTGGTCGCTGCATCCTCGGGAGTGAAGGACGTGACATGTAAGCATCTCTCGCTTCAGCAACCGGCATCATGCTGACAATGGTATAGGGAGCACCAGCCCAATCTCAAGCTGGAGTGCAGTTGAAATCAACTCCGGGATCGTATGCGCGTGTCTCCCGATGGCCCGCCAGACCCTCTCACACATCCTTTCATGCTGCCTGCCCCCACGAACAAGCAAAGGCTCGTCCAAATCTCCGTCCCGCGGCTACAATTCTGGCCAAGCCTACAACTCGGGCCAGTTTTCTCGCGTCTCACGAGGCGGGAAGCCTGTATCCCATTGCGGCCGCGGCGGACTGCCGTGGGAGAACGGCTCGCGGGTCCAAGACAACATCGTCCTGACATCTATCCAATCCGACCGACACAGACAGATGCGACGCTCCGACAGCGAGGAGGACATGCTGAGCCAGGGCGACTGCTATATGGCTAACGCTGGAGGGATACTCAAGCGGACGGACGTGTCTATCATTGAACATTCCAGGGTCGGCTAGGGGGGCGATATATGCATTTTCCGCGCGGATGAGGGCTTCCTGCAACGTGAGACATGCGCCCCAGCGACGGCGTCTGGGCCATGGAGCGGCAGGATACATTTATTGATGGAGAATAGGAGTCCATTGCCACCCAAACGCAGCGTCCAGAGCTATAGTGATATAACGGGTCGGCAGCATCCAGCCTCCAGCAGCAGGCCGGACGACTCCAGCTGCTGACGAGGAGAATAGAATAGAGGAAAGAGAAAAGAAGGGAAACGGAGGAAAAAGAAGAGAAAGAAGAGAAAGGAGAGAAAGGGGAGGGAAAAGGGGGAGAGACCATGTCTATACCGATGCATCGATGCATCTGCAAACGCCAGGATGCCGTGGACATGAATCCGCTTAGAAGACAGCCTGCAGCTTACCATTTAATCCATGTGAGATAGAAATGCCTGGATAGAATTAAAACACCTAATCTTACTCCGTATACCGAGCTTTTTTGACAGTTCCCCCTTGCACTCCGTAGAAATAGAAACCTTCCAAACGCTCTTTCATGGAGAAAACCAGACGTCTTCCTCGACTTCGCCGTCATCTCCACCAGCAGCAGCCTGTCCCTGGCGATTCCGTAGTCCTCGTCTGGTTCCTGTGGATGTCTGCGATTTCTGTTCCGGCGGTCGAACATTTTTAGCCCCCAGTTACCCAGGAGCAAGGGGACTTGGCGATGGGAGAGAAACATCGCAGGGCCTGAACCACGAACTGCGCATTTCCTCTTGACCTGCATCTCTGCGCTTCCGCCCCCAAATATCAGCTTCACAGAGGCTCGCAGTCGTCGTCGCCGTTGCTGCTGCTGCTGTTGCTGTTGTTGCTGTTGTTGCTGTTGCTGTTGCTGCTGCTGTCGCCGTTGGTATTGCTATTGCTGCCGCCGTTGGTATTCTGACCTCGCTTTATAACGTCGTCGACCAACACGACCTTCAGAGGACTCACAACACACTCGAGGATAGGTTACGGCAGTCCAGTCGCCAGAGAGCTTCCTATCGCTATCGTATCGATTCGCCCCCGGATCGACCAGGAGGCCGCTTCACTAGCCCGAGACCTGAGACGTCCGCTGAACAGCCACAAGGCCAGGCCTCTCTCACCAGAACGCCCCCTCGCAACAAGCAACAGAACCAACATCTATGCGAAGGCTGTGTATCTAGATACTGCTCGACTCCTCGTCCGTCTCGGCCGTTGCTCCCGCTGCTGGACTGTTCTGTCTCCAGGCTGCCAGTCATACTCCGCCACCTCAAGCCTCACAGGCGCGTCGATATATAACCTGCAGAAGAGAGCAGAGAGCAGAGGAGAGAAACCAGGCCGGCACGATATATCACCGTCTGGTCGGGATCTGTGACTGTCTATCTAGATCAGGTCTATCTGGTGTATCTATCTGGGTCTGGTCTGTCTGTCTACCATGGCATCCAACCAGGCACCGCATTCACAGGTGCCATACCAGGCCTCACTCCAGTCTTCCACAGCCAGCGCGCAGGAGTCATCCTCCTCTCTGCTCAACAGCACCGCTCACTCTCCTCCCTCAAAGCGAGACCTGGCTGGGTGGTGGAGGCAGTTCAAGAGAAGCACAAAGAAGGATGGATCAGGTATGTCTTATCAAGCTGCTCTTGTCTGATAGTTACTGCTACTGTCTGAGAGTTGTTGCTACTGTCTGATAATCACTGTTACTGTCTTGATTGTGATACATTGATGCTAACATATCCAAGTGCTAGCCCCTCAGACGCCCTCTGGAATATTTGGAATCCCGCTGAACGTGAGCATCAAGTATGCCAACGTGGCTATATCTCTTACTGGTGACGATGGGAAGAGCTTCATCTACGGCTATGTTCCGATAGTAGTGGCAAAATGCGGGGTCTTCTTGAAGGAAAAAGGTATAGATAACATTCTGCTTTGCTTTTGCTTTTTTCTTTTCTTCTTCCTGAATACTGATAACTTGTTTTCACAGCGACCGACGTAGAAGGCATCTTCAGATTAAGTGGCTCTGCAAAGCGCATCAAAGATCTTCAGGAAATATTCAACTCGCCCGATCGCTTTGGAAAGGGACTAGACTGGACTGGATATACCGTTCACGATGCAGCCAACGTTCTTCGCCGCTACCTCAACCAGCTCCCAGAACCGATCGTGCCCCTGGAATTCTACGAGCGCTTCAGGGACCCGCTGAGACACCGACAGGGAAGGCCGGACGGCGAAGAGGCTGCCATCCAGGTAGACAAGGAACATGGATTTGACAGGGATGCAGCAGTCGCAACATATCAACAGCTGATCAAGGAGCTGCCGCCGCTGAACCGACAGCTGCTTCTATACATCCTTGACCTGTTGACCGTCTTCGCGTCCAAATCTGACCTCAACCGTATGACCGCCGCCAACCTCGCAGCCATCTTCCAGCCCGGCATGCTCTCTCACCCGTCCCACGACATGTCTCCACAAGAATACAAGCTGAGCCAGGACGTCATGGTTTTCCTGATTGAGAACCAAGATAACTTCCTGTTCGGCATGACAGGTACCGCTGCAGATGCGCAGACTGTCAAAAACATACAGGGAGGCATGTACCCCCAGCTTCAAAAGACTACCATCAGACGCTCTGCATCCAACGCCAGTGGAGGCGCAGACAGCCTGAGGAAATACGAAGCCCTCCGCAGGAACATGTCAGTCTCCTCGCGACACTCGAGAAACTCCAACGGAAACGTCGCAAGCCCGACGACGCCCACCTCCAACACGATGGGCGGAGGTAGCATCGGCATTCATCGCAGCAACACCGTCCCCTCGAAGAGAGCAGGTGGATTCTCGCCGCCAAACACGTTTACTCGACAGCAGCCCCCATCTACACCACCGTCTGCCAACCTGTCTCCCGCCTCGCACTCTTTGCAGGCTTCGAGATCTCCTAGCAGATCTCCTCAACCTCATACGCATGACACTTCTAGATTGGTCGAGCAGCCTGAGACCCCATTGCAGCAGCCCGAGAGCAGTCCCTTCGTGGCCAAGGCTGAACATTTAGCTCCTGTTGCTGCTATTGATGCTACCCAGATTCCTTTGCCTGCCGATGTCGAGCCTACCCAGCCAGAACAGCCTACACAGGACCAGCCAGTTCAAGTTACTATTGCTCAGCCTGTTCAGTCTACTCAGCCCGACCAGGCCGTTCAACCTGCTCAACCTGCGCAGCCTGCTGAGCCTGTTCAGTCCGCTGAGACTGCCCAGCCAGCTCCAGCCGTTCAGCCTATTCTACCCGTTCAATCTAGTCAGCCTGGTCAGGTTGGTCAGGTCGGTCAAGTTAATCAGTCCTCTCAATCCGTTCTGCCTGTTCAGCGAGCTCAACGACCGATGCATATCGACGCTCCGCCTCCACCTCCAATGGACGCCGCGACGCCCAAACCGGCCACCACTCCTACCAAGGAGCGCAAGCTAGCTTCTCTATTCGCGTGGACCAGTCCTCCCAGCGATAAGAGAGAAGACAGACAGACAAACAAGTTAAAGAAGAAGCGACGCATTCCTGGAAGCGCGAGCGAAAGTGCTCAGAGCTCTACCGCGTCTCTCCCAGGCGGATCGGATGAGACTCCAATGAAGCCAATAACCTCTCAACCATTAAGCCCTCAGACGATGTCTTCCAACCTCACTTCCAACTCAGATGGAACCCCATTCGTCGACGAATCTCATGTCTCTACTCCCAAGGTGTCGAACCCCGTATCCCCTCCTCCCCCAGCGACCCAGCCATCACCTACTTCTACACCTTCTCAAAGCCAGACAAGCCTGGAAGTGAATCCCTCCTCACAGCATCATCATCATTCTCTCACAGAGCGCATGCTACGGCCACCTCGCTCGCGTACCCCGTCTCCAAACTCGTACTCTGTGACAGACACCTCGGATCTCGATGAATCTTCCAAGGGTGATAAGAAGGAGAAGCGACGGAGTTGGCGATTCCATCTGACTGGCAAGAAGTCCGAGGATTAAGGGCGTTATTTTAATTCTAATTTGCTTTTTTTTTCATCCCCTTCTTCCCTTCCCTTCCTGTGCGTGGCGAGCGGATTCCGGTTTCATTCGACGGCGGCAACGGTGGTAGCATAATGTTCAAATTGCGGAGTTAGTTATCACGGTATGGCGCGTTTGATGTCACCCAACTCACCTTCCAGGCAAGATATGCCATTGGCCGGCTCAGTATCGACACGGCATGATCGAACTGTACTCTATGCCTTTCGTCTCCGTTTTCCCTCTGTGCTTTTTTTTTTATAACGCCCGTCTACCTGGTTCCTTTTTTGCCTTACTTCTTCTTCCTTAATTCTGTCGGATTCCCCCCTTGTTTTTTTTTTCTTTTTCTTGTCTTTTTTTTTTCTTAGGCTAGAGCTTGAAGATAGCTTCTATCGCGCGTATATCTCATATTCAACTATTTTAAATATATACATAGCGGAGGCTCGGTGGATTCGTAGCAGTTTTCAAAGCTTCGGCTTGCAGGTAAGGCTTCAGACACACGACTATCGCCTTTCAGCAGAAGCCCATCATTGAGAAAATTCACAGCCTCGCTTTACATGACGCCTAGAATGTTACCTATACTTGTGCAACACAGCTCAATCATACTGGATGGTTGTGTGTTTGGTGGCTTGTCGGCATTTCGGTAATGGGGTCGCCCAAACACCTAAAAAGAACGATGAAAATACACATACTCCATCCCCTATAAGAAAGACAATCAAATTAACGGGACACACAAACCTGTACTTCTATTAATAACTACAAAACAGATGAGAGTATTCCAAGACTCGATTCTCCCAGCTTGGGCGACTCTAAATTCGATATCAGATTTTTTCACCCCGTTGCTCTTCCAGGGTTCACTCAATTCAAATCGATTCGACCCAACTGAAGCCACTATCCGATCAGTTCATCAAGCCATTTACGCAAATATCACATTTGGAGGAGATAGAATAACATGTCGCGAGGTAGTGTCTGCGTTTCTGAGCCAGATAGAAACATACAACCCTCTGATAAACGCCATCATAAGCCTTGACGCGGACTCATTAGCGGTTGCCGATGAGCTGGACGAACGACTTCTACGGGCATTGAGTGGAAATACAAAGAATAGCGGCAATGATACCCATGATTATGAAGACTCTGTCAATAATTCATCGACTTTAGGCTCGTCAATGCCACCTCTCTACTGCATTCCGGTTCTTCTAAAGGACAACTTCGACACGGCCAATGTTTCTACTACGGGAGGTTGCGCGGCACTATCTAATTCGGTGCCTCCACTACATGATGCACCTGTTGTTAAAGCCTTACGTGATGCTGGTGCAGTGATACTAGGGAAGACAAACATGCATGAAATGGCCCTTGAAGGCCTAACAGTCTCTTCCCTCGGCGGTCAAACCCGTAACCCCTATGATCTATCGCGAACGCCTGGCGGCAGCTCAGGAGGAACTGGGGCAGCTATAGCAGCGTCCTTTGCAGTGTTTGGCCTGGGTACTGATACGGTGAATTCACTACGCAGTCCAGCAAGTGCGAATAGTTTGTTCAGCTTGAGACCTACTCGGGGCTTGATTTCGCGCGCAGGCGTGCTTCCCGTTTCTTATACGCAGGATACCGTTGGTCCAATTGCCAGATGTGTTTGGGATTTGGCTGTTAGCTTAAATGTGATGACGATGAGAAGCGGCGGCTGGTACGATGAACGGGATAACATGACAGCTTTACGACCGCGTCAAGTTCGGGATTTAGATTACACTGATGTTCTTTCTCGGAGTGACGGCCTTTATAGGGATGGTGACCTAAGAGGAATGCGATTTGGAGTACTAGAAGGACTCTTCAATCGCACTGATGGGCCCGAAACGAGTCCAGTGAACGAGGTGATGGATGCCATGATATCTAAACTTGAAAAAGCGGGAGCAGTTCTATTTCCCATTACTGAACCGATCTACAATTCCACCGCAATTCTGAATTTGGACCTCCAGACTTACGAGTATAGAGAAATGGTTGATTCCTACCTACAAAATCTCTATCATCAAAGGGGCCGATCATATCAGGTAACAGACGGGAAAGACCAACCACGCACATTCGCCGATATTTATAAGAAAATTAGCAAGGAGGATCCTTCATTCCTGGTAATCCCACACCAATATGACTTCATAAAGTCTGCACTTGTCTCCTCACCCCGAAATAACTCCTACACACAAAGGCAGCTTTCTATCAACAACCTAAAGATGTCGGTTAGACGGACATTCTCCTCCCACGAACTGGATGCATTAATCTACCCACAACAGCAAAACCTGCCCGTAATATTGGGTTCCCGGAACCAATATGGTAGGAATGGCATATTGGCTGCTCTTACAGGTAACCCCGTTATTACTGTGCCAGCCGGATTCTCAAAAGCGGATAGATCTCGAAATATCCCTATCGGTGTGCCAGTTGGTATGGAAATTATGGGGCTGCCATGGGAAGAGGAGAGATTATTGATTATCGCGGCGAGGATTGAGTCTATGGAGAAAATTAGACGCCGTCCAGTTTTAGGAACAAAAAGGGGTAGAAGATCTGGTCAAGTGCTGAATTCCGTTCCGAGGGTAATCCCTGACACGGGGAATATTCACGATATTTACCCCCTAGGGGTGTTTGAATAGAATGTATAATACATATTAATTATTATTACCATAATAATAATGTTAGTCTATCATAGGAATAATCCTCTTTTGAGATAGTTTGCCGGTGCCCTCTCAGATGACCCCCTAAAGAGCAACGGCATCAACGAATGGACCTCACTTAATCACCTTACAAATTGCTAATTTCCCATCCACGGAGCACCACCCAAAGACCACTATAATACGGGAATACGCCAGTCTTGACTCATGTAGCCGAAGGGATATTAACGTCTCAGCCGAATTGTTGTCATGATCCACTAATAAATCTGCAATATCACAGCCGAGAAGTTGTTGCATGGCGTCCGCAGACCACAACAACGGGGACGTCCCTTTTTGTTTCAGATGTTTAGTTTTTGCCATTTGGCCAGCAGAATTGAGGAGGACATTTGATCTCGTTGCGTTGTTGAACATCGAGGGAAAGCATGATATCATTCCCGTCTCGTCAACCACCGAGCCAATCTATGAATTATATAGATTGTAAGCAACTCCTCTGAGTAGAACTTGTTCAATTCCACTCATCGACATTAAAGTAGTAATTATGCCGTGGGGATAAACATTCACCATAGCAGTAAGGTGACAATTTTAGAGTTGAAGTGACTAAATGCTGGCCATCATTATATCCAAAAAGTCTAGGGGTAGGAGAAAACTCACTATCTGTGGATTAAGCTTCAATTCAATTTCTCCTCCGCACTGCCCGCAGCAAGCTGCGTTGCAATTTGAGAATATTGGTACCTTGCAACTAGGCGGCAGACATGTTAGAAGTGCAGCGATTGCGGGTATAACAGAGATTTGTCATTATTAAGAGACACATAGAATACTCACCATTCAGCACAAAATAGGCAATTCTGCTTATATAGTGACGCCAGGTTTATATCTAGTAACATCAAGTATGCATATCCCATGAACTCTAGAAAAAAATCAGATCAGCATGCCAATATTTATGACTAGGGATAGTTAGCCTCAGCGCACCACTTCGTGTAGACTTAGCACTATAAAGTAATTATTAGTTATGGTGTAAGAGCATTTATGAATTTGGAACAAGGGGGTTTCTCACCACTCATCTATATCCGCAAGAGTGAATTTGATCTTTTCGACTGAGCCTTCGAACTCTTCAACGTCGAACACTATGTAAAAGATAATTAAAACTTAGAGCCATGGTCACCCGGGTAAACCACACTCTCTTAATATATGCGACATACAGTCAGTAGGGAATGGAGGGTTAACATGCATAGCTTTACGAACTGCAAGTTTCCTCAGGTTTTCTGCTTCAATAATATCGGGATCAACCTCCGTAAAGGTGAGGGAAGTCAAGTATAATCTTGAGCCAGGCTTCCAGCTTGCATTAGATATCAGTAGGACCGTGGAATTTGGTATCCATTTCATTGCAGATTGTATTGATTCTCCATATAAGCCAAGGCAAGCTTCGCTGGATCCATCGCTGATGCCTATGTCGATGGTTGGGACTGCTTGGTTGCTGGAATTATGTGCTAAGGTGCGTGTGTAAGTAAATATGGATTTGCGAAGGTAGATACTTAAACCAATTGAAGCAACAAATGAAGGAAAGGATACATACATTCTCTAACTGGCCCAATCCCACAAACGTATCCTAATACCTTGGTCGGCTTTCCGCTTGCATGTTTCTTCGGAGCATCGACGAGGGAGTCCAACGCGAATAGAGAGCCATCCCCGTACCCTAATGGAATACGGCCAATGATACCTACATCACTGCGCTCATGTACTTTGATCCCACATCCACCATCCCTCTCCGGAAAGATGCTCGTCGCCAGCTTCAGGGGACAATCCTTTTTCTGTAGAGGCGGAAGAACTGGTTTCATAGTGGAAGTCGAAGACTGAGCTGTACTGCAGGCGCTTTTCGTCCCTTGTTTAAAGGGGGAAATATGGGTCGTCCGTATAGATATCAATTTTCCTAAGTGAAGCTCATAGGTTGCATCTGCATACCATAGCTTGACCTATATATGGTACAGTTAACAAGGATGAAAATATAGAAGGGGTGGCAGTAAGTACCAGAATGCAGCCAGTGTCATCCTTGACGATTATTTTCAAGCATCCCCTGGCCTGTTGACCTGCTACACCATCGTCTCCGTCTAACCGTTTATTCTTCTTGGTCACTCGTCTGCTGGTGGTTATTCCAGCACTATCGTCGAAATATTTATTCTCATGGTTGTAAATATTCACGATCCTACCCTCAAAGGTGACTCTCTTTGGGCCTGGAGTAAGGTCTCCTAGAAAAGGGACAGATTCGTACTGTCTTTGAGGTTTGCATTCGGGGCTTCCCTCCGAGATAGTATTGCCGTCCTGGTCATAGTATGTGACATCAAATTTTCTTTTGGAGGTAGTCCCACTGGTTGGAGAGAAATAGTCTTCTATCCTTGAGTTGCCTGCCATGTATTCCGTATTAACCTGCAGTTGGGTGAAAGTTGAGTAGAAGTTGAGTAGAAGTTGAGTAGAAGTAGAAGTTGAAGTAGAGTAGAAGTAGAGTAGAAGTAGAGTAGAAGTAGAGTAGAAGTAGAGTAGAAGTGCCCCTCACCGATTACCCCTTTCGGACGGTGCCTGATATCACATGAGCAGAACGAGAAACTCGAAAGAAAAGGTCGATAAATGATACTCAATTTATTTTGATGGATAACCCTTCTCAGGGAGGCTCCTAGGCCCGTCTAAACGAATGGACGTTGCAGCTTCGTCGAGCTCACAACAGCAACTAATAACATCAAGTAGAATAACCCGGAACATTACTTCTTCGCCACTGCTTGTCAGAGTAAGTATCCTTTATCTAGATAAAACTGAAGTTCTACGAAGAATCAAAGGATACCAATTAATGACTCGTTTGCTTAGAACAGCTTGTGCTCGAGAGTCATGTCGGACTCTGGCTGCAGGCCGACACAGGCACGGAAGATGTTGGTGACGGCCGAACGTTGCTTGGCGAGAGCGTTGACGACAGGAGTTCCGGTAGGGGTCAATGGGGCCTATTTAGTGTTAATCGGAGAATATTACTGTGAATGGAGGGGAGGGGAAAAGAAAGGAACATACCTTCAACATGTAGCTGAGGATGCTAAGGACGCTGTGGAAGCCCTTGTACTCCTCGCCCTCGGCAGCCTTCCAGCTGACACGAGTCATCATCTCGGCGATGACGACGAGGTCAATGATCAGGGGAGCGGCAAGGAGAGAATCTTCGCAGACGTTGAAGATGCTGATGGTCTGGTGGCCTCCCATGAAGATCTCGGCGTAGTACTCGTCGAGAGCACGCTTGTTGTCACCGACAGCAGGCATGTACTTGATCACAACGGTGTGATCTGGGTGCTCACCCTTCTTGTACAGCACAGAGTTGGCGGCAACCATGTCATCAACGACATTGGACTTGGAAATCTCCTTGGATCGGAACTGCTTCTGGGAGCTCAGGTTCATGCCGTCGTTGTTTCCGAGATGGTTGTAACTGGCAATGGAGGTGAGTTTGATACCGGCGCTGATCAGGAAGTCAACAAGGGCAGATTTCATCTTGGTTTGGCCAGACTTGAAGTCATCACCACCGATGAAGGCGCCATGCTTCTGGGCGAGCTCGATGGCTCCAGGGACAAAGGTGTTCTGGGGAGAACCGTTGATGAATGGAGCATTCTCGAGAATCGAGGCCACGGCGAAGACAGTGGATGGAGCAACTTCCAGGTGTCCCTCCTTGATAGACTTGAGGAGGTTGTCAGCAGTGTCGTTGACGCCTGCAATGATATCGGCATATCGCTCAGTGTTGGCAGTCCACATGAGAAGAACCTTATCAAGTCCGTTGGAGGCTTTGAAGTCACTATTCATACGTCAGTAATTTGATACATCATATAAAGACGTCTAGAGGTACAAGTTAACTTACCGAATGTCCTTTTGGATCTGCTCGACATGCTCCCAGCAAGCCTTGGAGCCAGGGAGAACGTTATCAGCACGCTCCTCCTGATTAGCAGCAATGAAATCAGGATAGTAGACACTGGGGAGCGGCTTGATAGCGGCCATCTCCTCACGGACCAAGTCCTTGAGGGTTGGCTCGAGGACCTTTGCACGGTCCATGGCATCGGCGAGGTTCATGCCGCTGATGTCCCAACCGCCAACAACGAGGTCATTGGGGTGGACCATGGGGAGCATGTTCTTGAAGGGGATGTTGATCTCTTCTCCCGACTTAGCGTCAGTACCGAGCTTGACGGTGGAACCCATGACGAGGGAGCCATAGTAGTTGGCAGAGCGTTTTCCCTCACGGGTATCCCAGGTCAAACCACGACGATTGGCAATGATACCAGCCGTGACGGTAGATCCGTTGTTTCCACCCAGACCGACAAGCATGACACCGGTCTTGCTGACCTTGCGGTCGACCTTGAAGTCATACACGGTTTCCTTGGGGGTGGCTACGAAGCTACCTTCCTCGGTCTTGGACACCGCAGTCGTACGGTAGACATACTTGGTGTTGATCTCGCTGTCGGTGTAGATGACGTTGGGAGATTCGACCTTGAAGAGATCAGACCCGGGCTTGGGGGCCGACCCGTTAACAGAGCCATTGGCAGCTGCATCCGCGTGTGGAGCCATTGTTCAATTTGGCGAGCGTTGGATTAAAATTGAAGAATGTATTTATAGAGGAATTGGCGGGATGAGGACTCTCGGAGCAGAAGAACTCCAGATGTAGTTGTTCAAATGCTGGTAAAGTGAATTTACTTGGTATGGGGAGAGTCCGATGCCCCTCCACGAGCGGATGAGCGTCGGCTTCCGTTAAACGGGTGGTGCGACCTGTAGAGAGCTGGTCAGCCATTGCTACAAGACATATCAAAGCCATGATTCTCCATCTCAGAGCAGATATAAAGAGGGACTCACGATGGCAGGAGGTTGGAAAACGTCTTGGCGGTATTGAAGGATCAGCTTCTAAAAGGAAGAAGTGATCGGACGAGAGGGATAAGAAGGTGAATTGACGTCTTCAGCAGAGCGCTGAAGAGGTGTTTTTATGAGGGTGGTGTATAAGATTGAGCTTGTATCGAACGTGAAGCTGGCTATCTTGACTTGCTTTGTGGGTGGGAGAGAAAAAAGGAAGACGGAGGCGGGACGGAGGGGTCTTTATATAACTTTCCCTCCCCCGGCTATTTTGGAGAACGTCCACCCAGCTCCACCACGCCGGAGAGATCAGGATAATCTTTCCTAGCTCCTTGTCCAGTGGACGCAAACACCTCGATATTCATTATTAATTGTGAATTCGCCCGGCCGCTCGCACTTCGTTTCTACCTTTGCTCCACCCGAGACCGCCATGATTCTCGTCCAGGGCTCCGCGGCGACTCCCCGCATATCGCACGGCAGGTTGCGTTAAAGCGTCCTCCCCGATCGAACCGGGCGTTGAACCGCTCACGAGAGCATCGCCTGTCACTCGCTAGATTATCGATAGGAAAAGGAGAGACGACCTCAGGCCATATTGGCGGGGGGTTTGGTGGCTTGATATGCAGGCACTAATGGCTAGTTGCGTCCTAAACTTCCCACTGTCAACACGGATCGTTTCTCCACCGGTCGTTCCCCGTCTTTTATTCGGCTGCCTGATAAACGGTGTGAGGTGGGGGAGCAGTTAGGGGAAAGGAGAGATACGCAGGAGAAGTGGTGATGTTGAGTGAAGGCAACTCGATGTTGCACCGTTCTCGTCTCTGGCCCCTGCAGGAGACAGACATTTGACAACTCAGCCGGGTTCTCAGGCTGCTCACTCGATAGATCGCCGTGCAATGCATACAAGACGTGCAGGCGTGGGGTCCTTGTGCCAAAATTCTCTCTCGCCCGTGTGGTTATCACCTCGAACAAGCCGATATCGCCTATGCACGCGAGGCATAACCCGCTCACTGTACGCAATGACATGGCTCACTACTGTGCAATCCGAGGAATCTCCGCTGATCTTCAGTCAATGAGAAGATTTACACGCTTACCTGCTGAGTTGTACAACACGGCTTCTGCAGGTAATCTCTTATCGCTCCTCGAATATCGATACTTCGTGCTCCTAGACCTGACAGTATTATTGAGGTCGAAACCCTAATAATACTATCTCATAATTAGGATCCCTAGCTGATTAACCGCATATCGTTGTGGCCTGGTAGGAATGAACATCCTGGTGGTCAAATATTGGTGGCTTTTAGTATAGTTACGGCGTCGTCGAGCGTGACGCAGATTCTAACAATAACACACACCGGGTCACATATTGATGGTATTCGCACAGCCTGTGGTAATATAACTTGTCTATTTAGCTAATGTAGCTCGGGTTCTAAGTCGGCGTATTATAGCTATACCAACCAGCCTGAAATGACGTCATAATCATTTTATCTATATATTGGCACTGAACAATGATTATATATAGTTTCATACAAGATACAATCAATTATTGATACACAATCCTCACAATGGCTACATCTGTCGACTCCACGCTATTGATAGGGCTCCCGGAGGGGACACCTCGGATCAAGTATACCACTATGAGGAAGCTCAAGAACCTGGTCGATAAAACAGTTAAGGCATGCAGTTCAGATACTTCTCATAACCATAGCCCGTTTATCGTCGCTAAAGACATACCACCTACTATTCTTGAGGAATTTGATAAAATTTACCCAGACAAGGGTCCAAGGCTATCAGCAAACATCAAAGAGAGGATCCTTCTTTTAAAGATCACGTCGGGACCAGGTCATGAAACCGCAGTCGCAGCCGTGGAATACTATATCAATCGTGAACTGGAAAAAATGAACCTTGATGAAACAATTATCATATCTGGTAGTACAAGAGCAACAGGTAGTACCTCCGTTAAGGAACCAGACGGCGGCTTTACACGAGGACATCACAGCTGGCCAACTTTGGTTATTGAGGGCGGTGCATCCGAGTCCGCTACTAAATTAAAGATGGATGCGCAGTGGTGGTTAGAAAGTAACGAATCGATAACGGAGATTGCTTTAACGATTGAGGTCAGTCGGGATTCTCCTACAATCACTTTCCAGAAGTGGGAGCGCCCAGTAAAGAGAGAATAAGGCGCTCCTCCCATCAACCAGCAATACTGGTAGAGACTGTTAATGTCTCCCACTTCAATGAAACCACCAAAGGTACAGGTGAAATCGTCATCCCATTTACAAAAATAGCTGGCCGTGAACCGGAAAATGGCAACGAAACGGACATAATTATCACGAAAGCTGCTTTCGAAAAGATATCTAGGAAAATTTGGATAATGCAAGGTTTCCCATGTTGATGGGTTGCTTTTATTTCAATTTCATGATGTGTTAAAAGGCAAATGTCTACTTGAGCTTGTTGCTACGGCGTACATGATACCCTGTGTACTTTCATGGTGCAGCCGATGGCAACAGACGAGCAGATTAAATATAGAATGACTGATAATGTGTTTGCCGACAATGATATATCATATGGAGCGCTAACGAGACGTATGTACAAATCATATAAATGTAGACATAGTGAGATGAATACCCGAAATAACGGTACTTGCAACAATCCCTCCAGTTCAAACTTCAAGGGGATATAGAAGTTCTTAAACCGCCAAATACTGCAATCGCCAACTGAGTAGACCATTTCCCTTCCAAATATCCAGACTTGTCATTCTACCAACGCATGTCCCATGGTCTCCTCTCTATAAAGAAGTAGCCCCTTATATAACCCAAGGGTATCATACCTAGACCCAGAAAATTTATACGCCATGCCACTTCAATGGTAATTCCCGTCTTCGTAAGTCATCCCTCTCATCAGAAATTAATTCGTTGTTGCTCATGGTTATTCTGCCAGCTCCTAGAACTGGGTTGAGGGCATTCATCTGGGTCCTGTTTCGGATACACAATGATGTTATCCACAATCTTGGCTTTCCCATTCTGAACTGCCTCAATTTGGTTCTGCGAACACGTCGACCCGAGTTGCCAGAAGTTGCAGGTTGGAGGAATAGTTGGTAACACTGGTTCCATGTGGGTAGAGTTGGCTGCTCCCTGCGTAGAGTAGTTCTCAATATCCTCGGTAACGGTACCAGTAGCAATGTCCATATCAAACATAGCGCGACGGAAGATCTCATATCCAACTTGAGGCTGATATGCAAGCATCATGTGCCCGGATTGGAAGACGCGGGTGAATGAGAAGCGGCCGTGTTGGCGTACCTCGGCCTTGGGAACGCTGGAGCCGTCAGTGAAAACACTGGTATACCCGGCTTCTCGGAACTGTTTCGTGTACTTGTAGTCAACAGAGAGACTAACTTTCTCACCGCCAACCCAGTTGCATGAGAAGTCCCGGTCACCATATACCATAGCAACTTTCACGCCGGAGTCTAGCAAGTTGGCGAGATCAACCAAGTGTCCATTCATGCCGCTTCGTGGATAGTCTCCTGTGATGTTGAAAACATTCTCAACCGCATGGGATGGGTCGGTATGGTTGACTGGAACACCTAGTGCCTGCTGAATTTCAGGCATGGCCAGATATCCCAAAAAGTTGTTGGAAGGGAACGGGTCAAGGTGACATTGAGCAATATCAAAATAGCCCCGTTTAGCCTCATTGACGTAAACGCCGTCTACCTCGTTGAGGCAGAAGTCGTTCGCCCGTTGACAAATTTCGTTAACTTCATCAACATGTCCGTACCCATTGGGATCCAGCCGCTTAGCGAGTACCTGGCATTCCTTAATTTGGTCTAGACATCCTCCCCTTTTTCCATAGGCATGCATTGCCCTGTCATAACCAGCGTCATCAATTGCTTCTATCCTATAGGTATTTTTGTTATGAGCAAAATCAATGTTTGCTTTTTGTTGAGAGATTAGGTCCACGCAGCCGTTTATTATCCCAACGGTATCCAAGTGAAGGACGGTACCAGTTACGAGACCAGCTTCGACGCGCTTGTTCTGTGCAAGAAAGCGATTCATAAATCCAGGGCCATATCGGCCACCATATGACTCGCTCCAGAGAGAAATTTTGTCGTTTGCCCTGTTATAGGCGTATGGGCTGAACTCTTGAGTCCATACTTGGAGGACGTTCCACATATGCCTACCGGCGTTGGCAGTTGTATTTGCGGTTTTTGTAATATCCCCGCTACCAAACGTTCCTGATAGAAGGGTACCGTCATCACTCGGCTCATGGCCGTATTCTTCTGGTGTGAATACACTAGTCTTTAAATCAAACGTGGCGTTGGTCAATACATCGTAGCTAAACCCAGTTTGCACCGGTTGGTCGATATATAGCAGGTTCGCCTCTTTGTTCCAAGAATGCTCATTAGGGAAGGTTGACCGGCCGTCATCGCTCATACGACATGGCCCACTCTCAACAAACACTCCAACCATCGATCCTGCCCCAGGCCCGCCATTGATGTAGATGGCTAAGGGAGCGGTTTTTGGTTTTATTTGAGACTCAAAATACCAAAAGTATATATGAGCTGGGAAATCCTGCGGTGCCTCACGCATAGAGTTGGGGGGGAAGTTGACATAGCCAGAGTATGACTTGGCATGGCCACAGACCCCTTGCTGTATAATAAGGTATTAACATCGGGAAGAAAAGACGCGGTTAGGTACTGGTTAAGATAAGGGGCCTGGGAGCCTCGGTGAACACTTACTGGAACTTCTTTGTAGGTAATAGTCGCTCCTGGAAGGGATTTGGACTTGATCGTTATCAGATCTTTGGGCTTGGGGGGATAACCACCAGCGACCAATCCTGCCAGCAGGAGGATATCACGAAGCCTAGCAAATGACATTTCGCTTAAGGCTAACAACTAGAAAGGACGTAGGGAACGGAGAAACCACCAAGTTCAGATGTTTCATTCATCAAGTGAATAATAAAAATGGGATCGCGGGTAGGCCGCAATGTCCGGTCATTTTATCCCATGACGAGGTCCATTTTATATACCACATGCCTTCCAAGGCCTGTGGCAAGAGATATCAGTACTTATCGAGCTTATCGTGGTTAGACGTCGTCAGACATCCTCCAGGCAGATCGTATCATGCATTCGAAGGTGTATCACTGGCGAATCTGTAGTCTGTCCACTAATATATCAAGCGGGCGAGGGAATCTTAAGCCTGGCGTCGACGTCTGGGCAACGGCAATTATGATAGTACCGATATCACCTGGGCAAAACCCGAGGTCATAGGGAGCACGAGAGCAGTATTGGGTTTCACCTCAAACAACTCTGTCCTTCTCGCAAAGTCAGGCGACCAACTCTTGGCCCATTCGTGTCCACCGCCCACCACCATCTTTCATAGTGGTGATACAACCTATTAAATATCGAATGTCGGCTTAGTTTGAGGGCAGTTGGTAATAGGGCCGTGTCGAGAACGAACTCTGCAGCATTTTCCCGTGGATGTTCCTAGAAACTGGCGTACACGCGATCAAAAAGGATCTCATATCTCCAGCCAATTACGGAATCCGAAACACTGCTAGTACGGAGTCAAAAATAGATAGATGGCCACCGCTGTTGCGCACGACGTCGGAGGTAGTCGATGATAAGCAGCTAACTAACTAGGCTAGCTCACCCATGGCGTCGTGAGATCAAGCTAGTTACCCGTCAAAATCGCAACTGCCATGCGATGCAGCGTGATAGAAGTGCGTGCGACCGCCCTGTTTTCAATATTGATCTATCAAAGGTGATTTTCCTGTGTATTCCGAACTCCGTGAAAGCTGTGTAATCGCACACATGCAGGGTCGGTCTGGATTGTGACTGCAGCCGGCATTCAAATAGTTACCCGCTAGTCAACGTTAAGACTCGGCGACAATCATCATCGCCGCAAAAATGTCGTTGGCCTGTCATCGCGATATGTCACTGTACGATGTACAAGATACGGAGTACAGACGTGATTCTTCGAGTGGATAGACCATTGGCCTGATGAACGGAGGTCTCTCCTATTTCGTCATAAAGCTCGCCCTTCGCAACATGCAGTCGCCACAACGCATGATGCTACTATACATCAACCGATAGGCAGGAGAGGACATGAACATGCCGAATGTTTGGGTGTCCATCCTCTATCATGAGTCGCGCCTAGAATAGATAACAGTTATATGTTCTATATTGAGAACCAGCTGTGTTCTCAAAAACTGAACCGTCTGTGGTGGAGCACTGCAAACCAACTATACGCCCGAAGGCCCTAAAAAGCAGCCATCCAACGGTTTATGCAAATCATAAACACACGCCTTGCTAGCTTTACACTCGCATCTGTAGTTTTCTCAGCCATAATCTTGAGTTATCCCGTCATCTCCATATCAATCCCGACTATCAGATCCTATCACACGAGAAGATCAAGGTACCCGGAGAGTCGTATTGGTAGGAAATTATCGGGACCGCACCGCGTTATACCGCTAGCTACTATTATCGGGCGGGAGTAATGCGGATCAGAAATCGAGCCTGGACGGCCAAGATTCTAGTGAAAATATGGCGGCTGATCTCATCTATAAAAAACGGCCCCGACCAGCCTTTAGTGCCCGGGAGTCTGCCTTCTCCTGGCGCTCGACGGTGGGCATCCTATGATGACGGGCCGGTGGATGGGTATCTAGATCGGCCTTCTACCTATGATGCACGTCCATCAGCGTCAGCCAGTCAGTTATCCGTTAACCATCATTGAGGAATATCACTTCAAGAGCAGTTCCTATAGCAATGTTAGACCATGGTATAAATTCCTAGACTGGCTCGGTGGGTATTCTCAGAAGGGAAGAGATGAATAAGACCAAACGTGTTCATTTTGTCCATTTTATGTAAATCCATAGCAAGCGTATCTTGATGTCAACTTGATGACGGTGGTTGACTTGCCAAAAACGGAAGGCCATAATGCCCCGGATGAACTATATTCCACTATTCCGAAAGTATTATCATGTGACTTCCAAATGCGGCAAGTAGAAGTGCCATCTCAACGACGACAACGTTCCCCGTTACTCTCTTGCAGATTTACAACTCGGAAACAACCAGATATTGGAGTCGCGGACGCTGTCCGGGGTAGTCGGTGGTGTGTACGACCCCGCAACACCCGGAGTCGGCTGCAACGGCCTTTTCATGTGAGAAAATCAGGTTACTCGTCACTCTACGATGATCATATCTACATCCTAACTCTGTACCTAATATAGGTATCGTCGATCGGGGCGGCATCTCGCCCCGGGGCAGTCTCTCGGGCTGCAACATCAATCATGGTCTCAGTACGCGTTTCACCGCCTGAGGGAGCAAAGGCTCTGCCTGAGTGTGGACTCGCGGGAAAGGCTTGCATAAACTTGGCGATTCGCCGACCCATGTTCCATGCCGGAGTAACGAGGTGTATATATTGGGTGTATGCCTTGCTGATTATCTCATCGCCTCACGACCGCCCACCAACATGAAACGGGGATCCAATCAGATCCGTCAGTCGCCCTCACAGCACGGCTCACGCGTTCATGCAATTACAGCACGACGAAGCGGCAGCCTATCAGTCTATCGAAAGCAGATAAGCTACTCCGTATCCTCTGCCTTCTATAAACAGAGCCGCCGCATCGAACTTCGAGAGTCATGGGACACCCTCTTACAAGGCCGTCAATTGGCTTTCCTCGCCTCTCCGCTAGTCCTCGTATGTTAGTGTTCAGGTCCCGGTGACATGACCTGCATGAAGCCCATAACCCATTAATATCGCCGTGGGTGCTGACTTGCCATCTGTTTAGTTGACCCCTTTTTCCTGCCTCAGGGGTACCTGGCGATCGCCGACTCCACCCCGGCGCATGCATATCTCGTGCGTTCATTGGCTGGATGACGCTGAGTCAGCCGAGATTTGACGGGCGGACCTGACGCCTTACCGCTTTTGGACAAAAAGTGCCTGGCGCCTTGCCTAAGGTGGACTAGCCTGTAGCCCGATCAGGCAGGGGCTATATGCACGTGACCCTGTCGTTCTCCGTGTCTTCTTTTGAGGGTGACCAAAAGGAGCAGAGGAGGACGAAGGCCGCAAGCCATAGTTCGAGCGTTTGTTATTCTTCGCATCTTCGATCTTATACTCCGTCCAGGCCCCTTTTCGCCATCTCATCGACATACCCATCGACACACCCAGCTCCAACCTGCTGCCCTGCCAGTCGATATTACCCGTCGGCAAACCCTGGTCCCCCATCGTGGTCGCCGTTTGCTTGGATTTTACTCCCACCCGGCTTCTAGAACAGACGCAGGGCCCCCTGGACATCCCACACCTGCCACAGCATAAGAGTAGGTCTCGCCTGGCTGCAGTACGCCCAAGTACACCGTTTCATGCTTTTCCTACTTACCAGCACCGCTGACCGAAAGGCTAGATCTTAATCTTCAATCTTAATATTTAATCACTCTCGCTACGTGAGAAAATCACCGTGGACAGCCGTAGCGTCCAATTTCTCGGCAAAACATACATACGCGCAATCAGAGACAGGTCGGACAGGCGGAAGAGAGCGTTAGAGAGAGAGACAGAGAGAGCGAGAGAGCGAGGAGAGACTAAATTAATATAGCGGATGGAGGCACCTCTCCCCCTCTCCCTACACATGCGGTGAACCTGACCATATATCTCGAAAGGTGTGTTGGGGGATACGATGGACGGCATCAAGATCAAGTGCTCCGACTGCCATGCGGAAGTCGAGCTGATTGCCCTGGGAGAGCATTTTTGCTCAAAGCCGCCTCCGGCTTCGCCCGTGAGCACGCCGGTCGAACAGCAATCGCCTATATCAGAGTGGAACGAACACGGCCCGCCGCCGAAACGAAGCCTCAGTCGTGAATCGCTGTTCAACAGATTAGGCCGTGTAGCTCCTCCTCCAAAGATAGACCCAACTGCTGCTAGTATGTATAATAATATTTCGTGGGTGATATGGCCCAAAGCTGACAACATCATGCTAGATCGCCCATTTCTGTCGCATGGCGCGCAATTGTCACCTCACACTGGAGGGTTCGGGGCGATCAGTCCGCTCTCTGCCTCACCTCTTTCACCATTCCAGCAACCACAGCGGAGTCAGACCACTCCCATTCCACCGCCATCACCGAGTCCAGTTTCTGGCGGAAAGCTGAATCTAGACTGTGCTTTCCCCCCCTTCCCGCGACCAGCTTCGGCCGGGGGGTCGAAGGCCAAAAAGCTCACCACAGCCATCAATACCAATGTCTCCTCCCATAGGGGTATCGCTTCTCCCTCCCCTTCTGAAGGTAGTTACATGTCTCCATCTACAGACGGTCGACGTTCGCGTGCAAACACCGCGAACAGACACAGACGAGAGGCCTCTATAGACAGCAAAACCTTTCAGCGCATGTCCATGGCTAGCTCTCGAAACGGTCATGGCCTTCCATCTCCCATCTCACCAGGCGGGACCTCACGCGGCCTGTTTGTGGACGAGGATATCCCTCCGCTCCCGTCGGGGCCTATCACCGGGCTTGCCGCGAGCCCCGTGTTTACATCCGGAAATTCAGAGCCGTTTAATTTCGGCAGTAATAATGATAATGATAATCAGGAAGAGCACGATTTTGGAGGAGAGATCTCTCCCAAGGATAAAGTACGACAGCTAGACGGTATGGAAGGGCTGGACTTTGGATTCACCTCAAGGGCAAAGTCTCCTGATCATATGGACGTGGATAACAAATCCGAAAACATGGAGATGGACTACTCTGAGAAAGACCCGGAGAGCCCTGGCCCATCTGTGCCCGAATACAGAGTCGACAGAGAATTTTCCGTCTCCAACTTTGCCAGCGGCCTTGGTCTAGGCGATCCATACCATACCACAAACGACTCAACCTCGTCGTCCAACTCATCTCCTTCCGAGGCGCCATCAAACAGCTCCTTCTCAAGCAGGCCGTCAGAGTCATCAATTGTCTCAGAGCCCAAGTCTGCTGAATCAGATAAACATAATGACGACCATCTACATCTCCTCGAGGAGCCGCCAGTTCGTCCCAACGCAGACCCCTATTCCTACGGCCTCGACTCCCCAACAGACCCTCTATTCCAACAAGGTCGACTCTCGGACCCGCCAGCCAGTAGGCGGCCATCTAGGACAGATTCAGAATATCCTCCAGCCCCAATGCTCGAAACACCGCCCAAGCAGTATATCCCATTCCGAAGCTCTTCGTCTCCTTGTCCGTCTCCCAACCTCCAGTCTCCCTCTTTTGAACAGCAGCAACAGCAGCAGCCGCAGCAACAACAACAACAACAACAAAAACCACAAGAAAAAGAAGAACAGCAGCCGCAGCAGGAACCGCAGCAACGGGAACTGCCGCAGACACTACCACCTCTACCACAAGAAGAACCACAAATACAGTCGCTCCCACCCTCTCGATCTACCACGCCTGGGAAACGTCGCCATCCCTGCCGCGGATGCGGCGACATCATCACTGGGAAATCGGTATCTTCTGCCGACGGCCGCTTGACAGGTCGCTACCACAAGGCTTGCTTCGTCTGCCACACCTGCCGTGCCCCCTTTCAGACAGCAGACTTCTACGTCCTTGACAACCACCCATATTGCGCAGCAGATTACCATAGATTAAACGGCACTCTCTGCGCCGAATGCGGCCAAGGTATCGAAGGCCCTTGTCTCGAAGCAGAGGACGTTGTCGACTCTCCCTCTCACGCTAACGGCGAGCAACCTGATAACTCCACCAAGAAGAAGCAGAAATTCCATCCAGGCTGCTTCAAATGCCGCACGTGTCATATAGTACTAAGGGGTGACTACTTCGAGTGGAATGGAAGCGCATATTGTGAGCGCGATGGCCGACGAGCAGCGGGTATGATGCCTCCTCCACGCTCGCCAGGAGGCTACCCCCCACCGCACAACTACCATGGCAACCAACCTCCATCACCGCTATCGATGCATCCCGTTGGCCCTCATGGCCAACCAGGCCCAGGCCCAGGTTCAGGATACAGGAGACCACCATACGCTTCCTCCCCGCTTGCTGGTCCGCCACATAACGGTCGTGGTGACCCGCGCCATCGGCCCATGAACCCGTCATCTCTTAGACCAAGGCCTGATCAACACAGACCACACCCATCGCAGAATAAATTTGCGAATACATCGTCACTAGCGCCTGGGCCTCCTAATGGCGGACCCAGGAATGGCCCGGGATATCCTCCTGGCAGGAAGTTCCCAGAACGACGAACGACTAAGTTGATGATGGTATGATCCGAACATCACCTTATTTCTCTAATTCTACCACTCACTCCCTTATTTAATTCGCTCTCCTCTTATTCGGTCTACGATTATACTCTATTTGGATTAATACCACACTATGCTCTCCATGCTGTGCTATGCTATGCTATGCTATATAACCGACGGTGGGGCTAAAAAATTATTACTGCTCTACTCACTTTCGTTCAAATATGGACGGATTATTGTTTAATGTTTTTTCTGTCTAATCTTTATTTGCTGGATGTTTATTTTCTTTTCTCGGTGGTGGTTTGATTTGATTTTGATTTTTTATGCTTCTCGTTGATTTGCCTTATGATATCCTCTCTACTTCCACTTTTATTCATATTCTTGCTTTGAAGGAGCTTTTGTCTTTTTTTGTCGCTCCTTTCTTCATCTTGCGTGCGCTCGCATTTATATTTCATCATTCATCCGATTCGGCAGTCGGCGATATAATGCCCCTCATCTTGCTTTTTTCTTCTTGTTTGATATCTTGAGCATAATCTGCCGTGGTTTTGCTTGTTACTTTGTATACCCTTCATCTGCTTCTTGCTGTCTTCGTTCTATATATATCTAGCTCCACCTTCACTGAGCTCCCAAAGCTCTAGACAACCAATTAAATCATTTAAACAACAAATCACCTCTCTCCCCACGTCCTTACTAGTCCGTCGATCTGCTTGTTTCTATCTTTATCCTTGGTAGTCCGCCTTGTTGCTCGCCTCTTGAATCAGTATATGGGAGATCCCCGCGAATTGTGGGGAGATCAGGGGCTATATTCGAAGCTTATCGTTCTCGGTCCGGTTGTCATTCCTGTTATACGAGCTGCAGAAAGCTCCAACACGAAGACTGGGTGCCATTCATCGATGGCACGGTGTCAACGCCAGTCAAGATCCAAGTTATCGCCGCAGCCTTGATACGAGACCTCGACACGACATGTTGCATATATGGAACTTCCTCAAATTATGTCCTGAGGCCGGTCTTTGTGAACGAAAGCTGGTCCATGATATAAATTAGATAGAACCTCCTCCTCGATAATGTAGAATAAACAGACCATCATTTGTCGTCATCATCATGAAGCTCACTTTCGTCTCTCAGCTGGCAATTGCCGCCATTCCTGCTCTCGCTGCCACCACCGTCGACCTCGCTGTCGAAGCTGGCAGACATGTCATATACTCCTACCCAGGCCTCACACCCCCCGAGAGCCTATACAAGCTCACTTCCCAAGGCAAAGTAGGCGGTCTCATCATCTTCAAAGAGAATGTCGACTCCAACCTGCCCACCGTCATGAGCAAGTTCCAGTCCCTCTACAAGGCTTCGCCTGCCTACACCGGCCATCCGATGATCATCACCACCGACCAGGAGGGTGGACTTGTCCGTCGTGTCCCCGGTGGCCCAGATCAAACAGCCCGTCAGATTGGCGACTCTTCAAACCCCATGCAGGCCGCCAGCAAGGCCGGCGCGGACGCCGCAGCCGCATTAAAGGCGCAGAAAATCAACGCAAATCTCGCGCCGGTGCTGGACATCTATCGCGAGCAAGGAAACTTCATCGATGAATTCGGTCGCTCGTTCGGTAACAATGCCGAGCTAGTGAGCGAATGTGGTGCAGCCTTTGCTATCTCTCAAAGCCGTGCCGGCGTGTTGTCTACCGTGAAGCATTTCCCAGGTCTCGGGGCAGCGAAGAAGGGTGAAAACACCGACGTTCTCTCTGTAAAGATTAGTACATCGTTGGCTGAAATTCGCTCCGTTGATGAGGTGCCGTATCATGCAGCTATTGCTAATGGAATCGATATGATCATGACTTCGTGGGGTGTATATCCAGCCCTTGATGCCACATTCCCAGCTGGCTTGAGCAAGAAGTGGGTTACAGATGAGCTGCGAACTAGACTTGGGTATAAGGGAGTTATCATCACAGACGCCATTGAAGCTGGCTCGCTGAAGAGTTTCGGAAACGATGGACAGCGAGGTGTGTTGGCTGCGAAGGCCGGAGTTGATATCCTGCTTGCTTCAGGCAGGAATGCAACCCAGGGAGAAGCTATTGTTAATGAGATTGTCTCGGCCCTGACGAAAGGAACACTGTCTATGACTGCGTTCCAGACGAGCACAAACAGAATCATTTCTCTTCAGAGCAGACTTGCAGCATAGTTGGGATTATATACATAATCTTGTACATAGAAACATCTAGCGTGGGATAAATCTCAAGTTATGGGGACGAAATCTAGAATATATAGGGGAATACTTCTGGCAGGTTTCAGTGTCTTTCTTCGATATTAGATTGGTGCCGTTATGAGAACCTGTACGTCAATTACAATACTCTCTACTAGATATTTGTAGCTCATTGAAGGCATATTATTGGTACTGACTAGAACCGTGACAACTGCGAGGTCACAGATCTAAAGTCGTTCCCATCAGAACTGTGCTGATGGTACATTATATTAATAGTAGGTATATTGCATGAAACATTAACTCCGGGTATCTCATATACTGCACAACCCTGCGCCCAAAATCGATATCATAGGTCATGCGACAAAGTTGCCGGGAGAGATTAGAGACATGTTCAGCACTTTCGAGGCAGTGGCAAAACAAGTAAGGAATTAAGAGGATGCTGAAAGATCCTCCTTATGGTTGGGCTGGTGGATTTGGTCCATTGCCGGATGGTGCTAAATTTTCCGTCGATGCGGTTATCTCGCCCCCGCGGGCGAAATGACGGCTATTGCGTCCAGAGCTGAATGTGTTTAAATGGATATCCGAATTGGACTTTCCTTGTTTATTGTTGGTGCTAGACGCAGGATCTGAGCTCGATTCTGAGTTAGATGGAGGTACTTTTAGTGAGTAATTAGGAGGTGCCTCTCCAGGGCGGGCCTTGAAGAGTAAGCGGAAGGTTGGAAGGCAGCCAACAACAATAGCTGGAGAAAAAGGTCGTTAGCTATAAGCCCTGTATCAAGTGGTGATCAAGGGAAGGTGACGGATAGAAGGGTCTGGTGATCCACTTACCAGTGGTGGCTTCCACAGTTCCCCAAAGAGAAAACCATTGTACGTTCGGGTTTGTGACTCCAGTCTTGGAGCCAATCTGAACGAGACGGATTATCGAGGTAATCATGCAAAGCATGCCGACAGAAAACAGGGCGCCGGCCCTAATCTTTTGGGCACGGGAAATATGCATTGCGAAGACGAGTCTCAATGGGAAGATCATGACTGTGGGTATGGTATAAGCATCCATCTCCATTTCCACTGTAAACATTAACATATGGGTAACTCACTGAGCAAATCGGTTGTGACATCAGCCGCAAACCAGCCAAACAAACTCAGGTTTCGTGTCATACTTTGTCGATGGCTTTGGCAATATTCTATATGCCCATGTTAGTACCTTTTTCTCTCTCTTTGTTTTCACATACACTGAAGGGTGGTTGACCAGTTTGAACGTACTTCTAGTGGTTTGGCCAAGCTGATGGGGTCCACCGCAGGACAGGAGAGTTGCAAGAAAGCCGAAAAGAAAGGAAAGGACTAGATATCCCAAAGCCAAGTTCCAATAACGCAGCTGCTCTGGCAGGGCCCTCATGAACTGGCGGAAGAAGAGTAGCAGGGAGATTTTAATGCACCACAGCGCTGAGTAGAAGACGTAGGTTGAGACGTAGGCAAGGACAACCACATCGTGTCTCTCGGCCATGATTTCTTTGTAGTATGGTCTCATGCCTAGAGCAACATAGCTCAGACGGTAAACCAGAGGCTGAAGGCTGAGTAAGACGAGTTCATGTGCGAGGAAAAACGCATACCCAAGCACGATGAAGATGACTTCCGGTTCCATGATTCGTTTGTGCCGCCATCGGATGTATGCAGTAGGGATCAGGACGAGCGAGCCGAAGACCGTCATGAACACAATGAAGATGAAGAGGCTGTTCTCACCGATCCATATCTCGGCAGTCGGGTCGACCTTCGGTGGTGCTTTGGGGTTCATCGTCGCTTCAGTTTCGGATTCAGTAGTAGATTTCGCAGTGGATAATTCGATAATGATCCAACCCAACCGACAGCTCCCAGGTCCCAAACGAAGATATTATATTCACGAACTGAGCCATCCGGAACGCCAAAACCATTAAGTTTCCTGGAGTTGAGTAGTCTCCCCTGATATCTTGAAAGCAAGTATGCCGTCCACGCCAAATGGTGGAATGTAGACTTTGGTCTTCCCGTAGAATTGGGGGGAGAAAAAAACGGAGAAAAGAAAATGGAAGGCCGGGCCCGTCACGCCACGTTCATGGTATATATTTTCAGAAACGGAGAGCAAGACGGATACGGGTCGGGGGCATATAAGCGCAAAGGTTGAAGCAGGGCCCGGCATCAACTGAGCATCACAGCGCGATCTCCATACCGGCCTAGTTGACCGATGGCTTGCGGCCGATCAAGAGGTCCCAGCGAGTCTAGCTGCGTTTGATACCAGGCCAAAGCTGCAAGTCTGATTATCTCGAGTCCACTCCAGGGGCCAGCTAGAGCGTCAGGATAGTTGATCGGACGGAGATCGATCGTGATGTTTCCAGTCGCAAAGTCGAGAAATTATGGAGCATCCAGTGGGCCTGACTAAGCATCGTCAAGGACTTCGACCTTCGACCTTCAACCTTAGACGAACTTCTTCAGCACAACTACGGAGTACTCCGTACCAGACGGGCTGCAAGGTTGCAGTAGCTTCAACGGGCGTCGAGGCTCACGAGCAGCCAATTCGCACGGAGGTCCTTCGAAGCTCGTTTGCTCTCCTCCGTAATGAGAGGCGCCACCATTACCGAAGCTACGGACGCGGGAACCGCGGAGGTACCGATTCCTCCATACAACATATGGACGGAGGTGCTTCGTATACAAGAGGAGGACAAGCCACTTCACGGATGTTGCAAGCGGCTGCTGCTGGCTGGTGCTTGGCTTGGGCTTCACGGAACGATCTCCAGAGGTTGGCTTCCCTGTTGTTCCACGAGCTGTGATCCAGACTTTGGCCTGCGTGGTGGCTAGGATCCACTATTTGCTCGGAGGCTGAAACTGGCTGTCTCGAAAGATTATCTCCCCCACGGAAAACTCAGACAGGACGACAGGCTCCCGAAACGCTACTTAGCTGTTCGTATTACGCCTTTTCTGGAGCGTGCGTTGGCCACCTGCGACCCTAAGGCAGGTCATTCTTTGCAGTCCCACCCTGCCTTCGAAGGAGTGAGGATGACCATAATATGGAGACAGCAAAACCTCGAAGCTTTGACTAGTTACATGGCAACATGAGCACAACTTTTCGGCACATACGGAGTGTTTGGCGTACCTTGAACGCTACTAAGGTCCAACGATTGGACTAATAAGAAGTGTCTAGCGAAGTCGACTGCTATCAGGTGCTGTCCAATTCGACAGACGCCTAAACATTATCACATGTGAGGACTAGCTAACTGGGAATGTACGGAGTACGGAGGATGCATGTACATCACCGTATGGGGCTCCCATAGATTTGAAAGGGGCACGCAGCTTTTCCTAGTCTTGGAAATAGTTAGACGATTGTGGCGTAAATCAAGACGCTATCCCCACGCAGGCCCCCACGCTGCCTGAAGCCCAAAGCCGTGGTGGCTAGCTGGCCTTGGAATCCTACACGGCCATGTTCGAGCTGGATGCTAAAAGTGCAAAACATAACTTCGAGTGTGCATAAATTCTAACTCTTTCTGCCTTTCTTACGCGAGTGGGCACCAATCAGCTGAGCTCTAACCGAAAACAAAAGCATAAGAGAGGAATGGTCCTTATGAGGACATTTTACACATAACCATCATGGTTGCAACGGTAAAGCATTGACGCTCCACGGTGTAGCCTTGTCCCAACAGCAGCTAACTAGCTGTGACTCTGGGCTATCAGATTCCTCATCGTTATTATAGGTTGATAGCGCGGGGCCAAGGTTAGCTGCTGAGCCAAACAACTACATATGTCAGTTTTCAACAACCCTTTGGCTAGGCGTCGGCATCCAACTTAACAGCACGGAATACTCCGTATTGTTGCTAGAATTTACAAGGAAAATAAATAGCCTTCATACTCCGTACACCATTATCGGTATATGGAGCTAACATTAAGTTTCAACGGCAACAGTGGCATCTTTTTGGCGTTTGGAAACCAACCAGGCCAATGAGAAACACCCTGCAGCAACGACATTCATCCAACAAGCTGAAGCCTCCCAATATACCTTGATTCTTCGTGGACGGCTCACATTAGATGGCGAGTTTAGTAGTGGTTGCAGAATCAACGTTTTACCGCAAGGGACGACACGCCAAATGAAAATCGGCTATTTGATTACACTTAGTGCGTGGCTGCCATGAAGCTGTTCTGGAGCACATTACACTCTCCGTCACTTATTTTAGCCTGTCACCCGGATGGCACATTACTATGAACCTACAACCAGCCATTCCATGACCCAATGCTACTTTGATAGTGATTTACGGGATCTTTTGTTTGCTCTGCCACCCAACACACGGGTAAAGTTGAACGATGTAATTCCTCACGGGCTGGCTAGCTCGAAAGTTCAGCCGTATTGTATCTGCACTACGGATATTTCTACATGTACTCCTTATACCCACTTACCTTAATCCCACACGCCACTATGTCGGCATTCGCTACAAGACAGGCACAGCTTGACCTGCTGTGAAATATATCGTTCTCTCCCAAGAAGTTGGCTTGCTTCCAGATGCCTTATACCTGCAGTGCGGCCGAATCAAACTGATGGTGGCAGTGAGATACACGGCGTTATCGTGGCATCATCTCTGAAATAGGCTGCTCGAAACGACTTTTCCTCGCGAATTGAAGGCTAAAAATTTCCATGGACTAGCATTCCCTGAATGACTATATCAGAATGATGCCCATGGTTGCGTCACGTCGGTCGACCCTTAGCCTCACCATAACATCCAGCCTACTATACAGAATACAGGAGATGTCAAACACCTATCCTCCCGATAATGAGAAGTTCGCCAAGTGAACAAGGCATTGATGTCACACAAAGCGGCCGTGATACCCCTGGTGAAACACACTTTTTAGCGACGATCTTAAGCCTTCGATAGTATAAACAAGCCCCCCTGCATTAAGGCACCACGAACAAAATGATGGTCCAAGATTCTAAATCAGCATGGCCGAGTCTCTACGGATGCGTAGTAAGGTCAAAGAGCAGGTACGTCAGAAAGTTGAGAAATTAAATCACGCAATTATCGTGATAAGACTGATGGTTTTTAAGAGTTTCACCTTGGGATCTGGGTTTGAGTGCTTCTAGCTATGTTGCTCACCGTCTTACCTGTAGCTCGTCGAACGAATAATCCAAACTTGATACCCTATCAACACCTTATATAAAAATCGAAGGAGGAAGCAATAGGTCGCCGAAAAGTACAGGTAGGAAATTAACCAAGAAAGGCTGCTTCATTCTCTAGCAGGAATTTGGAGGCTTGATCCAAGGAAATTATAGTCTACACTGTTATATCATGGCTGTCTGCCAAAAATAATATACTAACGAAGATTGGAAAACTACATTGACATATCTAGTATATTGACTAGATACATATTTACTCGATTTTGAGACTGAGGCATATAATATATATACATATATTGAGTAGGGGAGTTATTGGAACACGATCTGAAGGCGGGCCCTGCCTTGACGACCCATTGGGCAGATTCGGAATATCTTGCACTATTATGGTGGCCATTAAGCTAATCACTATGTTTTATATAGGTAACCCCACGATAAGAAATGATGCCTTTACTCTTTAAGGGGCTTCCTATACCCCCTGACCGCTAATCTCCTTGCCTCTCTGCTTCTCCATCCCTATACCTCTGACATTTCTAATTGCCGGTTCTTCTTGTCTCTTTATATATCTGTCTATTACCTACCTACCTGTCTGGTATACGGTTCGCCCTGAGTATATGAAGGATAAGGGTATTCGGATGTCTTAGAATGTTCCTTTTTATCTCAGGATTTAAAGCGCAAAGCTGAGTAGGACTATTATTCAAAAATTATAGTAGGACAAGGGCATATCAGTAAATATATTTGCAAACAGGGGCATCTGAGTGATTGAACTAACGCCTACTTCTCTAGTTCCTTCTTTGCATTTCTCCCATGCTCAAACACATTTATATAATCAGTCGACGCAAGCTATTGAGGTAACCCCTACCAAATATTCTCAGTAAAAGCTAGTTAGTTGCTAACCCTGGGCATGAAACCCAATAATCTTTCCCCATAGTTCTATATGTTGAAGCTCCTTATCAAGGATAATACTAATGGCTCTTATATTCCTAGTAGAACCCGATAACCCTTTTCTACGATTCTATGTGTTGTAAGTCGTCCTCCATGACTTGGCCGGTTTAGAATGAAATGCAGAATTTTAGTCAGCATAGGCGTTAATCGCGAGTTGAACCATATCAAAGTCGGCTGAATGAGCACGAGAATCACCCCTGAAGACAACCCTTTGCCGCCCAGGGGCTTGTGGAGATTCCTTTGGCAAGAACCTTTTGTGGCTTTAAAACTGTTGCCGCTAGATCATAACTACTTTATTGTCTGTCGATGTCGAGTCCATGGCCTAGTCAACGAACCGCCCCGCGTAATCCCCGAGTAGGGCGAAGAATTTCATCCGTTTCAGCTTCTCGAGGTATCGCTATTCGGTTTGGAATTAGATTGCTTCATGTACCTCGGCTCTTGGAAGAGTTATCGTGCCACTATCAGCTTCCAGTGAACGTTTTATTATCGAGATGGCTACTCTTATGGGAAGCAGGAATACCTACCTACTAAATTTCTATACCTTCATCAGCCATTTTACAGGCAACGGCCCTTGTCTATCATAACAATGATTGGGACCAGCATGTGGAAGGTCCCTCGGCGGAAGACTTAACTATTTCCATTGGGGCTGAACCATCATCTTGCGACTCACGATCAGTGAAAGATGATAATCAGGACTCCAGAAGGTCTAAATCTTTCATCTGAGCCTTGTGCCACGAAGAATCAGGTGTTTCTCTGCATCAATCACTCACTCAATCATTGATATAGATTGAATGCCCAAAAGTGGATATTCCGGAACTCGGGACCTCCAGGCGATGCATCTTGGTACCAGGCTAGCTATGCAACCTGACTCTGAATCTATGATACGACTGTTCCGGCAAGCCACCGAATCTGGCGTTATACAAATCTGAACGTGGAGCGGCGTATGCAGAGAGGCACGGTAGTTATTCCCGTTATTTCTCCGGTTTGGAGATCCTTGTCCCTTATATCACACACTGTGTAGATTCAACTATACAGATAGCCTTTCATGACTTCAAGATTAGCGCTGGAATGATCTTAGAGCAGGTCAATTTGGCCTTTGGACTTCCAATGATAAGCTATGCATGGGAAGTTCCCTCCACCAGATTTGGTGGTTAAGTATATAGCAGCTCCGCTGTAGAAGGATCCCACCATCAAAGCTCTTTCATATTTAGCCTTGCAGAAGTCCCCCAGCTTTACAGATGACTCTATGAATGGTGTAACAGGATGAGAATCGTTAAATAAATAGAGAAGAAACCCGCCCTTCTCTTCTTAAAAATGGTTGACCTGAACCGTCAAGTTCCCCCTCTACTCTACTATTCTGCTCTAGCACTTCAGCTCTGCTACATGATCTCGGTGGATATAGTATGCCATTAATTTCAATTTCATAAACCACGAGCTGCAAATACATGTTCAACTTCATCGCTGTTTGAAGATCACTAAAGACGTGGCTGTGGTTTGGCTGAGACCTCCTTCTCAGTTGCCTGCTGTATTCTCCCACCAAGGTCCTTATTGATTCTGCTGAACATCCCATACGTTGCCTTTCTAACGTGTGCGTTTGCTCCTGCCAAATGGCCTGCCACGTTCCCTACGAAATTATCCTGTTGGCCTTTATCTTTGCCCATAACCTCCCACAGTCTACCTGGCTGCACAAAATCCTCGTCTACGACAGGGAGCTGCTTCGAAAGAACAGCCCCAGCCCACTTCTCGTGCTCCTGGCTGGCGCGAATGGGCCGGAATTCCACTTTCCTAAAGCTAGATGGGTAGTTGGGATTCGCGCCATGGTTACCATCGACTGACATATGTCCGTCTCGTTGATAAGGCGTAAATGCTTTCAGGGGACAGTTTACAGGTATTTGGGTGTAATTTGTGCCTAAGCGGTGACGGTGGGTATCTGGGTAGGAGAAAAGACGGGATTGAAGCACTGGATCAGCAGAAGGTTCGACGCCCGGCACAACATGGGAAGGTGAGAAAGCGGCCTGTTCCATTTCGGCAAAGTAGTTCTGTAAGTTCTTGTTGAGGGTGAGACGGCCAAAGCGACGGAGGGGAACTTCAGCGTGTGGCCAGACTTTGGTAAGGTCAAAAATGTTCCAGCGGAATTTCTCGGCGTCAGCTGGTGAGAGGACCTGAACATAGCATGTCCAAGAAGGGTTGTTGCCGGCTTTAATAGCATTGAAAAGATCTTCCGTATGCCAGTCGGGGTTCTTAGCGGACATACGGGCTGCTTCATCGTTGGTGAAGTTTTTGATACCCTGATCTGTCTTTAGGTGGATTTGAACGTAGTTGAAGCCTCCGTCGGGAGTGATCCACTTGTATGTATGGCCCGAGTAGCCGTTCATGTGGCGATAAGAGTAAGGCGTTCCACGGTCCGAGAACAGGTGCATGATTTGATGGGCAGACTCTTGATGCGTGGACAAATAATCCCAAAACATATCTGGGTCTTTGAGATTTGTCTGCGGGTTCCGTTTCTGGGTATGGATGAAGATGGGAAATTTGGAAGGGTCACGTAGGAAGAATATGGGTGTGTTATTGAAGACCCAGTCCAAATTCCCCTCTTCAGTGTAGAATTTGATAGCGAAGCCGCGAGGGTCTCGCGCACTGTCGGCAGAGCCCTTTTCACCACCCACAGTAGAGAAGCGGGTTAGCAGTTTCGTCTTCTTGCCTACGCCTTTGAGCATGTCAACTATTGTCTGCGTGATAGTTAGTATATGCAGCTCTCGGTATGACGTGTGGTAAGTCTAACGATGTCGGTAATATCATCTGTGACTTCAAATTCACCGTATGCTCCAGCCCCCTTTGCATGTACGACTCGCTCGGGGATACGCTCACGGTCGAAGTGTGCTAGTAGGTCGATGAGATGGAAGTCCTGCAGGAGTAGTGGCCCATTCTCGCCGACTCTCTGTGAAGACTCCGGGTCCATGACCTATGCTCGATTAGCCATGTCCTCTCCGAGTTAATAGTCGAACCACATACCGGGCAGCCATTGGAGGTAGTATAAACTGGCACCTCATTGTAACGGTATGTATCTGAAGAACTATGTTAGCTGTGCGGAGCAGTATATGGATGCGAGCAGGCTTACCAGGCTTATCGTCAGCTCCCATGATGCAGGGTTAGGAAAGTTGTTAGCTGAATATGAGGTTATAGATATTTCGTACTGGTGATATTACATCTGACACGGTTAAAGGGAGATAAGAGAGCCCATGGTGAATGAAATGGCTCTTATATAGCCGACCGGAGTTGGCCGTACTCCCAGCCTGCGCGTACAGGCATGAAACAGCGGAGTCTCGTGCGGGGAGCAGCCTATAGTACGGGATGTATACATCGTCTATGCGCTGGATAAGTACACTTTCGCTATGATGTCACTGCTATTAGGCGTAGCAAGGAGGAAAAGGTACGAGGGCCAGTACTTGGGCAAGTAGCGTCGACCTAGGTTTATGCGTAACCTAGTCCCAGTCCGCCCACGAGAATGCGGGGAGAGCTCTGCTTCTGTTCCACAATACTCCGCCCATGTCGCTCTAGTGATCTCTCCGTTGGTGCATCGCGATACAGCGTACAAGATGTGACTGCGATGCTCAACTGGTTGTTTGGTTGAGGAAAAAGTGATGTCAAATTTGAGCTGCGGTCAGCGCTTATGTCATACATTTACGCTTAATAAGCTTATTTTTATTGGTCAATTATATATGCATTCTTATTGGTTATATTATAGCTTAGTCATAAATAACGTGACTTTTCTCTGCCCTGACCCAATTAGGAAGGCGATTTATCAACCTCAACCTCAACGTCTCTTCCTACACGGAGCAATACGGACAACTTTGAAGATATATCCAATTGCTAGTCACCGTCTCCTAATACAATGTTATACCAAAGTCTAGCTGGAAGGACAGTCGGCATCGTAGGTCGCAGGATCGACAAAAGACGGGAACGGACTGTTATTATATCCAAGACGGGCCAATGTATTGGCTAGGCGCTACTGTGAGTGATCTGGCTTCCATTGGTAGTTAGAGGGAGCTTAAGACTTACAATTCTTGTTGTAGACAGGCCACCCATGGTGTTTGAGTCCAGCCCAAGGCTCGGCTGCAAATGTGGCCCAGGCTTTTTGCATAAACCTCTTGAGTATGGTTTGCCCTGGGGATTCTCGGTCTCCAGTAACCCCAAAGGAATTGCCAAAGATCATGTGCAGGTCAACGCCATGGTAGGCATGGCTGTTGGGGAATAGTCGGGTGTTGTCCCAATCCGCAAAGTAGCGATACCTCCATACGGGAACCTTGTGCTTGGTCCTGTAATCCGCTTCCTTCATGGTCGGACACCCGAACACGTCAGTAACGAACTGCGCCCATTGTTCTTCAGTGAGAACTTTGCCTCGGGCCCATGCAGAAATGTTGTAGAATGAGGATTCGTGGTCCGTGTGGCCGACAATCATCGGCTAGGGACAAGGCTTATTAATGTGTTCTTTCGCCTGATCAGGATGTAAACTTACAATTCGGGAGAATTCTCCCTGAGAAGCCAGTGCATCATAGTCTTCAAAGACGGTTTCGCCATCCGGAGCTGGCTGGAACACTGGCTGGGAGCGTGCAATGCTAGTGTTAGGCGGAGGAGGGACCTTAGCGGCAGCATCTTTGATTTCTTCCGCGCTCTTGCTTTGCATGCAATCTAGCATGTCTCCCTCCGAACCGCAGCCAACGAGGGAGGAGGCATTGTACCAATTCTTCGTCGCAATCTCTCTTGAATTCAGAGGGAAACTGAAAATAGTGCCTGAATGAATAATAATGCCGGCCACGATGGGATCTTCCTTGTATGCGTAAGTATAGGCATCTGCAGCAAGGCCACCAGAGGAATGGCCAAAAATGGTGATCCTTTTCGGATCTCCGCCGAAGGCTCGGACATTATCACGCAGCCACTCGACAGCAAGTCGCTGGTCCCTCAGACCCAGGTTTTGGGCTTGACCGGGCGCACCAGGAAAGCCGAAGATGCCGACACGATAGTTAACAGTGACAACCACGACGTCCTCTGCGCCCGAGAAAAATTGGCCATCATAGAATGGGGTGTTGGTATCTCCAATTGTGAATCCTAGAATATCCCATCAGCAAGGATCACAAGCGGGTGGGCGTGAAGAAAACAGCAAACAAAAACAGGGGTCCATACGCCCTCCATAAAAAAAGACCAACACAGGCTTCTTCCGATCAGTCGTACTCTTAGTCCAGATGTTCAGGGTCAGGCAGTCTTCGCTCTGAGCGTTGCCCTGACTGCCGGTGAAGGCCGAAATAATCTCGGCAAAGTTGGGAGTAGCGTCTGGGAAGTTGACGGGCTTCGACGTTGTATACACGCAGTCACTTAACAACAGTCAATCGATCACCCCCCGTACCATCAATTATGAGTACGAGACCGAATTTTGCACTTACGCTGACTACAAGGCAGGCAGTTAGCCAAGGAATTTCAATAACAGCCAATCTAAACGTACAAACCTGGAGGCACGATAGGGCTTATCGCCAACATATCGCTGAGATGGCTTGAATCGCAGCTCACCAACCGGAGGCTGGGCATAGGGGATTCCAAGGAACTCCTTGACGCCTGAGGCTGCTTTGGCTCGATGACCGGTGATGAGGCCGTTCGTTGTCTCAACTGTAAAGCAATTGGCTAGGCTTATCCATAGCAAAAAGGCCGTACCCATGCGAAATACACCTGGAAGCTTCATGGCCACCGGATATTTTGATAGCTTCAGACACCATGAAACGCGATGCAGATTCAGCGGGGCATCGCTAAGAGCGCAAATTACTATTTAAATACCGACTGCTCCGTACCCCTGTTCTCAGCCGCCGTTGAGAAATCAATAGTGTGCTGATCTCGATCCTGCGCTCGTCAGGCTCTGCGAACCCTACTTGTCAACAAACGTTTGTTCTTCTGCGGCTAAGCCCACGGCTCTGATGATAGGGCCGCTAATCTCCTCACAATAGCAATTGAGCACCCGAATACTTTATTCTACGGGCCTATTCAGTCTAGTCCCAGGGGTTAAGGTCACCTTTCGCGGGAGCTTGGGAAGCGCGATATCGAACTCAAAACCCCAGCCATAGCCACTTTTGTGTTGAACATCGTCAACGGACACTCGTCCCACAATCGAAAAGAACCGTTTGGCAGTAATTTGCATGATTTGAGGATAAGTTCAGGGGGATTGGTTGGAGATAAATTTTTGGGGAAGTTCGAAAGGATAACAAATAATGAGATATAGAGATACTGAGGATCCAATTTTTCGTTGGAATAAATATGGTTAGCTCGATGCAAGCAGCACTAGAGATACTACGCCCTTTAAATATTCCATTTTACGCGCCATCCCCTTCCGTGGGTGCATCTCTGGGTGTCCATCGTAGTTATTGGCCTCGGTTGAATTTGGCCGGATATGTTGCCTAAAGCGAATGTTGGCTCCCCATGTCTGATGCAAAGGAAATGCCGGGAATGGGCCTGGCGCGAATCGTCCTGTTTCGAGTGAGTGAAGGAGTAAGAAAACGAGTGGAAGGCAACTTACCCAGACAATGCATAACTAAGATGGCAAGGCACAGTGGCTCCTGTAAGCATTGAAGCTGATTATCAAACAGAGAACGTCGCGAGTTGACGCGCTGGATGAATCCATGCATCTATAATTAGCCAATATACGCATACGCGATATCGCTTTGAGAACCTAACTAACTAGCGCCTAGGCATTAACTACTGCTGAAAATAGCAAAGCAAGGAAGAACTGTGTCAAATATCATCCCCAAAGATCTTGTTGTTATCCTCAATGCTGCGCTATCTTTATCCCAGTCACCGCATCTGCTTCAGAAGTCTCACGCGGCCCTCTAGGCTCGCAGCCTGTCCAAAGGGCCAATTCTGGCAGCATAGGCTGATAGCGTCTGGCACATCTCGTGTTCGACAATTCCCAGCCGCCGGGTTCAGAGAAATAGATCCGTCGCAGAAGATAGAAGAGGAGAGATTTGGTGATTATCTTGCAGAACGATACTACCCTATCGACATTGGTGAAACATTCCAATCCAGATATCAAGTCATCACAAAGCTCGGGTTTGGCGCCACTTCGACCGTATGGCTATGTCGAGACCTCCAGTATGTTACCTGAAATTCTATGCATAAAAAATTCCCCGGTTAGGTTATTGACGCATCTGAAGGGAGCACCGCTACTTGACGCTCAAGGTCAATGTTCGCAGCAGGAGACCGAACCCTGAGGTTGAGTTGACGAACTATATGAAGAGCATAGAGGATATCCATGGCGGTGAAGTCAACGTTCGCCGCGTAATAGAGTCATTTAATATTGACGGACCTCATGGAACTCATTGCTGTGTTCTATACGAACCCACTGGTATTGATTTGAGCGATTTTATACATCGCTTGGAGACCGGAGCGCTACCTGAGCTTCTACTTAGACCAGCTATCCGATATATCCTCATTGCGCTGGATTATATCCATCAGCTTGGAATTATACATACGGGTAATCTTATCCGGCAAAAATGCCATCGACCAAAAATAAAAATCCTAGCTAACTAGCCTCAAGATATACAGCCGAACAACATCCTTCTAGGCATAAAGGACCAATCCGTCCTCTCACAGCTTGAACAAGATGAGATTGACCATCCGGTAGCTAGGAAACGAATCCCTGGACGAACGATATATTTGTCACGGGAGATGCCCATAACCCGGGGATTTCCAGTTCTTTCGGATATGGGTGAAGCTCGACGTGTAGAGGCTAAACAAAGGGGCATTATCTTGCCAAGTATCTACCGCGCTCCAGAGGTGATGCTGGATATGGAGTGGGATAACAAGGTCGATATATGGGCACTTGGACAAACCGTAAGGCTTTCTGTCTAATCTTAACTCGCTACCTAGTGCATGCATGAATTCAGCTAATTGTGGCGTAGATATGGACCCTCTTCGAAAAGGGCCATCTCTTCGAAAATATCAATCCGATGGGAGAGTTAGATCATGGCCGCAGATTCGCGGAAATGATATCACTTATGGGTCCTCCACCTCCCGAATTCCTTCAGAGAAGCAAAGAGGGCGCAAAGTACTGGGATGAAAAGGGTACAGCTATATATATACACTCTCCTTATCATTCTATATCTGTTTGTTCTAATCCTCCTTACCCTAGGAAACTGGAAACTCTCGCATATCTACCCAATCCCAAAGCAGACCCTGGAATCTCGAGAGATCCAGCTAGAAGGGGAGAACAAAAGACTTTTCTTGGAGTTTATGAGAAAGATGTTACAGTGGGTGCCAGAAGATAGAGCGAATGCTCAACAGCTACTCTTCGAAGACCCATGGGTAATCGGAGGTGAATATTGAAGACGCTATTCGGTATATACATACATAATCTGGGTCCATTTCTTGGTACGGGCTGCTTTGAGAAGACAAATATGGACCATTCATCATTCTGAAGTAGTTACACGTTCACTAGTTGAGTTGGGAATCCTCAGCCACATAGTTACGCTCTGTCAAGCCGCAAAGTCTGTAAGCGCCGTCCCTGTTTCTCCTGGCTACATGCATAGTAGCATTCGTACCATGCCCTTTTGCTGACACCTCAGGGCTTTAGCCATGGATATAGCCTCGCACAGGTCAGGAGGCCATATGCACTCCCCTGTACATTAATGCATTATGCGCGAAGAACCCTGGTTCAAGGAGGGGTTAAATGCGGCGCAGCCGGATTCTCTCAACAGTGTAAGTATTACACCAATAACGGGCACCGTAGTGTGTCTGAGCATGCATATACCAGGCTATGTTAGCGTTCGTGAGACCTAGGGAGGGTGTCAGTGTCTCTAGAGGTGGCTGCATGGCCATACTCTCGAGGCAGTTTCCCTGCCCCTAGGGTTGTGGCTCAGTTGTTAAAACTTCATGGGTTCTAGCTGGTTACATGGCACATTGAACGTTACAGCCCAAAAATAGAGCCATCTATAGGATGCGGTATGGCATATATATTTCCCCTTGGCCCTTCACGGTTCATACCCCTATATACCCAAAGAAGATCAAGTTTCGATAGGAGCCCCGTTCTATCCGCATTTTTACCATCTTATTATCCAGCGAAGCATCTTCCTGCTTCTCCTATTTTACAATGGCGGTCTCTCTGTTAAGATATTCCTCCTATACCCGTTCAGAATACGACCACTATTTCGATGACATCCTCGCCCCAAACCGTGTGACGTCCAGTTCAAGCCTTGCAGATATTATAGATGTTGACCCCCAGTCTTGCTGCGTTGGGTTTGCTCCAAGTAAACACCGCCGATGTCATAACGTCATTGCCTGGCATAACAAGGCTCGTGCATCGAGGTTATTGGAACAAGGCACCGCTCGACTCTACGACGGAGAAAGCGTGTCCAGCATTCTCGAAGAGCTGGCAATTTGCCTCCTTTGTCGGGCCACGCATCAGTGTCAAGTCCCGGACGTGGTCCACAAATGGACAAGAATGGTCACTGCGTTCTTGGACGAGCAGGCCTCCCGCGTACGTGCCGCCAGACGCCGGCAACCGACAACTACATCGCCCCCTAATCGTTCGTCAGTCCGCATCAGTCAGCCTCCCGATGATGTATTGCTTTCATATATTCCAACCGAATTTCCTGTCACTCGCAGGAATGTGCCCCGTTCCTCTTCCGGAATGACTTCCTCCATGACCTCCAGGTTGGCCTCCAGAGCCCCCACAATCCAGCCCCGCCAGGTTATCACTCTATACGCAGCCAGAAAACGCATTAGATCCAACGAAGACTGCCCGATCTGCCAGGATAGACTTATGCCAAGCCCAACCACATTGGTTGTTTACAGATCAGTGAACCACTGCAACATAACATGGTGCAAGGCCCGATGCGGCTCAAATTTCCATACTGTTTGTATGAATGAATGGAGACGCTCTCGTCCTACGTCTTCGCAAGTCAACTGCCCATGTTGGTAAGTACTTTTGTTTACTTCTTCCTTTTAATTCCTGATTATTGTGGCTAACTTTGGCGTTTTCACCTAATTAGCCGGGCTGAATGGGTAGAATGCAATGATTCCTCATATCCCGAATTAGAGGAGGAGGAAGAGGAGGAAGAGGAGGAAGAGGAGGAGGAGGAAGAAGAAGAAGATGATGATGAGGAGGAGGAGGAAGACGAAGATGATGATGAGGAGGAGGAGGAAGAAGAAGATGATGATGATGAGGAGGAGGAGGAGGAGGAAGACGATGAGGATGATAATGACAATGATGGTAATGATAATGATGATGATGAAACGGAGTCTACAACGAGCCACAGCGATCTCCGCGATAACGATCGAAACATACTTCCGAACGATATAACGGGAGCCCCCGTCGCAATTGAGTCAGCAGAGGAACAGGGTATAAATGAGGATACAGAAGAGGAGGAGGACACGGAAGAGTGGGAAACGGAGGAAGAAGAAGTGGAGGAGGAAAAGGCCGAAGTGGTAGACAACGAAAGAGTTACGGCTGTTCTTGAGGGGGAGGTGGAAGCATCAGTGACAGGTGCAATTGAAGACCTAGCAGAGGAAAAAGAGGAAACAGAAGAAACAGTTGAAACATTTGAAACAATTTCTTTAGAGCAGGGTCAAGGGGAAGAAGAAGGGTCACATCAAGAAGAAGACGGCCCAACAAGTTTGGAATCAGTCTCTACCGAAGAGACCGCCGGACAGATTACGATGGAGCAAGAATCTCACCCTACTGTTCCCAGCACGACGACTGAAATGGATGAGACCCCGACCACTACAACCGACAGACAGATAACACGGTCTTCGACGCCAGAACAACTTGCGCCTATTTGGCCTCCTAGGGACCCAATCGAGGATTTTGATCACGGTAATTACTTGGATGTCATGATTTCCATTTTTTCTATGGCATTGGGCGTTTGATATCTATACCAAGGTGCGAAGCGACATTTTCCTTTTCTAGCGGCATCTACACAGGCGTTGGGTCTAAGAATACCATATGATATGTATCTTCTTCTTCTTCTTCTTCTTCTTCTTCTTCTTCTTCTTCTGCTGCTGCTGTTGGCGTCAGGTCTAGATATTTGGAGAACTCATAGTCTATTTCTCGTCTATCTAGCAATTTTGTATTCAAAAAAATCAACGTTTTCAACTGTTAGCCCATGTCTACCTCTAAGTCAGCTAAATTCAAGTAGTTTTACTCACTCGATGGCCAAATAATATACTGAGACCCCGTTATGCCCATATGGTTGATGTTACATGAGCGCCACTCCACCAAAACCTCATTATTTATTCACTCGAGTGCAAGCGACGCCATCATCCAAAAAGTAGCATATCCAGATAACTAATCACCAGGAGTAAATGGTTAGCAGGGGAATGGAGGAAAGAAAAAAAAAAAAAAAGGAGGGAAACTCTTATGGGGCAAACCGGGATCGAACCGGTGACCTTCTGATCAACTAGGTGAAACCTTGTCATTGAAGCGTTGCTTCAGTCAAACGCGCTCCCAACTACGCCATTGCCCCAGTGCTGTGCTAGTTGGCACCCCGTCCCTCGCCATGTACGCCTGCCGCAGCCCTACGACGCTCTCCATGGTTCAATATACCAAACGCTACCACGGTACTATAGCCATCACTTTTAACGTCCATGGACCTGCCAATTTAGGCGGAGAATAATATAAGTGTAAACATAAACCTGCAACCACTGACGCCCATGTATTGCATCATCAAGCTGCGTTGAAGAAAGGACCATCGTCGTGGCTACTGCTACCCCCATATACATCTTCTTTGCTTCACGAATCTACCTCCAAGGGTCACCCGATATGGACCAAAGACTTGTGAAAATGACCACAGGCCCCCAGGGTCTGGGAGTGAGTTTTTCCAATAGCGAGAGGTTTCTGATAGGGGTTCTTCAAGATTTCCGAAACAGTAAGCCTCCAGGCGTGGCCGCTAGGCTGGAGATCCGGTTCACTGGCACTCCGCTTTGCGATAAATTGCGTGGACTTGAAACCGGTGAGGTCGAGTTAACGAGCACAACGCTATCTTGCAAGCGGTTTCGGCTGGAACTCGCGGGCTTTTTCCTCTCGTATGGGGTGCGGTACATTCGGCGCGCGACAGCTTATGGTGTAGACCCCATATTCCACATCGATACAGCGAGTGACGAAGAACCAGGCGAGCCGCCTTGTGTCGCGACAGCCAGAGCTAATATCTTTGGGTTAAACGTCACTTTTTGCGATTTCAGGGCCCTGAGCAGCCACTACTCAGTCAGCCACAACACAGCTCACGACCACGCATCTCGTCGAGAGGCAACGATCGATACCATAGCCTATAACGTAATCACAGAAACGTTGGAAGACCTCACAGGCTATGGGCGCCATGATATATACCATGGTATCATCAGAACACCATTACCGAGCTATAGCACCTTTCAATATGACCCTTTCAGAATCATACGTCTGACAAGGCTCGCGTGTGATTTGCAATATAAACTTGCCCTTTCAACACTCCGAGCTATGTCTGATGTGAACTTTCACCAGGACTTGCTCGATATGCTTATGACGGCTCAATATGGTCAGAGGCAGTTCGGAGTCGAGATCATGGAGCTCCTTAGGTGTCGTGACCCCTTAAAAGGCATGTGGATAATCCACAGATCAGGTCTCTACTCTCCGTTATTTGTCAGCATAACTTTGCGTCGAGAACTGGAACTGGTGTACCCCCACCGCAGAGCTTATCATTGTCCCTTTTGGCCATACACGTATGACAATGTTTATGGAATAGTCAATTGCCTGATGAACGAAGGAAGCACCAGATACAACAACGTAGCTAGCTATCTTGATGGTATCGGTCCGGAGGATACTTGGTTGACGGCAGCTTTTTCTCACCTCGCGCAGCTAAGGCCAATGCCAACGGCACCAGAAGAAAGAGCAACCATCTTGAAAGCAATTATTGATTCATTGGAAGCAATCAACCCTGATACCAAGATATCATGCCAGCTAAGACTCGCCCTCAGCAATTTGGATGATATCCAGCTGTGTGTAGACAAGGTCGCGAAGAACCAGGTCCGAAAACCAAAAACAATCGGCTTGCCGTTGAGGTGTTGGGGTCGCACTTGGAGATTTCAGGTCTTTTACTCGATGCTGGCAGAACTGGCGTATCAAGGAGCTAACTTCGAGACTTGTACTCGAGTGATGAGGAGGTATGAGAGGTTTGCGTCATATATTGATCAGCAGTTGCTAGCCTTTGCAGTGCACATGACGCCGCTTCTCGATAGACAAAGTCTCTGGGACCTTTTCCGCGTGGATGAAGAGGAGTGTGTTACCACCGCGATCCTTGAAGCCGTCGTGTGCTGGCAGCTCGATCATCCAGGCGGCTCGCGGGAGGCGGCTATCGAGTGGCTTAGTCACACACTGCTCCCTATATCACGTGATCGCACAAATAGCCATTCTGACCTGCCTATCAAGTTAAAAAGGGGAGAGAGATGAAGTCAGAGAACGAGACGAGAGCTGCCGGCAAAAAGGCAAAAAGAAAAGACTGGGTAGAGATGTCTAAATGGGGCAAACCGGGATCGAACCGGTGACCTTCTGATCAACTAGGTGGAATACCTTGTCATTGAAGCGGTGCTTCAGTCAAACGCGCTCCCAACTACGCCATTGCCCCTGTGATGGAGTCGATCGGCGACATGGCACGTCAAGAGGTATGATTGTGCTTCCTTGAAGGGGTATTTTACCTAAGCGTGTCACAGTACGAGTGATGGAAGTAGATCAATGGGAACAATAGAGTAATAGACTAATGGAGTCATAGAGAAGTAATGGTTGGTTAGAATAGATAAATGATATCATTATGCGCAAAGCAACTGACTGGACTGGGAGTAAACACCTAAATAGGCACCGATACGGTATGTGGCTACAAAAATACACTGCCATTAATCGGATTACCATAACTCTATCATTCTATAGCAGGCGAAAGAGAAGAAAAAAACAGGTACGTTTGAATCCATCCAGCCACAACCATAGTTGTCCACAGCAAGAAACAAAGTAATCCAGAAGAAGAGACGAAAGAATGTAGAAGCGCCACAAAATTATAACGTTGCTAATGCTGGTCATGCCAACTTAAAGGACGAGTCGCCGGGATAGGCCTCTTCTCGCCTTCCAAAGTTGAAGAGAAATTGCAGGAAATAGAAGCGGTGTATAGGAGTTGCTTCGGAATTCTGGCCCGGGGGTTTATGAAGGAGGTAAAAAATAATTAGGACGGGGTATGGAAAGACGCTGCTTGAGAGAGTAGCGTCGAAAGGTTTTGTACAGAGAATTGTCTGGGAAATAAAAAGGTGCAAAGGAATTCTTCGAGGGGAAAATTAATTTTCTCATGTAGTAGTTTTTCGTTGTCGTTGAAGCCCCCTGTCGCAATCCATTATCGTTGATATGTATCCAAACCCCGTTTTTCACGTTAACGTAAGAAGAGCAGATGAAGAAAGAGAGTAGTAGTAGGCGGATAGAATCCCGGACGTATCCGTATTTAAGTCCGGCCATACTTGGTCTTTCCGAAGGTGAAGGGAACATAACGATATTTAATCATGTGTTGTATTTGTCGTCGCACTAGAGATTCAACTTTGTTAGATTGAGAAGGAAGAACCATGGCCATGGGACAATACGTACTCGTTAAACAGAACAGGATCAACCAGTAAACGACCAAAATCGGCCAGAAGACTGGGATGTTGAACACCTGAGACCAGGTGCAGCAGAAGCCAAGGGTGATGGCCACGGTTGCGGAATGCCAGAACTTGAACTCCGGGAGTCTTCGAATGAACGGGCGGAACTCCTCATCTTGGTTGGTGGGGAGAGACGCAGAAGCATCTCCTTCCTCTAGCCCGCTGTCCTGGGTAAGAGATGGGTCGAACTTTGGCTGGAGGAAGGCGAGGAATAGGTTGAGTAGGTAGATTCCCAGCGTGTAAGCCACTATCGCAAAAAATCAATCAGAACATGTCCTGGAATCAGATAGGTATCAAGAAAGATGGCATACCGATATACCAGCCTTGCGCGAGCACTATTCGGAGGAAGAAGAGTAGGAGGATGACGCCGGTGCCTACCCATCGGTACATGGTATATGGGGTCGACGCATCGAGATATGCTTGATATTGCTGTTTGCAGAACATTTAGATTAGCCACGGTCACGGCGCATGTATATACAGAGCAATAGAAAGAGACACCAGGCTGGTTACTTACTCTTCTCAACTTTGAGGTTTGCGCAGAAACGGCCGTAAAGGGGCTGTTCTCTGGTTCTGGGTGATCCATGGCGAAGTAGCGAGGGACAAAAAGGTCAAGAGTACAAAGTAGCGACGCTGTATGTGAATGAGGATGGATGCTGTCTGTATCTGTATCTAGCGGCGTGGATGCTGGACTTGGGATAGTAAAAAAATAGCGACGACTGACGACGACGACGATGTTTGATATTGGCTTCTTCCAGGAATAAGATTGGAAACTTGGTCTTGGCAACAGCCAAGCCACAGTGCACGGATCAACCAGAAAACGAGGCTGACAGATGCGCTAGTCCCGATTTGGTAATGTTGACATAAGCGAGATTAATTTATCACGTGGTATCATGTGACTCTGTTCCTCGGCTTGTCGCGGCTTTTGCCTCGGCGCTAGTTCGGCGGGCAGGAGGACGGCCAAACAGGAAGATACAGTAGAGAGATACACATCATATCAATCCCTGAGCTGTTTGTCTGAGCTGTTGTTTGTAGATACCAATTGTTGAATATACATCTCACGCCATGTTCGCCAGACGTTGCTCGAGACTCGTGGCCTCGCAGACTGCCCGGCCGCTGCAGTCGTACGTCTCCCGCTTCTACTCTACCGGATCTCCAGCGTATGAGTACATCTTGACATCCAACCCTAAGCCCGGTGTCGGTCTAAGTACGATCAATTATTGGTATGGCTGCTGTCTAGACATAGCTAACCACCTCTAGTTACCCTTAACCGACCAAAGGCCCTCAATGCCTTGTGCAGCCCGCTCTTCAAGGAGCTCAACGACGCCCTCACCAAGTATGACGATGATAAGAGCATTGGTGCTATAATCATCACTGGCAGCGAGAAGGCATTCGCAGGTATGCATATGGGGAATATACTAGCCCATTGGTGGATATAACTCGCTAACTCCTTACTAGCTGGCGCCGACATCAAAGAAATGGCACCTCTGACCTTCTCCTCCGCATACTCTGACAATTTCATCGCGTCATGGTCACATCTTGCCAATACCATCCGGACACCCGTCATTGCTGCTGTCTCTGGATACGCTCTTGGAGGAGGCTGCGAGCTGGCCATGATGTGTGATTTCATCTACTGCACCGACAAGGCTACCTTTGGCCAGCCCGAGATCAAGCTCGGCACCATTCCTGGAGCTGGTGGCTCTCAGCGCCTAACCAAGCTTGTTGGCAAGAGCAAGGCAATGGAACTTATCTTGACTGGAAAGAACTTCAGCGGAAAAGAGGCTGGAGAGTGGGGAGTCGCCGCTAAGGTCGTCGAGGGAGGCAAGGATGAGCTGATGGAGGCTGCTCTCGAGACTGCCAGCACCATTGCTAGCTACAGCCGTGTTGCTGTCGTTGCTGCCAAGGAGGTTGTTAACAAGAGCCAGGAACTCTCGTTGAAGGAAGGTGTGGAGTTCGAGAGGAGAATGTTCCACGGGCTATTCGGTAGCAAAGATCAGAAGATCGGTACGTGTAGTGCTACAAGTGGACGTTGACTCAAGAGACTAACTTGATATGAATAGGAATGACCGCTTTCGCCGAGAAGAAGAAGCCAGAGTGGTCGCACGAGTGATTTATGTACTAAATATATATTCTAGAACGCATTTTATTCCGTTGTTTTACAGCGCAGCCCGTCAAAACTTATACATTACGCCAAAGTTAGGCAGTCTGCTACATTACTGAGGGAGATAGTTCAATTGAAACTCATTTGAATGAGAGCCATTTCGTTCAATCAGATAATTAAGATTACCCTAATTAATATTTCATTTTCCATTATACAGTTAACACTTCCCCCTTACATTTTTCATCACAGTTTTGATATCGCTCCAATGTGATCACAGTTTACTGCTCTCCACTGAACTTGGCAGCCTTCTTGCTAACATCACCCATAGCTCCCTTGACTTTGTCTCCAAGGGAACCGAGAACACCACCTGCAGAATGGTGTCAGCCAGCATTTCATCAAACGATGATAGAGGTATTGAACAAACTTACCCGTCTCCTGGTTCTCTGGTGGCTGAGTACGACCAGCATGGCTTCCATACCCCTGATCACCGTACCCCTGGCTCTTGCCGCTCATTCCGGAGACTCCCTCGCCAGGGTCATCGGTGGCTCTAGCACTCTGGTAACGGCCTTGGGAGGAAGCACTGGGATACGCCTCAGTGCGTCCCTCGTCGTGCATACCACCCATCCCTCCGCCGGTAGTGCGTGAACCCTCGACTCCTCTCATACCCTGTCCACCCTGCAGATTCTGGGTGCCGGAAGAGCCCATACCGCCAGCCTCGGCCTGGTCGTCTATATGGGTACGTTGGGCGTACTTCTTGGATTCCCATCTCTGGGCCTGGGAGTTGGGATCGGTGGTCATCAAGTTCTCGTCGATTTCTTCTGAGAAGTCTTGACCACCCTGGGCAGCACTGCGAGTGGTGCGCTGGGAACGGCGCTGGGCTGAGGTCCAATTGTCTCCGGCTCCAGACATGATGATTGCAGTTGGTATTTCTTTGTGTTTTGGTTGAGTATGTGAATTTCCTGTAAGTTTCAGGTAGGGAAAAGTAAAAGAACAGCCGTATACACTTGCCCTGGGCCATATTTATATACTACTGTATCTGACATTCGCCCCCATGCTGAAGGAGGCCATATAGTATGATATCATAAAGCCTATGATTGATCAAAGAATGGCCATTTGGTCACCCATTAGGGAAGTAAGGTCGCCATAGATTCTCATACTTCAACATATGACCAGCTCGCTCTAGCTATAGAACAGAGGATGAGTGGTGGTTGTGGCGATGCTGCTCTCAGCGGTTACCAGTGAAGTTGCAAGTCTAGATCTCTTTTTCTGGCTTGCGGTACGTAATATGAACTTACTACTCGATGTATCCTTCTCCAGTTTCTTTCTTAATTTTAGTAGGCAAAGTACATCCATCTTCACCGTTATCGGTTTCTCTCTCGCCACTACACAGAGCAAAGGTTCTATCTGCTATTTATGTATGCTGGATATTGCTAGACCATTCATTCTGTCACGGTCGCTATATACAGTGTTTACCTCATGGTGCAAGACACTTCAATTGGCCGAAGAATGGCATGCTAAGAGCTAGTAGATATTTGTTAGATTTACTATTAACCTACCCAAAGCTCAAGATGCGAGGTTAGTACTTGAGTGGCCATTTCTTTATTAAGCGCATTCCGATATCCCTCTCTAGACAATATCTTTCTACGGCATAAATACGTATGCTGATATCCGACTTTTACTACCCATAAATATAAACCCTTCCGGTGGAGAATGGTTTGGCCAGTTGGTGGATGTCATAACTAGTAGTTGGATATAAGATAGTTGGTCTTGGGTTTGCGTTGGATTTTACATAGTCCCAAATAAAGACCGAGAGTATTTAATTAATCCATGAGACATTTGTCGTGTATCTGAAGAGGATATAACTCTTGGTGACGAGAGATTTGGAAGAATAAAAGTGAGGTTCTGTAAAACGTCTATACCGTCGAGCGTCATATTATTGTTAGATATATGTAAAGGAATACGATATTGAGCCGAGTATAGAGCTCTATACATCATCTCATGCCTCCATAGACTCGTCGAGATATCTCCTTTATCACCAGTGCCATCTCTTAGTAGGCTAGGATGTTGCATGATATCTATATTTGCACCAATGCTCTCATATTTAACCAAACAATATTTATTTCTTTTGTAATTTAATATTTCACGCCTGCAATTCCATAAAATATACGGAGTACCAATACAAAAGACCTCTACGTTTACGGGTGACTCCTGGTTCATAGCCGTGCCAGTCCGCTATCAACTCGTTGGTAATCAACTTTCACTATAAATACGAGATATGGAGTATCAACTGCCAAAGTGACCAATTAACAAAGAATATCCACCCCCCATAAAAGACTAGCAGGTATGGGAAACGATATTGGTTATATATGGAACATATCTTTTGATGGAGATAAATCGTCAAAGTGACCATTGAGCAAGGAATATTAGTTATCTACAACAGTTTTATTGTAGGAATGCTACACTCCCATCAAGGATTGTTCCCGCTGTGGCTCGCTAACTAGCTCGATGATACCTATCGGCGGACTCATGATTTCAAAGCAGACACGGGATACCCCTTGACATGAAGCAACAGCAACAGCATCGAGGAACGATGGACATGGATTCTTGTGATATATAAAACCATCAACTTTTTCCCACTGTTATTTCTTTATCAGCACATCGATTCAAAACAAAAGAGCTTAGACTGCCTCCCGATATTTTCAATCTTATCCTTTATATTTTTACAGAAATCCCAAACTTCATTCTATAAGCTCCAATGGCTTCCTACCTTCTTACTGGAACTTCGCGGGGCATTGGCCTCGCTCTAGTCAGTATTCTTGCTACTAAGCCTGCCTCAGAGGTATCTACCGTCTTTGCTGCCGCACGCACAGAGACTGATGCCCTAAAAGAGTTGATTGCAAAGTTTGCTGGCCGCGTTGAGTTTGTGCCAATTGACGTTACCTCTGAGGAGAAGGTTAAGAGAGCTGCAGAGCAAGTCGAAAAGTCTCTCGGCGGCAAAGGCTTGGATGTCCTTATCAATGGTGTGGGTATCATGAATTTCACTCCAGATGGGATCGAGACAATGTGAGTAGTTCATATCCCTGACCCTAAATATGGATAGCTGACCAGTACAGGTCTGACCTTAACTCGACATTCAACTCCAATGTGACAAGTGCTCACCTTGTCACGAGCGCTTTCCTCCCACTCTTGAAGAAGGGTGCCCTCAAGAAGGTTGCCAACATGTAAGCAGGTCCCTGGATGTATGTTGCTGTCGAATAAGCTCTGATATCATATAGTTCCACAACCTTGGGCTCTATGGGGATGGCACCAACGTTCAAACCATTCCCAGTCCCAGCATATAAGGTCTCAAAGGCGGCCCTTAACATGCTCACGGTTCAATACGCTCAGACTTTCGCGGATGAAGGCTTCACATTTGCCGCAATCTCTCCAGGAGTGAGTTACATCAAGCAGGACTCAGTTCATCATAGGCTAACATGTCTCATAGTGGGTGCAGACCGATCTAGGGGGAGCCCAGGCCGACTTGACACCTAGCCAGAGTGCCACCGCCGTGCTGGATATTGTGTCGAATATTAGCAAAACGGACAATGGCAAGTTCTTCAACATCCTGGTGTCTGGGTGGGAGAAAGCTGCTGGACCAAATCAGTATGATGGTGCTCAGGTACCTTGGTAATTGGTATATTGCGATCAAGACGCTGAGGTTGATGAAATTGCTCTTTGAACCGTCGAAACAAAATATGCTGACTAAACGGCCACATGATATACTGTACAATTAATATAGGTCCAGTGCTTTTAATGCAGTGACTAAGCATAATACTTCCTATTTAACGTAATCCACATGCGAGCCGGCCACCCAAGCGAGCCGGCCACCAAATTGATTATATATAGATTAGTCAACTTTTTATATAATAATTAATACCGAAAAAAAAGTATTAAATTAAAAATTAAATAACACTAGGATTAGGATATCTTGTTCTTCTATGTCTGAGAATATTATAGTTACTACATTGTGGTTAAGCTTGTAATTGTAGTTATAAGGCTGGTGGTTTAGCTTTGGTAGGCTGATCAATTATACGTTTGGTAGATAAATCAGGGGGGGTAACAAGGCTTTAAGCTTCTTCTCTTATAATACCCCTTGGTTGTTAAATTCTGCGATTAGATCTTGTATATTTTTGCTTCTCTTTTTTATTTATAGTAAATATATCCTAATATTGCTTCTTTATTATTGTTATAGTAACTATCTTATACTTATAGATCTTAATAATTTAATTAAAGCCTTCCTTAAATTGTTTAGAGGGTTCTATATGGTCTTATCTAAAAAGGTTCTTAATCTTATTTGCTTATCTATATAACTGGTGAGGGTTACTAGGTGTTTATAGACCCTAAGATAATTAAGAGTTGTTTGATTGGCTTCCTGGGGGGGTAGGTGTATAAAGTTGAATATTAAGCTTTTAGACCACTTTATCTGGATTGAATAGACTAATTCTAGTTATAGTAAAGCTATTTTGAATATTCTTAGGCTTAAAAGCCTCTATCCTTACTATAGGATATGTATTTAAGAAATCGAGCTTCTTAATAGTATTAAATCTAAGTTATATTTATTGTTTAACTAAACCTCTATATGCTTGCTTTAGGATGGTAAAAACGCTTATATCTAAAGGCTATAAGAGGTATAAAGAATAAGGAGGTATATAGAGAGGAATAATATTATTCTCTATATAGAGTTGATTGAATTTAGGTATAAGATGGCTTCTATAACTATCTAATATAAGTAAGGAATAACTGCCTCTTTTTTATATATTTATAGTTAGAATAAATATCTTTATAAGCTATTTAAGCCTAATCTTATCTATTATTTAACTATTAGGACTAGTATTAAGTCTCTAGCTATCTGGAAGCCTATTAAACCATTCTTCCTAAGTATTTTAGCCTTTAAGAATAATATATGGAGGTAGATCCTAACTAGATATATTTACTGATTTAATAACTATGACCTATTCTTGATTTTTCGGCTATAGGAGCTTTATATAGCTATATTTCTTAGAGCTAGAAATGACTTTTATAGTTGCGCAGAGTCCTATTATAAATCTAGTCTTATTAAAGTTATAGATATCTTCTTGTTAAATTCTGTATATAGTAAAGATAGTATTTAGTTAATTAAACTACTTTTAAATAACCTTAATATCTTTATATTTGGCCTATTTATAGTTATAATACCTTAAGTATTAACTTTAGAGCTCTATATAGCGCTTTACTAGATTTAAGACCTAGTTTTTACTAACTTATGGAGGTAATAATATAGACTCTTATATAGAAAGATGTCACAAGCTGACGGCGCTCCTTGATTACCTAAAGGTGATCAGAGGTTCACACCTACTATAAGACAGAAGGTATAAAGGTCTTAGGGAAAGGTTGGGTTAGAAGTGAGTTATTATAGGAGACAGCTCGGTACCAAGGCGAGATAGAATACTATAGTAAGTCTATCCCTTAGTTCCAAGTGTAGCTTTAGTTAGTGCTTAGGTCAGATAAAGGCTAAAGGTTCTTATAAGTAGTGAAGACAAAGTTGACCTACATTAATAGGCAAAGGGGTATTTAGTGAATATAGTATAAGACAACTAGAATAGTGCTTTGTATTAAGCAGTATAGTAAAACTATAGCTAGTTTGATCACAAGTATAAGACTCTTAATCTTAAGGTAATGAGCATCTTTATATATAAGTTCTTGTATATCCTATTCTCCCAAGTTATTTAGTCGCGCTATTAACTCTATCAATCTAGTGACTTATACTAGCTCTCCCTACTCTCTTAGTTACTTTAGTGAGTCAGGTGACTAGGCGAGTGGGACGTGGTTATTCTGTTCCATCTTGTCTGTCCAATGAGTATATACTCTGAGGCTGCGCCGCAGGTGGTCTGTAACATTATCCCCTCCTTTCTTATTAAGTCGTCTCAATGAGTGTATAAATATCTATAAGTGTCCTCCCTTTGTGTTTTTAGTATCTTCCTTTCTTTTCAGCGTCTCTTATTATGTACTAATCATGTTATCCAAATCTAGTGATTCTTCTCTTAATAGGCATTATCTTGCTGAACATATTAAATGCTCTAGTGTCATCATGGCCTCTTATTATTCTTATTGTGCTCATCTTTAAAAGGAGTGTATCGTTTCTTCTAAGTCAAAGAAGTACAGTGAGTGTACTTGTTCTAACAAATAGTATAATGCTGGTGACTTAATATCGGATCTAGATTAGAATAAGCTTATTTAAGCTACTAATTACTTAGAGCGTAAAGAAGAGGAGACTTATGCTTAGGTGTTAAAACTATTTGGTTATCTTTCCTATATTAAAAAACAATAGAAATTACTTTACTCCTATACTAGTGAGTTCCTTTACTCCGATATGAAGACTGTGGAGGATCTGGAAGCCTTAGACGCTGAGAGGGAGTAGGCCTTGGCTGCTTAGGCTTCTCTATCTGATGACCAGGCTTTCCTTTAGCAAGAGGCTCAGGATCTCTTCGCTCTGACTTTTAGTGCCCCTTCCTTTGGTGATTATTCTATTAATTAACTTCTTAAGGGCCTTCCTTCTCCTAGTTCTTTACCCATTAGTAGAAATTCTTTACCAAGCGCTGCAAATGCTTCAGGTGCCTAGCGGGTTTATAAGTATTTTCTGAGAAGTTATATCCTTTCTATTTAACTAAGTAGTGAGTTTGTCCACTGATTATTTTCTTATCTAGAATCTTCTCGACTTTATATTCTTTTTCTTGATTTTCTGGTTATATTTCTGATTCATATGGTTTAGCGTTTTAGAGTACTTTTTCGAGTAATAAGATGTGAAACGTTGGGTATATTTACATGTGGTCTGGAAGTTAGAGTTTGTAATTAAGTTGTCCAATTTTTTCCAAAATCTTGAATAGTCCTAGTTTCTTATGGTCCAGTTTGTTACTTAGTCTCAATATTTTGATATTTTATTAAAGTAAGAATACTTTTTCCCCCTTTTTAAAGTCTGGCGCTTCCACGTGCTATTAGTTATAGTAGTGTTTTATTTTGTAGTTCAAGAATTTGAGATCTAACTATAGGTGTCTATAGAGTTTGCGTATTTGTTCTATTAAAACCTCTACTTCTAAGGCGTGTGTTTTGCCTTCTCTTAGTGTTTTTATTATTTCTATTTCTCTTCTATAATTTGTAAAGAAAGGTATTATGCCTGTTAAGGCGTTCTTCACTCTATTATAGGCGAGCTATACTATTGGTAGTAGTGAAACCTAGTTATCCTATTTATAATTGATGTAGTATCTTAGGTACTGTTCCACTATTTGGTTTATCCTTTTACTTTATTTATCTATCTATAGGTAATATGCCGTTAAGGCTTTCTGTTTAATCCCTATTCTTTTAATAAGTATTATCTAGAATTTATATATGAATCTTATGTCTCTATCTAATATAATTTTGTCTGGTAATCCTTTATCTGTAAAGATATGTTATAATAGGATATATACTGTCTCTAGTAATGTAGTCTTTTTGATAAATGGTATAAAATAGGTATACTTTATTAATCTATCTGTGATTGTAAGTATTAAATTATATTAAATGCCCGTTTGTGGCTCTATTGACTTTAGTAGCTTGACTATAAAGTCTATCACTATTAATTTCTATACTATTTCCTTATATAGTATAGGCTATAGGAGTCCATATAGCGTGTGTTATTCTGATTTATTTTATTAACAAACTTTACACTTCTGGATATATTATCTGATCTCTCTCTACATTCCTGGCTAATAGTAGTTTTGCGTAATTTGGTCTATGGTTTTTTTAATTCCAAAATGTCCTACAACTTTTGCGTCATGGTTGTCTCTTAGTATTTGTGGTTATACTTCTCTGGGTATATATATCAAGCCTTAATATAGAAGTATTCCATTTTCCTTTTTGTATTTTTTGTTATTGTCTTTGATTTGTTCAAATAAGGGATCTTTTATTATTGCTTTTCGTATTTCGTTTATTAGAGTGTCTTCCTTAATTATGACTATTTGAGTAGCTCTCAATACTTGCTGATCTAAAATCATACCCTTAGTATCTGGATCTAGATGCAATATTGCTCTAGATTCTCTTTTCTTTATTATCAAATCTGATCTTCTGCTTAACGCGTCCACGAAGGCATTCTCTATTCCTTTATAGTATTGTATTTTAAAGTTGTAGTAGGCTAGTACCTTAGTATACCATCTTAACTATTAATGTGTGAGTTCCTTAGTCGTTATAAAGTATATTAGATTCTAATGGTTGCTAATAACTGTGGTCAGATGCCTTGCTCCTTGGAGCTCTTATTTCTATCTCTTAAATACTGTAACAATTACTAGTAATTCTTTGTTATAGATATCATAATTCTATTTTGTAGAGGTCATGGTTCTTGCGTAGCATGTAACCAATCTTAGTTTTCCTGTGTCATCTCTTTGTTATAACCGTGCTCTGATCGCACAGTCTGATACGTCTGTATTAAGATAACTCTCTTTATTTGGGTTAAAGTGTATTCGCATGTCTCCTTGACTAAACTTTTCTTTAAGTTTTTTAAATACTTGTTCTTTGTTAGTTCCCTAAATAAACTCTTTTGCCTTCCTGAATAGGTTTATCAGGGGTTTTACTGTTGCTAAAAATTTATATATATATTGTTAATAATAATTCACTAGTCCGTGG